ATGGTCTTTAATAGATAAAGTTCAGGCATTTGTATTTAATACCACGGAGTGTAACAGTGGTCGTTTAAATGGTTCGAGTGTTCGTTTAGTACAGTTCTTAAATCGTAATATTTTATTTTTTACTTGTCACCATCATATTTTGAGATTAACCTGCGAGCTATTTTTGTCCATGCAAAACTTACTGTCATATCTGGTCCAGACATACCTCTATTTAAGCGATTCAATAATAACTGGACAAATTTAGATCTAAATAACTTTTAATAAAAATTGTAAAGGCGTTGCTGATGAAATTATTATATTGTGCGTAAACAGACTAAAAAATAACTTCCCAATTAGACGATTACAAGTAATTTGTGGAGATAGTATTAATATTTTTAGGAGGTATACCACTAAACGAAATACGATTTCGTCAACCATGAATTCCAACAAGCAAAAGAAATTTCATCATCACTAAAAATCGTGAACTATACGGCTGAACGTAGAGTGAAAATAATGGAAGAATATAATAACAAACTCACAAAAAACGAAGATCATAAATTAATATTACAAGTATAAAATTATATTAATATCGAAAACCCAATTATACTTGTAATTATCTAAATTAATTAGTTTTTTTTAGGTTGTTCAAGAATATCGTAGACAATTTCTAGGGTTTAGCCGTGAAATTTAAAAAAATACTTTATTTAAACCCATTCAAATTTACCTAAATTATTTTTACAATATACTTAACAACATTCTGAGCCTGTGTCACAAATTTATTGAAGTTCAAAAATAAGGATCTCCCTTATTTAATATGCATATATTATATATTATATGTAATTTAATTGAATATTATTTTAGGTATTATTTAAAAGTAGGGTTCGGATTTTAAGGCCATATAATCAATCAAAAAACCATTTAATTTATATAAAATGCAATTAAAAAATGTACTAAAAATTAAATATAAAATTCTAGTTGATTTACCTAGGTTGTATTAAAAAACAATTCACTACCATGAATATACATAGATTGTCTTTATTAAAACGTTGACGGTTTAGACTCAAAATATTTACGATACATAGAAAATGATCTTTTTACGCCCGCTGGGGCGTATTTCATACATAAATTATCTAAATTAAGAATACTATTTATTGAATCGTCATCATCATCACTAAGGCTCGGAAGTTGTAGGAGTTGCATTTTCTGTATGCTCTCAATTTATAATAGACCAAGCTAGAAATCTGTTTTACATAATGTTGAGTTAAAATACAAGAATTAAAAATATATTTATCGCATATTTTGTCAATTTTAGAAAAAAAAGTGCATATTTTTCAATGTTCATATGCTTTTTATGCATATTTCTCGATTTTTATGGGATTTTGATACTTGTTCAATATTTTATATTATGATGATTCATCACCATAAAAAAAGCATTTATATAAGGAAAAAAGGAAAAAAAAAAGGGCTGAATCTTGGGAAGGGTGCGGCCACTGTTGTAGGTTGGTAGTGGGGAAGGTAAGATACATAAAGTTATTTAATTTATACTTGTAACAGTGTAGCCAATGATAAACCATTGAAAACCGATTCGGAGCGAAGTTCGGTTATACATGTTTTGAAAGGCCGTAATATTTACGATTTTCGTCAAAGTTTGATATTAAAATTCCTTTATAAAAAATAATACTACATAAAGCATACATTTCTTTTTTGACCATTAAATACGAAATTTAAGGAACCGCCTGTTAAATTTTAAGAATTTCTGTTTAGTCTAACAATTTTATCTACAAAATATACCTACCGAATAAAAATGATGTAAAAAACTCACAAAATTAAAATGTCTATAATAAGCTCAAAAATTGATCAAATGTTTTCGAAATTTGACTACATCTAGAAAATCAAATATAAGTTTTCTGTTGAAATTTCAATTTAAATAAAATTTAAAATAAAAAAATAATTATTTTCGTATATTTTCCCGTACTTTTTGCATTTTTTTTTATCAGTTTTGCTGAATTATTAAACATTTTTAAATCTATTATTAAACTTATAAAGAAAATTAAAAAAACGACTTTCTTGTTCATCAACTTGATTACAAATACAACAAAAAAGATATTTTGATGTTTTTTTTTTTATTGTAGCAATATGTATGGTAGAAAAAAATCGTGTTAACAATAAAAATGAAAACGGTAACGCCCCGGCGGCGCTAAATATTTTCCAGTTTACCTATACTTATCTTTCGGGTTTTTTACATTTATTTTGGAAACCCCTCGAAAATCGAAAAATTTCTTTTTCAATACATCAATAAGAGAAAATTATCTTTCAGAAAAGGTGCTACAGTCTATACTTCGGAGCAAGTTTTCTGGTAGAAAAGTTGTTTACAGACAGAAAAAAAAAACGCACAGCATAGTAAAACCAATAGATCCCTCGCTACGCTCCAAATCTCTAATACCTACAATCATTGTAGGTATTGTAGGTATCGAAGATGATGGATGTAGGTCCTACACCCATCATCTTCGATATTAAATGAAATACATTTTTATATAAAAATTATTTTTCAATTATTATTATTAAAAAAAGGCTTTTGCCTTCAAATCCGAACCCTACTTATTAATTAGTTTCATTAATATTAGAAATGGAAATATTTAAATTTTGTACATCATTAATTTAGTTATATATTTTATATAATAATTGAAATTTCACAGTTTTTGGAAGAAAAATGTAGCCCAATAGTATTATGATAATATTAATAAATTATAAAACGGGGAGGTAAATATTCATGTCAGTTATTTGTAGTCATAAATATTAGTAGATATTAAGCTAAGTTAAATTATTTGTATTAAATTATCGCACTTCATCAAATACAAACAATTATAAACAATTTCTATACTAATGATGAATTTAAGAAATTACTAAACCTATTTTTGATATCACAACTTTTCTTACTTCAGTTTTTTTTTTCCTCAGCAAGGTTTTTACACGTAGTTGATGAAGGGTTTTCGTTGGGATCTCTATTAATAAAAATAAGTGTAATGTTCTCGTCTAAGTTTTAACACTCGTACAAATACGTTACCTTTTGATAGTCTTCTAAAATTACAATAAAATAATAACGTAGAGTGTTCTGCTTTCATATCTTTATAATTTTTTAAAAAATCTTACTTTTACCAGTTTAACAGGCTTTTTTTAACATATTTAACTACTTTTATTAATATTTCAAGAACGGTATTTTTTAGTGGACTCATATTTAGTGAGAGTCCATATAATTTCTGGAGTTTTTTTTCGTATCAAAGCCTGAAGTCCACCATAATGATCAGCCATAGCTTGAGCTCCGTCTTACACACGTTCCCAGTGTTCCTATTTAATTTTTTTATGATTTATAAAGTTATTAATTATCTCAAATAGGTAAGTCTAAATGCCTCCGAAAATAGGTTTGCATAAAAATAACTCTTCTGTACCATTTATTCTGTCAAAAAAGTGAACGTAACACATTGAATGAACGTCTTTATTATTATTGTTAACTTCAAGCTGAATTGGAAAATGTTTTTTTCTAAATTTGTTAACATGCTGTTCATATATTATCATATATTATGTATCATAATATATCATATATTGTCAGAAGCTATAAAAGACCTTTGGTTGAAACAATATTGTCGTTTGATAAAACTGGTTGATTGTTTTTCTAATTGTTCAAGTTGTCTTACAAAGTTTTTTTATACGCTATGTTTAGTTTACAAATACAAAATTAAAACCTATACTTTGTACTGACCAACAAAACATCCACTGTGATAATAATTCATTCTATGAAAGTATGAAAGTAATCAATAACTGAACTCAAACTTGAAACTTGAACTTTTTTCAGTGTCAAGATCAATCGCATCCAATAATCTTTCATATTTGTCTTTATAAATCTTTTCCCAACGCTGTCTATACACCTTAAAAAATAAAGGTGACAAAATTAATAGTAATGCAACCTTTTTGGAGTTGCTTGTTTCTTAAATTATCAAAAGAAAAATTTTGAAAAAGTCAATACTTATTGAGTAAGTTTTATTTTAGTAATTTGTCTAACACAGGTCGGCGGTTGCTTATAAATTGTTGAAATTTCAAAGATTAATTCCAGAGAAAATTTAAATATTTCGACCAAAAGTGTAATATCAAAAAATCTGCGCAGTTAAATTTTGATCAGAATAATATTAAAACATAAAAATTGATGAGAAGGTCAGACACTGTGTTATGTTTTTGTACAGCCAAACCAATGTAGGTATACGTGAATAGGGCAAATTAGTTAATTATAATTAAATCAATACCTATGAGTATAATAATATTATTAACAATGTATTATTATATTTATAATAATGTGTTATATTTAGGTGAATAGCCGTAGCAAGGGTGAGGTGACTGAGACAATCGCCTCAAGCTCTGAGATACGTACCATCGTTATGGTGGCCTTAAATCTTGACAATTTTTTTTAAACTAAAAATTCAAACGTAGATATCGTATTTGCCGTATATAATCTTGTTTACTGTATAACTGAACGTAACTTTGGGAAACTCAGACTCGTAAAGAATTCCCTATTTGAGATTCACTATATGGGCTAAGAGAGGTTATCAAAAAATTTGCCTATTTTATGTATAGAAAATGAAGTTGCTGAAGAAATTGATTACCAGTATGTTATTGATGGATTATCAGGAGTTAAATCGAGAAGAGTACAATATTGTGATACCGGTTGATTATGTTTTATGATGAGAATGATTTAAAATATACGAGTTTCGGTAGGCCACCGTGTGTGGTCTCTCGTGATCCAAAGTACAATCTCCCATTTTCTACCTCCGATCCATTTCTTACCCTGTGTGTCACAAGGTTGTCCATCTAATATCTTCAGACCCTGAAGCGTAATACCAAGAGTTCACAATGTCAAATCGCTATACTCATAACAGCCATTATCGTGCGTTAAATTGAGTGAATGGCCCTGCCTTCGGTCTCAAATATTCTCTTATCCTGATCCTTGTGGCACAGAATGTCCTCTTTCATATAGCAAAAGGACTGCATTTTTCGAAGGATATGCGGAGAATAGTAGAGCTTGTATTTCCTTATCGTCTTCGCGCGTCGGAACGTGAGTAGGGCAGCAGTGGAAATACTGGACGTCGAGGAGAATACCTCCTAGGCGTTTAATGAGAGGGAAACAAGTGCACGCAGTCAAATACACGACACGCCTTATTAAAACGTAAGTAAATACCTTTTTTTTTCTCAAAAATCACCACCGAGCCGAGGGGAGCGGTGTTTGCATTACTTCCCCCGGCCTGGCATACATTCTTTGTCAAAACCACTAGCCTAAGGACGAGGCTGCATTATTGAGCACCCACGGGGTGTCGTCATAGTCATAGGGTCAGCAGCCTGCCTCGACTTCTCGTTATCTTCTTTCCTCATCACAATGACTTCCATCATGACGAGGAGGTCCATGGGTACTATACTATCCATACTACCAGTGAATCAAACTATATAGGAAAAACGATACATAGGGGGAAAACATGTAAAAAAAAAAAAAAAAACATATAACAGTAATAAATTTATATATATATAAATATATATATAGTAACGACATACGATTTATTATAATTCAATTTTTCTTTTAAATTTTACAAGCACTTGACGGCCAAAATTTAAAAAAAAACTTGTGCGGACACAGAAAAACTTGTTCGAGTTACGTGATACAATAATATTATTATTAACGTGAAGCCAATACAAATTATAGGTACGTAAAAATAGATCATATATAATATAATATTATATCTTTGTCATAAAATCACATTTTCGAACCGCGCCGCTATTTAAAATAATATCAGTGGAGAAAAGGTTATTATAGTACATAATATAATAATATTCTACTAATCATGTTTGTACTATTCCAAAAAATACATTATCATTCATTTCAATTATTATACTACTATTAATATACATACATACATATATATATATATATATATATATGTATTTTATATAAATAATATATATATATATATATATACATATACTCCTATATATGTATTTAACTAAATTACATCAATTACAATAATCAATAATTAACACCCGCACTATGGTCGTCCAATGCAAAAGTTATAATGATAATAGTATTTTACGTACATAACATTATAATTATTTTTGCCTGTGTTTGGTGCTTATACCTAAAATCGAAAGGCACACACCAGGAAACGCGAAAAAACAAAAAAACAAAATTAAAAACACATTTAACGACATTTCTTCGAGAACAGAAAACAAAAATAATAAGTAAAAAAAAAAAACTGATGTATAATTTACAGACCGCAAAAAAATATATAAAATATATTATTTATTATCTATGAGACAGCAATAGATTATACTCTTAGAGTATATTATAATTACGGTCTTTATAATGTGGAGTAGACAACAGTTTTATATTGAAGTTGTTTAAACAAACCAATAAAATTCAAATGATAGACAGCGTCATGTACATATAATAATTAATTATAATAATAATAATAATAATAATAATAATTAATAGTAATAGCAATAATAATAATAATAATAATAATAATAATAATAATAAAAAAAAAAAAAATTATAATAATATAAACAAACAATAATAATAATTAATTTTGCGAATATCACAACTGTTAAACCTACAGAAAAAAAAAAAACCACTTCTATAATTGCATAAATGAACAAAATACAATTCAGATCGCGAAAATAATAATAATAATAATAATAATAATAATAATAATTAAAAACAAATAATCTTATTTATGTCTAACCTATCCTGTCCGTTCAAAAAATAATAATCACACCGCTTTCAGCCTAATAACATAAATACATATACAGCGAGCAATTCACATTATTATTATTATTATTATTATTATTATAATAATTAATATTTTTATTGGATTAACCACTACCTACAGTTACATATAGGAACATGCTTAAGTGCGTAAGAATCAACTTTTTTATATGAATATATATTATGAACTCATCAAGGGCAAGAATTTACACGGTCAATGTGATTTAGTTTATACTATATAAAAGAAAAAAAAAATATTTAAGATATCCCTATATGTGTGTTAAAATATACATATTTTTGTTTTACCCTACACACATAAAGATGGTATTTATATATATATATATATATATAATTATTTGAATTATTAATTATTTATACATGTTAACACGTTCATGTCTGTTTTCTGACAAATCCAAGAACTGCCCTACCGTACCCTAGCACCACCAGCAGTCAGTGAATCGGACAAAAAACACAAAACAAAACTTATTCGTATATTATACAAAAACACTACAATATTATAATAATAGACAATATAATAATCTAAGGCGCTGCTCATTTAAATAATTTTTTGTGTATTAATGTTAAGTTTTTAATTTTTTTTTCCTCAAGAAGAAAATAATATGGTATATGTACACACTTACTATATAATAGAATATTACTAAAAACTAATGATATATATATATATATTTTTTTTTTTGAACGTGTTAATTACATATAAATAAATAAATAATCACGGTTTTTTTTAAAAAATATGTTTGTTCGAGCGAAAATCGAAAGAAATGACTAGTACGAAGCTTATATAAGAGATATTATTATAATAATTTAGTGTGCAAAAATAAAATATAATTTATGGTAAAATATATAATATACAATATTATAATAATATTAAGATTTGATGCTGCTACACTTGTTTTTATTTTTATATGATGTATACATTTGATGGTGATTAATATTATAATCGATAACTACAGCAATTGTGTCTCTTAGTCGATGGTCAAATCGATTTGAAAAAAAAAAAACAAAACAAAACACCTGGTCTTTGGAATCTTCGGTTGGTTTTCGTCACCGCGGAAAGAATAATAGTAATAATAATAATTATAAATGTTTCCTCTTGAGATCATCGTATCTGCACATGCCAACTTGTGGTGATTTGAGTGGAGGAGGAGTGTTTGTATTGTAGTGGGAGGGAGAAGAAGTGTTGATGGTGTTGTGGTGGGGAGGGCGAGTTGGGGGTCGATCGGTGATAGGAAGGAGGAAAGCGTATGTATTATATATATATATAGGAGGTTAGATAAAAATATCACATTGCACTATATCGTGTTAACAGTGTCAAATCACTTTTTGGTAGCTATGCCCCGCTGAGTGAGTCCCTCGAATCGTTTGAACGTATAGTTGATGAACACCCAGTCTTTGTAAATCACTTCGCCGTCTTGCGATATCGGAGCAGACGCTGTAAAAAAAAAAAATAATAATAATAATAAAAGTCTTATAAACTATACTAAACTATAAAACACACATAACTACACAAAATACAATAGTAAATAGTATCAGGCATATGATAGTATTGAATAAGATTCAAAACAACAGATTAATGGATAAGTGCTGGTTCGATTTTAATAATTTATAAAACGAGAATTAAAACTAAGAGGGCAGGGGGTTATTTTCAAGGAGGATATACGACTGCCCATACCATGACTCCCAAACGCGGGAAGAGCGGAAGAACAAATCAAAATGAAAAAACAACAACAAACAAACTGCAATGTATGGGAAAAGGTTTGGTGGAAATACAGCCAAGTATAAATTACCACTGCCTGGCTGTGGAATCATAATAATTGGATTCCAATACGTTTAAATCGTTGGCCTCAAAGTCCGTAGCCCCAGAAAAAGTTATGTGGAAAGGTGCAACGGGGCGAAAATCTTTACCTATATTAAAATGAAAAATCCTGAAATACTGACGAAAACTTTCGGAAATGCACTACTCTATCCGATCGATCCAGATTACGAAAAACATTTGTTTTTTTAACGAAATTTTAATCTCGGCATCTCACATTTTAGATTTTGAGTGGAGCGAGTAATGTATTGGTTTTACTACGATGTTTATCTGTGAACAACTTTTCTACCAGAAATTATGCTCGGATTTTCGAATATAGCACTTTTTTTGAAAGAAAATTTGACAGGGGTAGTACTTTAGGGAGGTCATTTTTCCAGTTGTGTTCATAATAAATAGGAAAAAAGGAAAATCAGGGAAATAAAGTAAGAAAAAAGAGAAAATAGGTACAATATTAACCAAATATTATTAAAGAAAATATATAATGCATATATAGGTAATTATTTTACGATAATAGGTATGACATATATGACAAAGCTACACTATTAATCGAGCTCCGCCCGAAATCGTTTTTTGTCAGCAATGGTTATTCTTTGCGTACAGATATACATTACATTTCCACTCTACCTCCCAAATTTCACCCCTACAACGGTGGCCCCCACCCATCGCGCGAACTATGCCCGTATATTTTTGGATTGTATGATACAATTTACGTGTTGAACGCGCCCCACTAATTCGGAACAGGAAGACTTTCGAAAAATAAAATGTTTTGTTTGTAAAATTAAAATATCCTAAGAGGCGATTTTTTTTTATTATTATTATTAAACCGGTCTGTTTCGAAGGCGATTATAGTATAATTAAAGTAAAAAATTAACAACGGGTGGTATAACTATAAAAATATTGATTGTCCGTCTAATTGCATTCTGTACGTGGAAGAAGATGAAATTTGGATGGTACAGGCACGCGATGCGTTTATTGAACGAGATTCGAAAAGATTGGCGATGCCATTGGATTCCGAAGAATAGGTCAAAGAAAAAGTAGTTAGGGGTTATATTATATTGAGGGGGGTAGGGGGGTATAACGATTATGACGAAATGGTGATGTCGACAGATAGATAGGATGTTGATGAGTTTTACATTCAACCCACTTTAATCCTTCGCAAGCTACATACTTGGTTAACAACTGTTTTCTCGAGAATATAGATTTTATTTCGAGTATTTTTTTAAAAAAAGAAAAAACTGCTCGTCAAGAAAAGGATCAATAAAATTTTTTTTTCTGATCCTTTTTATATTTCTGCAGACAGTTAGATATTTATAGAGAGATGCGAAGGCTAAGATTGCAAATACAATCGACGATCGGTAATCAAATGAAAGAAGAAAAAGAAAAAGAAGAAGAAGAACGTTTGTATACTCACGTATTTCGAGTTTAACGTCCGGGAAATCGTCAAAGTTGGACGTGTCGTCGATGGACTTGACTTGAACGGGTATGGCGGCCGGCCGCTCCCTGATGTGCTCCCAGTCGACGCCGCGGAAAAACGCTATCGTCGAACGGAGCTCGTCGATGCCCCGGCCGCTGGACCCCAAACGCCGGTCCGACTCGCAGCAGAACCTGGTGATGGCGTCCCGGGCTTCCTCGCTGATAGGCACCTCGGCCGGAAAACTCAACGTCTCGCGCCAGTTCATCACCTTCCTGTACGTTTCCTGCGGGTTTTCGCTGCAGAACGGCGGATATCCTGTGGACCGAAAACGGACACGTCATTGCTATTATTCAATTTCGGACAATATTATAATAAAACGTCATACAGGGAGGTTACAGGGATCCGAATATTTCAATGATATATCATTTGAAATTATTCCATTTCAAAAATCGAACATTGTACGTTTCTCGAAATATATCAACGGAATTATGAAAAACATTTTCGTTTCTTTTGTGCGTTCGGGAATTATTACTATACCTTGTTTAGTATTGTTACGCCTTTATTGGTTATAGTAAGTTTATCACGCATTTCTGTAATTGGGTACTTTAGCTCTGTATAATGCGTTATAATTTGTGTATAAATTTATTGCGTATTGTGTACCCAGTAGGTATAGTTCATAGGACGAACAACTATACAGTCTTAGATGAGTACAAATAAACCAATAAAATATAATAACTAAAGAATGCTCTATTTCAATATAGGTATATATATATATATAAAAATATATATTCAAATTTGGAATAGGTATGTACCTTATCAAATAATATTAAGTAAATAAATAATATAACAAATAGGTACTTGAAATATTGTAAATGATAACAAACATTTTTTGTTTAAGTTTTCAAATGCGTTGCGGTGTTATGCTAATGACTGTATGTGGTTATGTACAGTTACGTTAATATAATTATTGTTTTTATATACAGAGTGTTCCACGGTGTTTGACAGATTTTTCTTGAGCTCTTCATATTTAATTTTTATTTTCACCCCTTAATTTTTGAATAAAGAAAAAAAATATAAATAAATAACTTTATTTACTCACTTTACACAATTTTCAAAATAGCTATTCTGTGAAATATTTTCTAAAAATTGTAATGTATTATACATTCATATCTGATCAATAGTTTTTTGGCCAGTTTTATTTCTAGAGGAAGGGTGTGAAAAACGATACTATAGCACGTAATACAATAGGGAATAACTTTATTGTGTTAGAAAACGTTAGAAATTAAAAGGGATTTTACTAAAACATTATTGATCGGATATGAATGTACGATATAATAATATTTTTAGATTAATATCTTTCACAAAATGGCACAAAATTTAGTAAAGTGAATACATAATATAAAGCTATAATTATGTTTTTAATGATTAGGGGAATAAAGTAAATATTTAAAAAAATTGAACATTAACAGGCTCTACAAAAATCTGTCGAACACGGTGACATCCTGTATAGTTTCTCTTTGTTTCACACAAGAATAAACATAGGTAGGTACTTATTATAAAATATATGTTCTCTTGTTCAAAGCGAAAAAGTATTTATGAAAGGATATAAAAACTATATTTTTTTTTCTCGTATAAATGAAATATTTCGTGAAATTTTAAAATACTGGTAAAAATAAACAGTTCGACGACGAAACCGAAAACTGCGGCACTCGTCGTTCCCCGGGGTACGTTGCAGATAAATTCGTGTACGTGTAGCGCAATTATTCTTAGAAATATTTTAAAAACCAATACGAAAAACGATGAATTATAATATCGGGTGGTCGAATTATTATTACTATACCCATGTAAACGTTCACGCAATATCTGCAGGTTGAAAAAAAATCACAGAAAATTCGTGTTATCCTGAGTTTTGAATTATTACCTGGGTTTAAACTATCGAGAATCGACTGTAACAATAATCATATCATACCGAAACCAAAACCGTCCGCTATTATGGGCAGCTTTGGAACAGAACTTGATAGGCAAAAGACTTTTGGGAAGGATTTCTCGGCAAGACCAAAACCCAACCCGTCTGCCACTACGGACAGAATTGTCGACAAGACGTAACTACACAGGAAAAAGAAAAAAAAAACACGTGAAAGCTTTAGGAAGTGAACCAAACCGGAAGTGACGGTGGATAGCTGGTCCGAATAAATAATAAATAATAATTTGGTGTTGCAGACATTTTTTTTCGGTCTGTCTCACTCGTGTTGCAACAATAAAGGATTCCGCATTTCCACGTTTGCGATTCTCTGAGAACAAAGAGACTTATAATACATATCTCATAAAAAAGACTATGGATACCAACAGTTTTTGTTAATATTTAGTTTTTTTGTTATCAAGATATACGTGTTTTAATTTTATCTTAATTTTCTTCGTTAATAACCGCAGGTATAATAAATTATATTATATACTAGATTACTAGATGGAAGTCATTTTTGTGGAAATTATGGTGGTAAGTCCTTCTCTCTCTTTTTATTTTCATCGTTCATCTTAATACCTTATTATACTATTTTTTTTTTTTTTATAAATATCTGATATAATTATAATAATTAGATCATAAAATCTATATTTCCATAAACACAGCGAAAAACGGAAATATCCTATTATAATAGTTAGCAATATATATTTTGTGTCAATAACTTATTGATAAATAAGGACGAAAAACGAGAGACCCGTCGTATAGAGAGAATAATTGAACGTATTTTATCAAGTATGAGATAATAATATTAATAAGTATATAATATATTTCGTACCGATTAGCATTTCGTACATGATGACGCCGACGCTCCACCAATCGCAAGCCGGCCCGTAACCGGTCTGGAGGAATACTTCGGGGGCGATATAATCCGGAGTGCCGACGGTACTGTAGGCCAGCGCCCGACGATTCCTCTTCCAGCTCTCAGCACGCCTTTTGCTGTCCATTGGACTCGACGCTGGCGAACAGAAAAAACCTAAACGTAAGTGTGACACGCGACTCTCAGCACTAGCGGTTGACGATATGTATTTTAATGTTACTACAATTTGTATACACTCACTGAAGTCCGACGGTTTCGCCTGGCTCAGGTCTCTGTAGAAATCGGTTCGATGCGACTTTTTGAGACCGGTGCACAGTCCGAAATCGGAAAGTTTTATGTGTCCTCTGGCGTCCAACAGTAGATTGTCCGGTTTTATGTCCCTGTAAGTATACATACGCAGGAACAACAATATAAGTACAACAAGAAAATTCGACGGTTAGGTCTGGTTATTAACAGAACTCGGAAGTTATATTATAGCATTTGAACAAAATTGAATTTCTCTTTTTTTTTTGCATATTTTCCAGTTTCAAGAATTATTCATAGCATTATTTTTATGTTTTACAGTGCCTATTGAAGCGCTAAAAATTAAATATTTTTCTTTAATGTTCTATAACTTTCAAGCCCTGTAGTAATTTAGTCGTAATTTCAACCTGTGTATAAATCCGAGTTTGTGTATGGAATCTATGGCCAATGCGGTTTCGGCGATGTAAAACTGCGTGCACTCTTCGCTCAGAGTGTCCTTTTTCATGAGCAACGTCATCATGTCGCCGCCGGGCAAAAATTCCATTATAAGGTAAAGGTTTATTGGATCCTAGTCGAAAAAAGTCAAGTGGTCAAGTTATATAAAGAAGAAGAAAAAACACATTTTTTTAAATAAATAAAACGATTGTTCGGCGAGTCTCGTACACGCTATAATATTTGTTCACATCAAAGTCTCGTCTTTTGCGCGCTTTATTGTATATAAAATTGTTAATTATTCATCCGCAAACAAGAAGGCGAGGGATAAATACCTGAAAACTGTAGTACATTTTGACGACCCACTGGTGATCGGCTTCTACGAGGACGTCCCTTTCGGCCCGGACATGCGCTACTTGTTCCTTTTCGAGCATGTCGGCTTTGCGTAGGATCTTCATAGCGTATATATGGCCGGTATCTTTCTTTTGAACCAGTCTCACCTGTATAAACATACAATTATTTTAATTTTGATGTATAGAGGATTAGAGGATTTTAAATTTGGTTTTCAAAAAAAAAAAAGTCGGAAAGCAACATTGAACGTTGAACATGTGTACAAAGAAAATGTAAGTCTTATTTGAAAATAAATAATTTGAGTTCAATTGTTGATCAAAGTATAATACATAAACATGAAAAAGACGATAGCAAAAAATTTAACAGAGAGAAATCGAGCTGCAACGGTTCAAAAAAGTTCAAGAAGTATTATTACACGAGCGTCCAGCAAATTTATTTTCTACGAGTTGACTCATTTAGATATTGAAACCATAGATGCTCAAGATTTATGTAGAATTAGAAAAAGTATTCGTGTTAGTCGGTATAGTACATTACCAACGTTGCCCGAAACGTTGAGCGAAACTCACATTGCTTTTATAATAATTTGTAGGGAATCATTCGGATACACATTTCGTAAAAATTCGGGAATCAATTTGGACATTCCAATTTTTACACCGGTTTACGCTATAGCGAAAGGTTAAGTTAAATCAGATCAAAATTCGTACAAAAATTTCGAAGCGAATGGAGAATATTTTAACGGAAACGGTAAACCAAAATGTACCAGCTGTTACACATATTATATACGCAATAACGTTTTCTTACCTACTAATGAAAAAAAAAAACTTTTCATCGGAGCTTAAAAAAAAAAAAAAGTAGACAGTCGAATGCACGTAATACGAGCATATAGAAGATATTCTCAAATGTTTGAGGAAAAAAACGTAATATATAATATTTTCTAAACGAGTTTTTCCGCTAGGTCGAATTCGAAAATATACTACACAGAGATTTGAATTATTTATTTTTTCCGCGGTAGCGGTTTTTACTTTCCGCGACGAATCAAAAGTCGAGGGAAAATATATACATATATATAATACAGGGTGTCCTACGAAGATATACTCATTGTAATATATTCGGAGATAATAAAGATAATCAAATTCTGTTTTTTTTTTTTTTTAAATATATTACTCACAGGGATAAGGTCTACAAATGTTATCCCTGCAATATATTTTATATATTGCAGTTAATTTTATTTTGCTTGGACAAAAAAAAACTGAAAAAAAAAAAAACAAATAACTTTGATTTCATTAAATTCGTGATTTTTAGTAATTGTTTAATGTTCAGAGAAAAGTAGTTATAATTTTATGCAACAGGCTGTAATCGAATTCTCTAATTGATTATTATCATTTCGATTGATTGACACATTGATTGATTGACTGCATACTTCTTTTTTCTGAACTTAAAAAAAATGATTAAAAATCACGAATTTAATGAAAATAGCTGATACGTCAAAATGTTCAGAATAATAAACTAAATAAAATGATTATGCTCAAATTTTTCAAAAATAATAAAATAAAGTTATTTTTTACATTTTTTTTTTTTTTTTATCAACATATAAGCAATTAAATGTAATATAAATTTGTAGTATACCATTTGTAGTCCTACTCCCAGTGAGTAAAATATATATATTTATATATGTATAAAAAAAAACAGAATTTGATTGTCTGTATTATCTCCGGAGATATTAAAATGGTTATATCTTCGTGGGACACCTGTGTGTATATATATATAAACTCTGATACCATACTTGCAGTTTATTACTATATAATATATATTACATTTAAGAAGAATTAGTGTCTGCAAGATGTGACGCGCGTGATGGATATTTTATTGTACATATAGGTATTATAAGTATAAAGGTTTTCACGATTCGGATTTTTTATCCGTATTTTTTATACGTAGTAATACCGTACGTAATATTTTTTATATTACGGGCTTTTTTGGTTTTTTACAGTCTGAATAGACGCGCTGATCTCAAAATATCAATCGTTTATTATTTTGTTTTAGACAAAAATCTTCTCTTTTCGAACCTGTATCTTTTAAAAATAGAAAAAAATCATGTCGTACGTCAAAAAAACCTCTGACAGATGAAACTATTGAAAATTGATCAAAATGTTAGTTAAACAGTGAATACATTCGTCGCCACATTAAATGTTCATATTATTAGACTAATTTTCTAAAGACTAATGGATTTTTAATTAAATATTTGAAATTCATTATAAACTTAATTTAACGATGCATGGCTGAATAGTCATCATTCTTTCTTGTATATTATTATTTAAGCTGGTAAATAATTGTCAAAGTGAATTTTTTTGGTTACTAGCAGAAATCACACTTTTAATATTATAGTGCTTTGTTATCAAACTCTAAAATTGTTGCCACTCGCGAATATGCTTTTTCATTATCACGACATAGAAAAACTCCGTTGCCGACGATTTGGTTTAAGAAAAAATTTAAGTCATAGTATTTAATATAATAGATTCGACTTAAGGGATTCGACAGCGTTACCTACTCGCCGTACATTTGAAGAATGTGTGGTAAAGAGAAACGAGGACCATGTTATTAAATCGCAATCAGAGGCAGGGAGACTGAGGCTTTCTAGCGTTCCCCACTTTAACCCCCGATCTTATCGTTTTCGATAAGCGTCGAATCATGATAACGGGCGAAACGGCCGCACGGCAAATAGTACCTACAAACGCGGTCACGCAGTGTTTTTCGTACGAGCTAAAAAAAAAAAAAAAATTAAATAAATAACATATTATACCGCATACAGGAGCACTATTTACGTAGGTACTGTATTACAGTACGTTTTGGAAAATCGTATGCTGCTGGCAATTGCCAAATTTTTTGTATACAGCGCTTGACCTTAGTATACATAATATACACGCACAGTCAGTATGCCGCGTAATAGTCTAAGTATGAACAACAATTTTCATGTTCTTATTGTACGTAACCTATATAAAATTGTGTGCGTATATAACGACGTAACTCGGAGTTTGACAAACGACAAATTAGACAATGAGACTTAAACGCATAAAGTTTTTCTCCGCGATCTAAAACGGATAAAATTTTAAGAAAAATAGTTAATGCTGCAACTTAAACATTTATTTTTAAATAACTGCGCGAAACAAAATATTTATTATTTACAATATTGACGCAAACGTATACGAACGTATTATACGCACGATAGCATAATCATTTTTTTTTTTTTTTTTACGCCATTTGGCTAACACTATTTCACGAAACGTTTTAAAACTTTATTAAAAATCAAGAACCCGCGCTGATATAATAAATTTTATTAAAACTAAATAGCGGATAAAAAAAAAATGAATATCCAAACGAGTTTCAGACCATAAATATATAGCAAACACGTATTATATAATCAAGGGTGGGCGTTAACGACTTAACGGGTTGAAAAGTCAAAAGTTCAGTTAGTTTTAGCTTTTAACTTATGACAATTTCAACAACCATTGATTTTTTTTTTTGTGAACTCGACTTACTTGTTTTGCATTTAACTTAATAAATAACGAGTTAATTCCGAACAATAGTACATAGTGAGGTTGATTTCAGTATATCTTTTTAATTTTAACACGATATTAAATTTACGATTTATCTATTTTCGTCATTATAAATAATACCGATGATTTTTTCTGATTTTAGGATGAATAGTGGGAGTAACCAATTCTTTACGCGAGTACAGGACAGCAAACTCTAGGTTTGACAGTTTTCACTATGACAATTTCAATAAAAGCAGAAAAAAAAAACTTAACTTAGCAAATAAAAACAATTAAATTTTCTTCAATTAACTTCATTAACTCCGTTAATGTCATTCGTCAACTTGCCCAGTCTTGATTATATTATTTCGTCGATTTTAACGATGTATTTACCACCCGCCATGAGGTATAAAATAAACGTTATTTTCTAACGATGATTATTATAGATAGTTTTATACAGTGCATGATGTGCAATACTTATATAAGTAATTATATCAATTATACTTTAAAACGTTTAACAGAGCTGTAGTGAATATGAATATGCGTTGCGTTTTCGAGAGCTGTGTACCAACTTAAAAACGGGCAACCGTAATAATAACGCGCGCAAGAAAAACGTGTGTATAGGTACGTCCTAAATTGAATATTATATTTATTTTGCAATAAAATATTAAATTATCGAACGCGACGGTAAATCGTATTTAAATCGTACAATCTGTACGGTGAGCGCATAAAAAAACGGTTATAAAAATATAAAATATTATACATTCGATAAAAATAAATATACGTCGATTGAAAATAAATTTAATAATTCCGAAAGAAAATCGTGAAACGTTTAGGTAATTTATAACACTATATGCCAATATATTATACCGATATTACAGACTATAACGTTATTTATCCGAAAAGTATAATTTAGATATTGAGTATATTATCGTTTTTTTTTTTTTTACCAGACTAAATACGCACACCCGCTACCCATTGTTGTCTCCTCTCCGTCGAGTTTCTGTCTTAATATTTCTACAATTTCTTTCCATCTTAATCTTGGTCTGCATACAATGTTTCGGACATCAAAAACCGGGTCATATGCTTGTTTTCTTTTTGAGGTGCCACGAAATACGTAAGTATACAGTTATCAAATTTGCTATCGTTTATTTTAACCACTGTGCGCTTGCAGAAAAACAATATTTTATATTTTATTTGACAAAACTCAATTTCGTTTGTTTTTTTATAATTAATTCGAATACACACATATTACAAACTTTTCCCAACCAATTACATTGTACGGTTTACCTCCGATTTTTTCAACGTCCAACTATATAAATTATAAGCAATAGTACAATATAATAATATATTGTATCGGATTAAAACCCAAAGAAAAACCTATTTAAATGAAATATAGTAGCCAATAATGATATACGTATACTTTACGATCGGCCACTATAAGCCGCGTGATACTGCTGATATTGTACGCATACTGAATTTAATTTATATTAACCGCATACCGAGTAATTTCCGAAAAGAAAAACTTTTTTTTTTTTATACTGGTAAGGTTCAAAATATGCATCAATAAATAATAATGGTACCTCTCCGAAAGCACCGCGGCCGATGACCTTTAGAGGTTCGAAATCTTCGACGCCGAGCCTGGATCTTTTGAGCCTGAGAAATTCGGATTCTTTTTGCGCGTGTTGTTGGCGTTTTTCCTGTTTCTGTTGTTCCGAAAGACTTTCATCTTTCAGAGTTTCTTCGAGCTTCGCCAACCTGTAAAAAAACAATCACGATAAATAAACAAAAAACTAAAGCCGTAAAAGTATACGGGAATAATTTGATCATAATAATGGCGCGCGTATTTCTTGCACTATTTCTATAAATATTACACGATGTACGAGTACATGTATTCGAACCTACAAGAAAATGCCTGAAATCGAAATACAAACTTTATGCAACTACATAATATTACGTAGAATTCATTGAAAAAAATCTAATTATTTTAAAATGTCGAATAAACCTTCAAACCGCTGGGTTGGGCCACTGTCAACCGTATAACTCTTCTTTAATTTGAACACACTTTCAACGCGGCTACAATAAAATACATTTGGATTATATCTTTCTGCAGCTAGACAATAATATAGCGGAGGAGTTCAGTTGATAGTGATGCTTTGTCAACAATATATATGTAATTTTATAGTAAAATAATTAAATATGATTTATATATTTTCTTTAATACAATTTGTTTAATATTGTATCGATTTTTCCAGTTTCCCTACGATTTTCCCGGTTTCCCTATGTTTTATACCGGTTTTTCACATTTGCTAGGAAAACTCTTTGAAAAATCAAAAAAAAAAAAAGACCTCTCCAAAGTACTTTCCTAGTGAAATTTTCTTTTAGAAACATCGCTATTATTAAAAGTTGGAGCAAAATTGCTGATAGAAAAGTTGGTCATTAAATTACGTACTCTAAAATATGACCATTCTAAATTTTAAGGAACTTCATAAAAGTTAATTTTTTTTCTCAAAATTATTACTGAATTTTAATAATGATGTTGTTAATATGAATATATGAAAATGGTACAAAACGTTAATAAATAATGAGAATCAACAACGATAACAGTAACGAGTAATTTTGAAATTTTACTACACAAAATTTAATTAAATTGACATCAAATTACTTAAAAAGTAATTTTGTCACCATAATTTGTAACTTGAGTTAAGTTACTCCCCGACACTGCAGGCTATGTGTCAATACGCTAACCAATATATTTCTCGGCGTCTGCAGCGGCTGTTATAATATAGTGTTGCGGATAAATGTTCGAAATTAACATTCTCACGTCCGAAAACTTGATGGATTAATTTACGCGTCCCAGATAGAAAATTAGTAATGATAATAATATTAAAACGGTGTAATAGAAATCTTACTATATCATTTTTAAATAAGTTACTATATTTTGTTCGGTGCATCCGAATTGCATGCTATCTTATAAAGGAGTTAGCAAGGAGTTAGTCGGACAATCTTATAAAGGAGTTTGTCTGAATTGCAAGCCATTTCTTATCGAGGTCTGTTCGAATTGCGTGTCACATATAATTTTCATAACAACGACGAAAATAATATACTTGGGCTGAATTTTCTAATTCTACAATGCGTAAAACCAATGTTTGTGAATCGTTACATTCTAAACTGAATAGCATGTTTTACTCTCCAAGTCCTAATATATTTCAACTAGTCTATGAGAACAATGTGATGTATGTGTAAAAATAAGTTCTTCCAATTTAAATAAAAGACGTCAAGAATATGAGAAAAAGAAAAATTTATAAATTCAGTGACAACGCAATTTCAAAATAATGAAATTAATAGACAAATATAGATAGAAAAGTTATCATATATGGCGTTGCCGAAAACAAAATAAATATAACACATGACACATAATAAATATGTACATAAGACGTTAGATCATAATACATTTACGAAATTATATGTATAAATCCGATAAAAATAGTAAAATAATATTAAAATAATTAACAGCATGAAAATAAAAAATAAAAATTTTTTTTAACCAATTAAGTGTCTACTATCAGTCTTAAGTCTGCAAAAGTGGGGAGGAAAATGCCACTTAATTTTTTTATTATTATTAATTAAACACGGCACGCAATTAGACAGGGTCTCGCGTTCGATACCCGACTGTAGAAAAAACGCCAAGACTCTGTTTTGTTGTAATTTTTTTTTTTTAATATTTTAAAAATATTTTTGTTATGTATTTGTATTGAAATATAATTGTAATGAGATTTTGCTATCTGGGGTGTTTACAAAAATTTAAAAAAATTGGGTTTTCCTCCAATATAAACGTACGGTCTTTCGTGTATTGGTAGGTGGGTGGGTTTCTTTCGTTCCAATAATAAATAAAAATTATTTGTCGACGAGAGACACATTCGAGTGTTATAAACGTGTCTTTCTCTAGACGTTGTATATCCGAAATTAACGAACTTACATTTATTATACGCGTGTATTACGTTAAAAATAAAATATAGGACATATAATAATCTCGATATGGAACGAATTGAATGACCGCCAAAACCGTACGCAAGTACGTACTAAATAATACACTCGAAACGTAACATTTATTATTACCCTCGAAACTTTTACGAGTAACGTTATATTTGTCTATGCCACAACGTTGATAGGTTATTATTAATTGTGTTGTTAAATCGAAACTTTATAGTATAATATAATGTTGTTATTGTGTTTATACATTTTTGGTTTTTATTTTTTTACTTTTTAATGTTACAACGACAATTAGAGCATTGCGAACATTAAAAACCCATACGGAAAAAGCATAATATGTCGGAAAATCCAGGAATGTATTTCGCACTGAGGGTGAGCCACCGCATTATGCGATAGGAAATTAACAAATCTAAGCAGAACAGTGTTATAGTAAATATTTGTCGTGATTTTCGCCTTGTAACCCATTAAAAATCAACAAAAATAAAAAACATATATATCGACAGCTACATGTACCACCACCAAGTGAAAAAATCGACATCTTTCAAATGACAATGCTAATAATTTAGAATATTTTACTAATCGAAAAAATGTTTTTCGATAAAAAAAAAAAACACATATTTTAGTAGAACTAATAGCTTCTTCGCCACAAATTTCAATTTTCTCTTTAAATTTATTTCATTTACGCAATTTTTTGTAAATATAGTTTTTTTGGGTACAGGGTTAGAAAAAGTGGTTGGTCAAAATAATCTACCTAACCTATATACAACGGGGTTTCCATCGTCGTCGATTCTGGAAGTACCAGTACACCACGTCATTTTCTCAAGACTCCATCAAACAGAATAAATGCGGTAACACGACATACACGATCGGCTAAGTAAAGTCAATGATTACTATTAATACGAAGACTCAACGAGTGGACACGATAATAATTAACAGAGCAACAGCGTTAGCGGTTGCTGAAGTGTGCAGTATAATAATACGCAGTAATTGACCTTTTGAGAGCGAAAAATGAATATCCACGTTATTATTTAGCCTCCTCACTACTATTATTATTATTATTATTTTTTTTTTTTTACATGTATAGGAACGTTCGAAGTATTTCAACAAAGTAGTAAAAACTATATTTTATAGGCTATAGTATAATGATATTATTCGTATGAGCTGCATATCGGGACATGTATATGCACATAAAGCGAATGCTCTTGCCGAGGAGGATAAATGGATAAAAACGAGTTCGATAAGTGTGATTGATTTCAAAATTCTAGAGAGAGAGAAAGAAAACCGAAAAGGTCGATGCAGCGAATAAATAGTCGAAAATGGAAGACTATTCGGAATATATTCCTGGGTGTTTTTTTTTCCACTCTAAATTACCAATAATAAATATAAGTCAAAGATAATACAGACTCGTGTATACTGGTTTATACTGCGGATAATATACACACGTCTGGGATATTTCAAAGATGTATGAAGAAACATCACGTTAATATCGAGATTATTGAAATAATACTGTGTCGAGTGCAAACGTCAACTAAAGAAATATCGTGAACGGAAAATTTTATTTAAAATACGCTTGGTATCCGAAAAAAAAACAAACGTAGTTATACGCGTTTTGCGATAAGCCGTACAATCACGAATCAATTAAAAAAAAAAATAAAATATAATAATAATAATAATTAAAACAATGACGGGACGAAAACCAATTTGAATTTAAATATATATTATATTATATTATAAATTTATTCACGCCAACTATGCGCGACGAAATATAAAATATTATTTTAATTAAAATTAATTAAGATTTTTCGTTTCGGGTTTTATATGTTATATGTTAGTGAACACAACGAGCGGATACTGTGCCGAAAAATTCGAGAAACTCGGGAATAATAAGTTTTCGCACAGAACGCCGTCGATTGATTTCGCGAGTTTAAAACTGTATAGAATGAAAAAAGACAAAAGGAATAGAATGGAATAAAAAAAACCAAAACGTTCTTTAATGGGAAAACATGGCAGGTGATGTCAACAATCTTAGTGATAAAAAATATCGATTTTAAGCTGACAGTTTGACGCAAATATAAAATATACTCCAATTATTATTATTATTATTATTATAAAACAGCTAGTATACAGGGTGTCATGCGAAGTGGTTAAAGCGGGGAAAATTTCGTATGGGAGCTATGTTTTTCAAAAATTCGGGGGCGTTCCCGAGAACTAACCAAACTAACCAAAATTTCAAGACAAGACTACCAAAATGATTTTCCTCACACGTATTTGTTGATACAAATATTACACGAACATTATACGAGAGGTACAAACATTAACTGCACCCCATTTCCCTAAATTATTATCTTACACATAGGCCTATTCAGTAAAAATAAAGTAAAACACAGCGTCCGATAATCAAATAGGTATTAAAGAATTTATTTTAAACAAAACTAATTCGAGTTTTTAAAATTTCATTAAAAAACATTGCAGTGACAATAATGAATGCGTCCTCTCGGACTTCAAATGCTTAAACTAAAGGGAATTTATAATTTTACTTTATATTACAAGGGGTATTCCATCGCCTCCATTTCATTCCATTTTGACCATTGGTCCCACCGAGAAAAAAACATTGTTGTTCCTTCTGAGATAATGAAGACAATCAAGTTCTAACTTATTTTTTTTTTTATAAATAATAAAGATTGTTATTACACAAAATGGAATTTGATTATCTTCAATATCTCAGGAGATATTGCAATTTGTATCTTTTCGTGAAACACCCTGTATACGTTTTATGTGAAGGATTTAAAACGAGTTTATGTTTTGTCGTTTGTAGATTTTAGCTATATAATATTTTGAAAACGGTAAAATCCTTTTTTAGGTTTGTTTAAACAAAATTTTCAAAATAATTTCACCTCGTTTTAGCAGCAGAACACTAGGTTTAAGCTATATGATGGAAACTGCAGGCAACATATACGGTTTTTGTAATTATAAAATATTCTCTGAGAGATCGTTTTCCTGTAGAACATCGTGTGGGTACATAATAAGTTTAATATTGGACCGACGACGACGGTTAATAATTTATTACAATTAAATCCGAGTTTAGATTAAATAAGGATTAGAGAGATGAGTAATTTTAATATAGAATTTCAATAAAAAAAAAAAAACACAGCGTTCGTCTGTTAAAACCATAGAGTAACGAATGTAATATACAATGAATATTCATATGTCACGAGAAAAGTAAAAATACCGTAACACATATATTTTTCTACACTTGTTTCCGGGTGTTAAGAAAAAAAAAACCGGTCGGAAAATCTAGATTCAGATACACAAACTTCTAAACATATAAATCTCATCCAAACTTCAAATCGGATACTGCTCCAAAAACGTTAATTCCCCAAATGTAAACCACAATATAAAATCATTTTGGATATAAATAAAGGTAGAGGCAAAAAATAAATCTCGTCGGGTACCTATAAGTAACATTGTGACTTAGAAGAGTCGATAGTTTTGTTTAATATGATTCATGGGGGTCAATGCATTGGTATTAAGTTGTAATGGTAAATACATGTTTGGATATTTATCAACCAGCCATGGTTAAGTGTCCTTATGTATAGTAATATAAAGGCAAATAAAAGGGTAACGCTTGATGTTATCAATCGGAGAAATTCAAGTCTGGGTTGGGGGAGAGTAGTGGAGTATCATTTGTGTGACCGTACGGCGCGTGGCATGTTAATAATGCACCACCACTCTCCCACAATTCAAACTTAAAAGTGGAATATCTCGTTAAAGGATTGACGGAAATCAAAAATTTCAACACCAAAATTTATTTTAACTAATATTTCTATACTTCATCTATTTATTAATTAATATAGGTTTCCATTTGAAAAGCAAAAGTAGATAGTTGTTTTACTCCTAAAAATAAAAGTGACAAAAAATAACATGAATATAAAATTGTAGAGCAGACTGCTTCTTAAATATTCTAGAAAACAAATTCCGGAAAAAAATAATAATTTCCGAGATAACGAGTGTCTTAAAATAGATTGATCACCCCGTATAATATGGACAAGAGTTTAAGGAAAATTTTTTAAACAGTTATTAGTCTGACACTCATGTATTTTAGACAACTTGATAAACCCGCATAACTAATGCGATATTGCGATGATATGAAAACGATTTGCGATTCATGCCAAATATGTTTCGTATAATCACATAATTCATAGCCTAAACGAATATATCACGGGTCAATCAATCAAATTGTCTCCCGTGGTATGAGGCAGTCGAGCCTCAGAGTTCAGATTTTCTCAAGAACTCCGCTAAGGAATATTGTTTTATACATTTGTGGTCAGTCTCTGACAGGAATTCGTAGGGGAAAAAACCGCTGTTCGACGTTAAAAACTACGGGGGACGATTTGACGACGGTTTAACATTTTAGCGACGAGGGGATGCACACGACAGGAAATACGTTTTTAAAGGTAGTTGGCCGACAGTTGAAACGTTGTCAGTTCCCGTCATACGTTTAAGTGACAAGTGAAACTTTTACATTTTCGGAAATAATAATAATGGACCAGTTAATGAATATCACTCTTATCTAAACGCCAGACGGGAGAAATTATCAGTCTTGTGAAAACAGCTATCCTCCTCCTCCTCCTCTTCCACTTGCCAAGCCTCTTGTTTTGTAATGATACAATGTATCATTCTGGGTATTTAATAATTATTTCGAGAACATTGTAACCTACGTACTTACACGTGATGTGCACACGTGTGTACACCTACGTAAAACACTATACGATTATATTACAGTTACAAAGTAATTTTCGACGAACAATACGAATTCATTAAAATAATATTAATAATAATAATAATAATACATTTTCGGGCGGCTGGTGGCGGGCGTGTTTTCGGGATATATATTCAAATAACGATTACAAGTTCAACGATATTATCGTTTGCCACAGTCGCAGCGCGCCGACTTCGCCAAAGTTTTTCACCAGATTAGTATAATCTTGACGCCGCGAGACTTTTATAATTTCACCATTAGCCACCGCGTAGAGAATTGTCCAGTACACGAATTCAACAAAATATAATATTATTTTCACTGGGGGAAAAAAATACGATCGACATTTTACGAAATATTTATACTCGAAGCATAATAAAAACGGCGCAGGCATCGTTTTTTTCTCCTCCGTAAAGGCTGTAAAAACGTAAAATATCGCACGCTAGTAAAAATCAACCAACTACCAATAATACAGAGTTTTTCGCATGTCCTCCAAATTCGAATTATTGAGTATGATATTTATTCGCGTCGTTGGTCGCTTTATCATCTGTCCCGTCAATGTTCCCCAGACGGGAATATTGAAACGAGTCCCGAATAATCAAATAACAAATCATTGTAGGTGGTTCAGAACCTTCAGCCTAACAATAGCGTTATCCTGTAGGAGGCACCGTGATGTGGACGAGTGATTGTAAAATAGACTCCCAAAAAATGTGTATGATTGTTTTCGAGATACTTTTGAAAGGACCTATTTAAAGATTTTTAAAGAAGTTTTTTTTAAATTTTAATATATTTTGTCTATGTGCATTAATTATTGTAATGTTACTACGAAATTTATATGATACAATGCATTTGAATGTCTAACGTTTGCAAATTTCTATATTTTCTTATTAGGTCATAATATCTACAACAAATTTTTTTTTTCACTGGTTTTTGTTTGTTTTTTGTGTTTACTTGTTTCGGCATCTTTATTTAGTATGTTTTGAATGTATTGTAGTAACTAACTATATGCAAGAATGTCAAAAATAATAGAAATATTCGGATATTCCGAGTGAATCGAAGCGTTTAAGCGTTTAATTTTGAGTGAAAGCCTTCACCACAACTATTTTTAATAACCAATTAAAATATATATATGAAAAAAAATAGTTCAAACGTATAACAGAAAATTCAAAGTCTAAAATCAGTTTGGAAATTAATTTGGGCGGTGTTCCCCCGGATGGAAACTACGCCACCAGAACTCGATTAATGTTTTCGGTATTTTTTTTTCCTTCATCAAATATTTAAATTAGTTATTTTTATGAAAACGTATTTAAATGTGTATTATTGGTTTTTCAACTGTTTTTTTTTTTTTAATATAAAAAAAATTACAACGAAACGAAATAAAGTTAAATTATAATTGAATTATACCGGGTAAACGAATATAATATTTACGTCAACAACAACGTATAGAATTTTTAATATATATAAAAAAAAAATAATAAAAAAATAAGACATTTCACTTTCAAAATACAGTTTTTTTTTTTTGTTACACGCACACATTTGATATTAATTTCGACGAGACGAATATGCTTCTTTTTTTTTTCCATTTTAACGTTGAAACAGTATTTTCTCGGCTTTACGTGTATATATCAAGGACCGAGAAATTCATATACGGTTAAAGAACAATGACTTGCGGTTACAACGACGACAGATCGATGACATCGCAACGCCCACACTCTCTTGGCGGTACAAAAACACAAAACAAATAATAATAATAATTAACAGACGAGACTCTGTGACGCAGACATAGATGGAAAAAAAAAAAAAAAACCCGAGTTTTCGTTTTAAAATCAATTGGCCTATTTATTCGTTTTCCATTCAAAACCGGTACGAAACGAAAATATTTCTAGGATGATATAAATATACACGGATATGGATTGGCGTAGACAATTTTTTTTTTACCAGACATGAATAACATATCTATTCTATTACTACATGTAGTCATACGGCATACGTTTCTACCGTGTAAAATTACGCTAAACTGTTTTTTTAAAGGGATATATTTGACATTTACTTGATGTTGGATATTCCACGAAAACAAGGACTGTTCACTATATTGTGGCTGGTATATCTTTGGTTCCCAGGGAAGGAGAACTTAAGTTTATTTTTTATTTATTTTGTTTTGCGTAAATTTGTCCTTTTTATTTTTTTGGGCAAAATGGCATAGTTGAATACGTGTAGATACATTTGAACACATCTACAAAACATTAACAATGTCACTATATTACGGTGTGCTTTTTGTTCGGCAAAAAGGCCAATTTTTGCAAGTCAAGCCATTTAGTAATAATTCTCCAAATTCAATTTTCTTGCATTAAAAACTGTATAAAATTGATTCAAGGCCTATTTTCTTCTGGACCAATTGAGCTCAATTATTATTAACTCAAGAATTTTATTATTAGCGGATTAACGTAATAAGAGTAGGGTTTAATTACAATATGAATTACTGCACCATTTTGTTTCGAGAGGATGATGTGATTTTTAGCTTTGAACACCCCTAAAATCCAAAATTTCCAAATCAAGTCAGAGAATTTAATTTTGTACTTGCATTTGTTAGTATCAAAGATATGTATATTCGGAGCGTTCGTCTTTCTATCTTTTTCATCCTTATTCTTTATATACTATTATAATATAACTCGACGCATTCGAATAACGTTTCAATTTCGTTATCCCGTTGATAGGAGTTGAAAATATTTGCAGTGCTTAATGCCATCGCCATCTGCACTGATGTAGTATTGTTTTCAATAGAAGCCTCAGGAAAAAAAAAAAAAAAAAAACACTGGTATTTGAATTATACATTTCAGTGCGTATATTACAAAAGTAAATACTATCGAAGCAATAGGAAACGCTAAAACGAACGATTTGATGAATAATGGAACATGACAAAACAAAAAAAACCGAACATACGTCAGTAATCATTGGTAAGCCACAGTTAAACGTATAAAAACGATTCCGAAAAGATATTATATCTATAACTTATTAAAGCCTAGGGAATCTAGAAATCGAAAAAATATGTCCATCCATAGTTCGACACGTTGTGGGGTCCTATTCTTGAAAAAGAAATGCATCGCGAATTAACTTTATTGATCTTATCACAGAAGACTTTAAAATAGTATTCTCGATAATGCCATTCTAGAAAAATCATTAGAGATTAAGTGAATTGGTTATCAATTTTATGATAATTTATCGATTTAACTACTCTGGTATAAGGTAGTATAAAATAAAAATTATTTCTTATCGGAAATAATCTCGACATACCTTCATTAAATCGTGCATATCACTAAATTACATCGGTTAAATTACTTAATTACTAAATTAAACATCGGTTTAAAGTATAAAATAATCTTAATAAACCAAATCTCTAATCATTAGTCAATAATCATTCAATTTTGATCAACATTATTATTGTTATAGAAAGGTACGACACCGTTCAAGGGGAATGGTACAGACCTGGATAACATCCCCTCTGATTGCGTCAATTCAGAGTGTTTTATTAAACGCGTTTGTTTAGGTTGAATATTTCAGATATCTTTGCCCGTGCTATGAAATATTATTTAGAAGCGGTATACGTATCACAATGGATTTAAAAATTGTTAAACAATTCTAAATCTTTTCATAATATATTAGATATACATATACATACCCTAAACAGGGTGTAACTGAACTATTTGATATTTTTATATGTAACTACAATTTGAAAATATCACTCAATGTACACCCTGTATATATATATATAGAAAAACGTTCCGTACAAAGTAAACCGTCAGAAGGAAATCCAGTGGTTTTTTTTTTCGAGTACTGCGGCTGTATGAAAATGTTGCGAGAAATTTTAGCAAACCGAATATGTGTTTTCCCTTGAGAACCTAACCATCTCGACAAAACTATATGAAAACTTCCTCGCTCTACTCTGCAAATGCATTTTCGTTTAAAGTACCTACGTATGCATTAGCACCTAAATAAAACACATCGTATTTTACGTACACTTATATTGGCCATAGAATCGGCGCAAACGATTCGCGTACCAACCCATTATATATCCTTTCATGCAGTGGTTAAAGTGGAAAAAAACTTCGAATGGGACTACATTTATTGAAAAATTGATGGGCGTTTCTGAAAAAAAATCAAACTTTCAGGAAACAAGACATCCAAAATGTTTTTCTATCGCACACATATAATTGTTCAAACAAAAATTGCTACACCTATATACTAATAAGTTTTAAAAACACACTGCACCTCTTTTTCTAAAATATTTTCCTACGCATATGCCTGCTTAGTAACGATAAAGTAACACAGTGTTGGAGTATGTATAATTGAACAGGCGTTGAAGAATTTAATTTTAATAAAAATAATTCGAGTTTTTTAAAATTACCTTAACATAAGGCACTTAAATTTAGATTAAAAAGTCACGACTTTACGAATAAAATATAATAATAATATTATTTTTTTTATTTTTTTTCCAAGTCAAATTGGTATCAAACCGATTCGTTGTATTTTTTCATGGAGCTTAGCCGAATTCGATTCTCTGTAACTATCGCCGATTGGGGCAGGTTCGGGAAAGTTCGTGATTTCCTTAGATTACAACGTCATCGTGTTTTGATGGTAGTTTTCGAGAAGGAAAAAAATCCGTATGCGTTCAGAAGACTTCAAAAACTTCAAGAGTTACGCTCGGTAATACTTTTACAATTTTTTTTTCGTTCTAACGACGAACGCTATTATATATAGTATTTTTCGTTGCTAATTTTTTTGGCACCGCGAAAGAAAGAACGCGAAAAAGACCACGTTGAAAGTTTTGAAAAATTGCGTACGCACAAATCACTATAATATGGTGGTACATATAATATTTTACGCTTCGACACTTTATCGAGTTCAAGTAGATTTTACGGGAAAAAAAAAAAAAAAAAAATTCTACTGTATTTATCGTTCGTGCAATGATAGTTACAATAATAATATATAATATACTCGTTGTTCGCAGTTGTTGAATTGTAACGAGAAAACTATATACTATTAAAACTGTACAGGAGAAACGCCCTGTAATTGTTTTTGTAGTCATTCTCGATGACGCGAAAACAGTTATAATATTATTAATGTAGACGAATTTTCATCGCATTTAATTGGCTGACTAGAAAAAAATGGTGGCAATTACTACGCTTGCGTATTTTAAGTAAGGTAGGTATCGTTACTGACTGAGAAAAAAAAAACACACGACCTCTTTCACTATGTATCTTTCACGCGCTTATGGGCAATACTTCTAAAATATACGTACAATTTTCAAAAGAGAGCGCGTTTTTTCCTTTCTTGTTCGGGTGAAAAGCTGTAAATACAACGCTAGACATATGAACTAAATTCGATTTTAAAATGTCGTACCGACCGAGAATTCGTGCAATACTATATTAGAGATATCACAGAACCACAGTATAAATTGACCATCAGAGATACTGTGTCGTAGTTTCTTAGCAAACCGATTTTCCGAATTCATAATTATATATGGCGTATAGTATTTGCCTAGAATCTTGGCTTGCAGTGGGTCCATGCGAATAAATAATATAGGTATATCTACATAAAGATAGTGAATTTTGTAATTGTCCGAATGTTTTTAATGTACCATCTTACGAAAAACTAATTCAGTGAAAATGAAAAAAAAAAAAACAAAAATAATGATTTCATGGGGAAACACGGTCATAAATAAAACTAATTTTATCGACAGTTGGATTTTGAGAGATACCCCTGTCTTTTTAAAAAGACATTTTTCAATTGTTAAATTATTAGATGTTTACTCACACGCACCTACTTTCAAAACTGTAACATATAATTCGGAAGACCGCGTACCTATATAATCTAATCGCATTTAGGAACGTTATCTAAATTGTAAGCCATCTCATTTTTTTCTTCCTTTTTGGCTTTTATACATACCCAACTGTATAAGAGTTTTCGCGGACAACACTACTACTAGCCTTCCATTTCGCCCGACCGTTTCTCCGAAATTTTCCAAACTCATATTTTGAACCATGTCTAACCGCCTTTTCCTGGATCTCACTCGGGGTTTCGTTCCTCCCGATTTTTTAGTTCATAACCGCTTTAATAGGTTTTTCACGCGCATTAAGTGCCCGAGCCATTATTGTAACCTTTGACCTTTTATGAATCTTGCGACTTCAGCCATTCCTATTTCTTGTCAATTTAGTTTCTTTTAACTAATTTTATTTTACACTTAGCAGAACACCACTGTAAAACTTCGGGCCACAAATAACCCATCCCTAAATTGAATAAATATTTAAATAATTCTATGGATAAAGACGATTCCGGATGATCGAAAAACCCCCAAAAATGGAATTTACTCGACATCTTCGCCGGGGATCAGAGAATCTAACTGTATATCAAATATACTCTCGTATAAAACGCCCACGTATTATGTGTAGACAATAAAAATCTCGCTTATATCTAGTAAATCATATACGGTCATTTTAAACGGACTGAGAGACGACAATTGATCACGTTTTGTTTTTTACATTTCATAAACAGTCTATGTCCGAAACGAAATATATATAGGAGTACAATATTGTTGTATAATACAATCAACAATCGAAATCATGCCGTTCGGTGATGAATAATAATATTATTCACAAAATCGAATAATATGTAGTTACGACATTATAATGTGTACGCAGACGACGATGATATCAATATAATATTGTTGTTAACGGTTTAATATCAAGTTTATTAACAAAAGCGTACATTAATAATATTATTAATTGATAATAACGCGTCGATTATGTCACGTGTGTACATAATATTAATGTCTAATTATGCCAGAAAATACAATAATCAACGCAAATATAATTGGTTCAAAAACTTTTTGTCACATAATATGGTTTACGATTACAGCACTAAGAGGTTGGCGTAGTACGATACACGGACTATAGGACAGTTTAAATTAAACGGCAAGAAACACTGCAGCCGACTGAAAAAAATGTAAAAAATTCCGTAAGAAAATCGTAATTCGCAGTAGATTCGGTTTTCGGTTCGCGGAAAGTCGAATGGTTGGAATAAAACCGAAGGAAAAGAGTAGACGTGATTTTAAAAGTGTTTAACTGCACCCGCCTCAAATTGACTATGTTATTTATTCCGTGGTAATAGCGTTCGCGTATGTTTTGCAAGACGTTTAAAATAACGACAGAGCGATAACGATAGTTCAAAAATGTTTATTTTTTGCACGATTTCCAATATATTTCCGTAGTTTAATGTTATTAGATACTGAACAGAGCGAGGAATGAATTGGTATTTCAACGATGTATATTTTTTTTAGGAAATCAAACTGGGGAGGTACGTACTTTTGTGAAGTGGTTTTTTTATTTGCCCAGGATTTTTCCCAACAAATGAAAAAACCGGACAAATTTACGAAAACAACGCATTTATTATTTTCAATTTTTAGAGAAACTTTAAGTTTGCCTTTTATAGACGTGATAAAATGTTTAAACCATTTGAGCCATTTTTAAGCTAAAAGCCATTTTAATTTTAAAAGGTTTTTACGTAATATTTATTCGGTAGGTACTCCGTGGATAAAATTGTCAGACCAAACAGAAATGCTTGACGGTTTAACAGGAGATTCATTATATTAGTATTGAGTCGCACACACAGTGGTCAACAAGAAAATGTTAAGTTTAATGCAATATATATTTTTTTGTATGAGAATTTTACCATCGATTTTTGACGGAAATCGTAAATATATTACGATATTACGGCCTTTTGAACATGTATAACCGAATTCCGCTCACGATCGTTAGCAAAGATTAATCGTCGCGTACAGACATAGATACACACATTGAATTCCCCTCTATTCCGCTCAACGGCTCGCCCTACAACAGTGGCCCGCCTATCGTGCGACGCATGCGTCCGTCCTCGCGAAGCTTTTACGTTTAGCGCGTAAATCTGCAATGCGCGATTGTGATAACGTCTCGTACGATTTCCGCCACGTTTTTCCGGTCCACGGTGTGAACACGTTGCAGCCGACTTGGCGCCGCGGTCGCCCGTCAAGTCCATTCGGGATTCGAGACGCGGTTTCCGCGATTATACAGGTGTACGCGTAATACCGATTCCGGCGTTCAACGAAACTGGACGCGACGGCGAATGATGGGTTACGGAATGGTCATTACGTTGCGCACGGGTACGCGCCACGGTTTCATAACGCGGTGTACATTGTACGCACCGCATATACGTGTGTATACCGTATACCGCATGCCGCATACCGCGCGTACAACACGACGCACACAACGTAAACAACGTAATATGCGCACTGGGGAAGAGGAGAGTAATTATTGTCGGCGAAACGAGCTGTTGACAAATTGCGGTTTTACTACCGTCGCGGTATCTAACAGAGTGCGGCCGTAACAGTGTACACAACATATTATTATTATTATTATTATTATCATCATCATCGTAGTTATCCGAGTGAACAATATCCCGAACACGAAACAACAATAATAATGTAAGCGGTTCGGCGAGCGCGGGTCAAATCGGTTTTGCGATTTACCAAAAACTAATAATAATAACCTTTGTCTACTATCACAATGTTATTTATGAACGATTACTATTCCGGCGAAAAAAATGTATAAAATAAAATAAAATAAAAATGAACTGTTAAGCATTATTGTTTCAGTTTTTTTTTTTTTTTTATTATTATTATTTCATGACGATTCTGTACTATTTGTTTGGTTTGGTTTTGAGTTTTGGTCCCCCGAGTCGTGGGTTTTTATCGGAAATAACGACCGAAGTGGATTTTGAAATATCTCTAAAAAAAAAAACTATTAAAATTTAATTAAAAAATATTTTATTGAGTATTTTTCGGGTTTTTTTTTTTTTTTTTAGTAATTTTTCAACATCTTTGCGGAACGTTCATCTATGAAAATGGGCCATCCTATTATATATGTATATAACCTACCGTTAAACCTACCGATTTATGTTGAAAAAAAAAAGAAAACGAAAAAGAAAGTGTAAAACGGAGAAAACTAATTAATTATAAAAGAAAGAAAAACCCCGACTCCGGATCGGAAAACGTTTAATTCCGCGGTAATAGAGAACATCTGTCCTCCAGCAGTGTTCTAGTAATCTAGTTGACAATAGACTGAACATTTATCCGTCCATTTTTCCGAGCTTGGGTATAAAATGGATAAAATAATAACATTATAAGGTTTAACAAGTCGTGTTTTAATTTTTTGCCCGAGGTTTTATAGACGCGTTTTTTTTTTTTTTTTTATATAAGAAATATACACATGGCGCTGAAAACTCGGTTTAACAACGTAAAAACCGTATTTTTATTTTCCCGGGCGATTTGGTTTTTACGACATAATAATAATCGCGAATCGTCCTGCGAGTATAACGCGAACAAAATATTGTTGTTGCCGAAAAAACGCATTTTTTGGTGAGGAAATTCACGGGATTTCTTTCGATTTGTATTTTCTTTATGTATATATACATATGTGTGGTTGTTTATACAAAAAAAAAAAAGAAAAGAAAAAAATGCCGCTATATAAAAATAAGCGGAATGTTGAAAAGAAAGCCAACATCACTGGTATACGATGAAATTCGTTTATTTTTATTAAAAAAACGGCCTCCGGCGCGTAATAAACTTTTATAAAACGCGTTATATTTCTCGTTCTCTCCTCTCACACCCACCACTCTCTCGTTCTGTGGCCAATGCGGGCGGTTATTACAGTTTTAGCAAATAATAATACGCCTTTATGTTCGACACGCAACGCCGCATCGTAAAGAGTTCCGGCGCATCATTTCTGATTTCCACTTTCGACAAAGGTCCCGGCGCGGTGTGTGACGTCGGGAGGGAATGCCATTTTAAAATCAAAAGTTTATAATATTTTTAGGTACATATAATAATAAGAAGTAGGGGTAAAAAAGTATAGGCATTAGGGAATGCGATTTGGATAGCGAATACCGACATTTTTGTCTTTCTTTGTCAAACTACGTATATAGACGCGACATAATATAGCGATTTAGACGGATTTTCCTACCTTATTGAGACCGATCGGCGTATTTAGTAAAGCGGTAAGAATCTCGAAAACAAATTCGAATAAGAGTGATGTACCGAAACGTGTACGGGATCCCGTCGGAGGTCTACGTTATTCGGTTTTTAAAAAAAAAAAATACATTTTCAAATTTTACAGTTTCTTGAAATTTGGTCCGACCGATATCGCGTACACGTCCTATCACGACGGCTGTTTTTATCGACAATCAGACAGCGCTGCATTAGTACGCTGTAGACAACAAAAAATAAAATAATATACCGCGGTATCGAATTTTCAATGCCACTGGAAAATCCCGCGACGATTCGAACAATACCGGGTATCGGATTTATAAATCGTCCGAGAAAAATATAGTTGGACCGTGATTGAAAAAAATCACCCTGTACCTAACCTAACCTGTACTATATATTATTATTATAGGTTTGGCTTTCGTTGTTCGAATATTCCATGTTGAACAATACCATGTAATAATATTGTTATCTGAGATTTGTATTTGTGGTTTTTGTTATTTAATTTTTTTTTTTTTTTTCGTTCGCTCGTAAATTTATTACCTATCACATTCGGAATGGATTTCAATTATATAATATTATATTATTCCGTTTTTCGTTTCTTTGTTTGTTCGCGAGCGTTTAATGTCCCGTGAACGTTTCGATTTTCTTAATAACAATAATGTATAATGATATAATAACCGACGATTTATTCTTGTATATTATCGCGTCTCTTATATAAATTCACAGTTCATTTACAACCAATGTAGAATAATAATTATCGTTATTTAAACGATTAAAATATCGCTGTATTATCACTATATACTCGTATCATAATATTATAATAGCGTGTATATCTGAAAATTGTACGGAGAGTGTATTCATTTTATAAACGAGTAAAATAATCGAATTCGTTGTATAAATATAAATTATAATTGCCGAGATAATAGATTTAAAAACGATACATACGCGCGAAGTGTTGTACAGAATGGTATTATATGTATATATCTTTGGTACCGAGGATCAAGATTGCAATTTCGTGAAAAAACAAGTATGTAAAAGTTACAAGAAAAAAAAAAAAACGGGGAAAAAATAACGGAATTTAAGGAAAATAATTACAAAAAAAAAAAAGTATATATGAAAAAAATATCGACTAAGCCTTATTTCTTCATTGGGAACAATTACCGTTTTACGAAAAGTACACGAGGGCTCGATAGAGGGTGAAAATTAAAGGGGAAAATATTATCGAAGTGAAACATAATAAAGCCGGACGAGAACATTTTACGACGAGTGATATTTACCAGAAATCGAATGTATGCATTTAAAGTCTTCGGGGAAAAACACACTGGATCCCAAATGGCAATTAGAACATGTTGATATTGTCACCAGTAGTACACGCAGGATTTTTTTTCAAGAGGGGTACTGTTTATAGTAATTTCCTAGAGGGGGGTAGCATATATTATAAATACAGTACTATCATTATTGTTACTGAAAAAATTATTTTTGTATGAAATTAAATTTTGTTTTATTCTGTGATATAAGATATTATGTTGTTGAATGTAAAAATTGATTAAAAAAATGTAGTTAAGTAAGACATTTTGGGAGAGGGTTCGACGCCCTAACCCCCCCCCCCTCCTGCTGTGTGTGTGCCACTGATTGTCACAATATGTTTTTTTACATGTCTCTAACAATATGTATCAGTTAAAACATTTTGCGAAAACATGTAGAAAATATATTACAAGTATTAATTTTAAAAATATTGGGCCACATTGTGAACACGTTATTTGTTCTGCTATTGGTTTTGCTAAGGATATTCTTGAAATATATCCAACAGTTAAAATTACACTGCGAAACATATTGCCACGATATTAATGTTTAAAAACGAAGTATTTTTACAACGTACCAGCGATATATGGAATTAATTGCTATTCGGGAACACGACGATTGAAAAAATCACTCTGTACACAGCTTTTTTTTAAATTAACAACATAATATACTCTAGATAGATTGTGCATTATAATTATTGTATTAATTACTGTGATAATAACACATTATAGGTATTCGTATGTACGAAAACAGACCATAAAGCATTGTTGTTGTTTTAAAACCGCGCGGTTATCAAATCATCAATTGTTGACATTTGATCCTACAATGTGTGGCAGCAGCAGCAACAGCAGCTATAATAGGTATTAGAATAATAATAACGCTTGTTTTCGTGATTCGTATGGCGCAATATTTTTTGGTCAACTGGCATCCTATATAACGTTCGCATTTACATATTAGATCACGACACCACTATTATGAAGGTATATAGTTTTTTTTTTTAAATTCGTTGGCGGCCACGCGAGACCCGCGTGTCGGTCTCGCTTACCATAACGCCTAGGGGGGCTAGGGGTATTTGGGTTATTACGTTACTGATGCAATGATAATTTTGGAATAAAAACCGTCCTAATTTTATTTCAAACTTCAAAGAAAATCGATAACGAAAATACAATATATAATCAACTTATTAAATGTCCCGTTGTTGTGAATATCAAAATTAGGTGGTACTACACTGTAGTATTATTTGAATCCGAACATTCGATGAAGAAATACCGAAAGACATTTCAAACCCAAGACACTGAAAACACGGTTCTCGCTACGCGTTTATTTTATTTACCGGGACTGTTTGATTGTCGGGGCAACGGAGCAGCGGATCGACATAACTGCAGGTTTCCACTACTTCTCTTGAACGCATTACAATAACATAATATAATATACAATACAGGTTTTGTAGATTCTCGATAAACTTCTTAGTTTCAATGTAACCGACTTTTTTTATTAAGTACGTTTTTTCGTGTCGGCGATTTTGTTAAGGATCTAAGGGAGATTTTTATTATTGTTATTTTTATTTTTTTTGGGAGGGGGAGAAGAGTCCAGAGTTTTGTCCCGAGAATGTTGAAGAAATGTCAAGGTTTAAGAATAAATTCAAGTTTAGGTTCGCCAGTAACTTTTTGGTTTGGTAATACCATAAAAATTGTTGAAACGTTATCATAATAATAATAAACATTACCCTTATCATTACGTAGTCATCGAAATGAGAAAAATACAATCAAACAACCCCCCCCCACAAAAAAAAGCTCGTCAAATTGATATTTTTTAGGATTCGATAAAAAAACAAAAAATAATTTTACAAAAACAACAAAACTAAAAAGGTTATAAAAAGATTATAGAGATTATATTATACATTAATATTATGTATTATAGTGATTTACGAAAACGGATGTGTTCAGAAGTTATATAGAAGCCAGTGATATCAATCCTACTGCTGTTCGACGCTCTGTTGGCGCACAATTCAAATAGTACCGGTATTTTTTGATCACACGCCGTATACTTGGGTTGCTATATACACATTTCACGACGAGTTTTCAGACAATCGAATTCGACTTTAATCCAATTTTAATCTTTTGTCGCTTATATGACGAAAAAAAAAACAGAAAGAAAAATGAATGTAAAGATGAAAAAAATTCAGATTTAATAAGTTTATCGTTTTTGAACGACGACAATTGCGTGCGTTTTTATTCTTAGCGAATATTATATCTCGACGAGCGACCGAGTACCATAAAAGCTTTTCGTTTATAATATAATAATATACACAGGAGGTATATAGGTACAATTTGAGAAAAAAAAATAGGTATTAATGCGACGTTATAAGTAATTATAGGTACACGGTAAGCGATTGTTTTAAGTATATTATGTAAAAATTCCCATTAACGTACACGAACGTTCAGAGACGAAAAAAAAAATCATTTTGAAACGAGACCTGCAGTATAACAAAATGCTAAACGAACGTTTATCGCTATTAGAACAAAATCTATTCAATTATACGATAAAACGGTTATACTATATTATACGACCTGTACACAAGAAGAAAATAAAAAAAAAACGCAGAAATACAATATTATAATACCTATCTATTATATTAATACGCGCGTGTAGAAATAATATATGAGTATAGCGTACGCCGGGCAAACGAGAAATAGAAAATCTAAAAACGGAAACGAGAAACACAAAACTAGGTCAAAATTACCCTTATATTTAATATATTATATAAGAGTCAGCTATAAAGTTTAAAAAAAAAAAAAAAATAATAATAATAAAAAAAAGGCGATACGAAGTATAATATTTCTACCCGCTATTCGGTACGTATTATAATATAATATACGCATACAGGGTGATCAATCTATCGTAAGACACTCGTTATCTCGGAGAGTATTAACTTTTTCCAGAATGTGTTTTCTAGAATATTTAAGAAACAAGCTGTTCACAATTTTATGTTATTTCTTGTCACCCTTATTATTGGGGGTAAAAACCACCACCTACTTTCGATTTTTCCACCTCTTTCCACCATTTTTCAACCTATATTAATTAATAAATAGATGAAGTATTAATTAAAATAAATTTTGGTGTTAAATTTGTTGGTTTCCGTCAATCCGTTAACGAGATATTCCACTTTTAAGTTTGAGTTGGGAGAGAGAGTGGCGGTGTATTATTACCACGCCACGCGCCGTACCGCCACACAAATGATGCTCCACTACTCTCCTCTAAACCAAACTTAAAAGAGGATTATCTCGTCGATGGATTAACGGAAATCTAATATTTCAACACAAAAATTTATTTTAAAAAATACTCCATCAATTTATGGAATTTTTATTACAGGTTGCCATTTGAAAATCAAAAGTAGATAGCAATTTCGCCCCTAAAAAAATAAGGGTGACAAAAAATAACATAAATGCAATATTGCAGAGCAGCTTGTTTCTTGATCACCCCGCGTGTATACCTACGCATACATATTACAGTTCATAATTTATTTAGCGTCTCGAGATCGAAAATATAACGGTATACACTTCCTCTATACTGCATAATAAGCGTTATTTTTATAACCGAAAAAACCGCGAAAAATCGAACTTGGGAAAACGAAAATCCAAACCGCCTGTATACGGCCAAACCGGCGCTGCTCGAATTAATGGGGAGGGGCGCAAACGAACAGAGCTCCTGTAGGTTTTTTTTTATTTTTTTATTATACCGTTCCCTCGCACTTATTATGTTATTTCAATTGCACGGACCGAGGACACGGTACGAATCTTTTTGTAAAGAATATTTTCAAAGAAAAAAAAAAAAAAAAACCGCGTATCAACTCGGATTAGATAAATTGTAATTTTTATGTTCTCCGACGTCCCATCGTTGTCCGCATGTCGTAAATTATTATTAATTTCTACTCTTTTTCACTGCGTACCTTAACAAAGCAAACGGAATATTAAACAATTGTATGAGCCGTCTATACTGTGTTATTTACGTCTAATGTTCTAATATACAGTATACTAAATCATATGCGTAATAAAAAAAAACAAAAAACACGTACACAAAAACTTAGCCAACAAAAGTACCTATTGTGTATTAAAAATCGATTTTGGTCGGTTGTTTTTTGTAAATTACTAATTGTACTTGTGCGAGGAGGCTGCGGGGGCGTATAGTCGGAAAGTTCGGTTATCGATAATCGCGAAAGGATCGCCAATTATTATTGCTATTGATTTTTTTTTTGTTAATTCTCATAATCTGCAGACTATATTCTTTTGTTTTTACCAATTCAAACACTGTATAGTATCAAAACGACGCGACACTACGATTTAACAGTCTGTTCATAAATTAGACACGATAAGAGGTTAGGATTATGCAATTTTCATTTTTTTTTTTTCTTACAAAACATTAACACCAAATATATCAAGAGTATAGCTGATAATACTATTATGTGCGTTGACCTTTCGATTTTTTGTGCTGGTCGATCTCTCCACACACCCGATAATAATAATATTATATTTCAGTTCAACGCAAATCGAAATTATTATTTCAGACTGCAATATAAATTATTATACGCACACAGTGCGCAATTACACTATTTGTTAACATAATCTACTGAATGCGTTATTATTTCCAACCAAATTTATGCGGATGAACGGTTTTTGTAAATTTGCACCGTCAAACGCGTTTACTAAAAAAAAACAAAACTACTAAAATTCACGTACTCATAAATATTTATCAAGGCTGGGCAAGTTAACGGAAAAGAAAAAAATAACTCTGTTATAAGTAAATTGAAAAAAATAAAAAAGTTAACAAGTTATAAATAATTGTTTCGTTAAATATCTAAGTCGAGCGAAACGTTAATTGGAAAATTTAATTGACTTACGTTAATTTGTTTGTGTAAAATTGTAACTGTCATCATAGTGAAAATTATAAAACCAATAGTCGGTTATTGTTTTGTTTTCTTAAATAAGGACGATCAGTGTTCAGCGAATATCAAATAGTAATTTTTTTTTTTTTTTTAAACTCCACATCCATTATTGAGTGCAATAAAAAAAACCATACATAATTTATAAAAATAATTTAAATTTGCAAATTGTAAATTGAATACGGCGTTGAAATTATCTCGTTATTTTGTTGATCCCGGGGAAGACTTTTATAAATTTTCGGAAATATTTCTTTTCTTATAATTTTGTCTTATGTAATTTTAGATTCGAACGTAGCGATGGAGCTATTGTTTTTAAAATGTTGTTAATTTCTTTTTAGATTTCGAGCATATTGGTTTTACTAAGATGTTTATTTTTATTTTATTTTTTACTTTTATTTGTTCTAGTCTGTGGACACGTTTGTTTCTAGTAAACTTGCTGCGATTTTTACGTGTAGCAACATTCATGAAATATCAAGTTGTCTAGATTGTACTTTAAAAGGTCATTTTTTGATTTTCGACGGCATTTTTTAAATAAAAGCATTAATTGGGAAAAAACATAGGAAAACGTACAATTTTACGATTTCATTACTTTATAAAAACAATGACGACGTTTCTACCAGAAAAAAATGATTTAATCAAAAAATCACAAGATTCCTCTTTGAGTTTTGAACGAATTTTAATTTTTGGGAGTTTTTTGCTGTAATTTAGTTATAAATACACGTAGAGACTTGAAAGTTGGTAATAATACTTATATTGGACGTACCCAGATGTGGTAAAATTTACGAAATCATCGGACGACTTTTTTTTTTTAATAAGTGTTTTGAAATCAGATTTAAATGAAAATCGCAAAAAAAAATTATAGCACTTCAAATTATGTATTACTGAACTGCGCTCGAAATTGTCTTTCGTCAAGCAATGGTTAATCGTTACTTACAGATATAAATGAAATAACCTTATGTATTCTACCTTCCCAACTTCTAATCTACAACAGTGGCCGCCCCCATCCCCAGTATCGGCTCTTATTTTTTATTTTGTTTAAGTGCATGAGTATATGTATTTTCGAAATTTAATTTGCTCGTATTGAAAACAACGCAAACGCGACTGTTCTTTGAGACTGGCGATTTATATATGAAAACAGCAAAAATGGTTAACCTAACATAACCATAAATAATTTAAAATTAAAATTGACTTTTAATACTATATAACTTTAGGTATCGGCTTTTTGAATTGTTATTCCCCATCCTTGAATAACCATACTTTTATATATATATATATCATATACAGAGTGTTTCATTTCAGTACACTCGTTATGTCGGAAAGTTGACTTTTTTTCGGAATTTGTTTCTTAAATCATGTATAAGAAACATGCAGATCTACAATTATATGCATTTATGTTAGTTTTAATCATCTTTATATTCTGTAGTAAATCCACTATCAGTTACTGTGGTATTATAGGTATTAAAAATTCCAAAAACAGACGGAGTACCTATACATATATTAGTTAAAATACATTTCGGTGTTAACATTTTTGATTTCTGTCAATCCGTCGATGAGATATTGCACTTCTTCAGTTTGGGTCGGAGGAGAGAGGTACAACGTCATTTGTGTGGCGGCTTTTTAATAACGTGCCGCCATTATACTCTCTTCCGACCCAAACTTAGAAGTGATGGAATATCTCGTCAACGGATCGACGGAAAATCAAAATTTCAACAATACAAATTTATTTTAACACCAATGCGACCCCGTTTGTGTGTGGAATTTTCAACTTAGGTCGCCGTTTGAATATCAAAATCAGATATATAGCGGTTTAACCCCCGAAAATAAGGGTAACAAAAAATAACATAAACGTGTAAAACCGTAGGAGCCGCTCGTTTCTTCTTAAACGCGTTTTACAAAAACTAATTCCGAAAAAAACGTTAATAATATTCTTTCCGAGATAACGACTAATGTACCCGTTTAAATGGAACACCCCGTATACAATCGTAACACAATGCTTGCGAAATAAAATAGAATCTCGTCTGAGAATACAAGACCGCGCGGACATTCTTTGTGGCATGCGGGGCATCGAAACGCGCAATGTTCGTATTATTGAAACGCAACGCGAAGTATAATAACACAATTATTATCGTGCGGCCAAAGCGATTATGTATTGTAAAAAAACACGTTCGGATAAACGTTAAGTAAAGAAAAAGAAACAAAAATAATAAGTCGTAATAGTAATTTTCGGTGTCGTTTTTCAATACGAGCGAGATCGCGTATACGACTATCGATTATTATATTTAACACACAGAAGTTTTTTTTTTTTTTTACGTATTATTATTTATTACACGTAAATGTATATTTTCGAATAAATATATTACAATAACAATAATATAATATTGAAAAAGATAAATGCGGCGATTTACCGATTTCGAATTCGCTACACTGCATTATACACAACAACGAAAAAAAGAAAAATGGAAAAGAAGCAAGTATTTTTTTATTATTATTATTATTTTGTTTTTTTACGGTAACAACGTCGACGATAATTTATCAAAGTATCAGTTTCACAAATGCTAAAAACTACAAAAAAAAAAAAATAATAATAATAATATTGTCGAAAAATGTCCGAAAATTAACGCAATTTCGTGTACATTTTTTCTACCGAATTACGATAATTTTACAGTCGTGATTTTGTTTGAAAATCATAAACTGGTTATACTGGATTTTTGTCCTTAAAAAAAAAAAAAAATCCGCGAAAAATTATCTTAAACGCTTTAAATTACAACACTATCCGTTATGCATTTTTTCATTCAGTCGCATTTTCGACACTTTTTGACGGAATTACATTGCCTTGTGGGTTAGGCACCTACACATATTTATGAAATAGTAGATTACGAGTAACTACAAGAAAAAAATAATTCATTGTGAAATAAGAACTAAGTCATGTTACTTGATGAAGTTACTTACAAGAAGATTGAACAACATATATGCATAGGAGATATTATTTAATTTTAAATTTTAAATACAATACTATTATGTACCTAATACTTTTACGTATTCATTTTAAACGAATAAGAATATATAGAATTTATTCACTAAATAATTGTACGTTAGAATTTCGAAAATGTCAAAGTAACTTAGTTTTTAAACCACGATATTGTAACGATAGGTATGTTAACTCGTTATTCGTGGCGATGACGGTTATTGTTATTATAATATGCAAACTCGTCGACTTCCAGAGTTCTATATAAGGAGCGAAAAGTAACAGTATTATACAGTTGTATAATATAGTCATATAATTTGATAGATTCAGTGGCGGTTTTGAACTTTTTTTCTGGGGAGGCGGGGTGAGGTATTAACTTATAATATATTTAACACATGAAAAAATATTTACATAATGTATTTATTAACTCACGTATTATATTTTGCCTTTCTACATGAATGTATTTACCTATATGTTTTAAACAACATAGTTTAAGTTTAATTTGAAAATCGCAACACAAAATCTACTTTTCGTAGTCTAAAAACACAGAAAAACTCCTCCCTCCCCTGTACCATAAAATCGTCACTGGGTCGATTTTTAGTAACTAAACAGTTATTTAGTATGCCTTGTATACTACGCAGTTATACTATTTACATCATTTGGCCGTATATAACATCACTTGGTCACTTTTTGACGCTATAATAATACATAAAATATACGGTCAATTTTTTCATGACGGCGCGGCGACGATGCAAAGGCGACCATATATGGCGTTAAAAAAAAAAAAAATTTCGGTAACAATACTCGTGCGCGATGCTCACCTCTGTTTCCGTTCGATGTGTTGAGCGATCAGATTGCTGTAGTAATTCTCGAGGGTGACTTTCGCTTTGGTCGCTTTGTCCAGTGTATGTCCGCTCAACCGGATACCGCTTTCGGTCGCGGCGCTCATTTCCAATACACCTGGTAACAGAAAAAAAAAATTGTTTACTACGAGGCGATATTAACATAGTACGAACATAAGCCGATTATATATTGAAATACATATAAATCGTATACATATAGTCGGTCGAGACGCATACACAATATTTTATTTCCGTTTGAACATATTTCGCGGACGCGATAGTATTATAATATTGTTTTCCGCCCCTCTTTCCCTACGTTTTTATTCCACGGCGGTCGGGCAAGAACATTTGTTGGATTTCCTCGCGAGGATCCGGTTACCGTGCGCCGGAATCGGGCACGATGATAATATAAAGGGTGAAGGACACGGGTAAAAAAAAAATAATCCATATTTTTGTTCCTACGTTTTATAATAATAGCAGCGGGATTTTTTTTTTTAAATTAATTAATCCGGATCAAACGAGTGGCAATACACCGGTAAGCGCGCGTGTTGTATAATAATATGCGGCCGTGTCCGTGAAAACCACATTTAAATGTCATTATACTCCGCAGCCATTATGCACGTGCATATTGATGCAACGTCATCGCGAGAAAATGCAAAAAAAAATACACACACACACGTATATATACTTATATATATACTCCCCATCACTTTTATGAAATCCAAGCCGCTCAAACACAAACGAAACTCGAAATAATAGGCTAAGCGTTTTTTTCTCATAATATATAATATGAAGAAGGACAATAGTGCCTCATATAAGGGAAGAATGGGTAGTAATCTATTTTGTTTTGTTCAATTTTGAGACAATAACGGTTGAAGAAATACGTTATCTAGTCCGTACAGCTGTGTAGGTACAGAAGAGTTTCGCTCTGCTGAAATATTTCAAAAATGGAGAACTGTACATCAAAAGTATAAATACCAAACTGACTCAAAGATTTATTAAATTAAACGGTCAAAAATCACAGAAATAAGTTGTCAAAGTTGAAATTAATTTTATTTAACGATTTTTTTGAAATAAATATCTCGCGTCGTTACAGTTTCTAATAATTATTTAGGCATATGTTTATCAATACCATAACTATAATATATAATAATAAAATGATATAAAGCGAGCACACACGAGAGCGTAACCCAGTTGTATATACCTACACTTGGGCATATTAAAATAAAAAAAAACCGACGTCCGTATTTTCCGGCGAAATTATTGATGTTTGTAATATTTGTTTCGTTGTTTTTTTTTTCTTTCAATACAGTTTCTTTATAATATACTCGAAATAAAATAAAAACGACTACGCGATTAAACGAAAATACATTAATGGCGAAATTGTCGAATGTGGGTGGAACTGCCATTATTGTTATAAGAGCGAAAACAACAAAAACTGACGGCGGCGGCGGCGGCGCAGGGGAGTGAAACGAGGACGTGAAAAATGGATTGACTTCGATATTGTATAGAGTAATTTTTATTTGCACGCCGTTCACTCAAAAAAATTATATCGGTAAAAAGTATATGTATATATATATTATATAAATAAATGCGAATATTATTATTGTACATGTCGATGCGCGACGTGTTTTCCATCGTTTATATTATATTTAATATGATGTTATATTATATTAGGCAGTGTTCGGACGACGATGACAAATGCGGTGGACTCTATATTAGCGCGAATGAAATGAAATGAACAGAAAAAAAAAAAACGGCAGGGGCAAACGTAAGTGTAGTCTTGCGGCGGCGCGGTAGGCCTTTAGGGACATTAAGTCTTCCCGAAAAGTATACATTATTATATGTACCGTTTTGGTCTCCCTATAGATTGTATCGCATCGATCCCGGGGATAAAAAGGGCTTAAGTTAAGTTGTCGGCTATTTTCTTATAAAAAAACAATGTCGTCTTATGTACTTTTATTTGTCTAAACGGCATAAGCGCACGCATATTCTCAACATATATATAATATGTAAATATGTCAACATTTACAATCATTTCGATTGATAGAAACGGAAACAATGACTCCTACAACAGAACGTCAGAGTCAGACACTTTTAACGGGCCCGCGGGTAAGAAAAATAGAAGCTCGACCATACGTTTCGAAGGGAAATAAACGGTCCGAGGGTAGAGCAAGGTCTTTTTCTCATTTACCCTGTACGGGTGAAAATCGGCCTCGGTTCTCGCGGGCGAAATTTCGCCGTGTACGTGTTTCCCGAGGCGAAACCGCCTCCTACGCGTTTCTGTACAATTACGTATACGCATAGAAGTTGGGCTGGCGTACATAATAACAATACATATTATACGAGTGATTGCGGCCGTTCACGTGATACAACGTACCGGTTAGTGAGAGAAAAACGAGTGATAGAGAGGGGGGGGGGGAGAAGAAAAAACCACATCGTTCTCACCGACTGGCGCACAACAATAATATGTGCGTGCGCACGGCCGCCGTTTGCGACCGATTTATCGAGACCGATTCGTATATCGCGGCGAACGGACAATAAACGATTGTAATAATAACGTTATCATTATCATTATTATTATTTTACCGTCGCCGTTGCGGCCGACGCGAGTGAAAATACAAAAAAAAAAAAAATATATATATAACAATCGATCTCGAATACGAGATCACCGCCGCTGCTGAAAAAACGGAATTATCGTATTGAGGACAATATTTTTCTGAAAAATGTAACATAATAACAATATTATACGTTATTTTCGTAACTATCGTGTTTGGATACATACACATATATAGGTACGATTTTTTACTCGACGCAATTTCACGTGTGTGCGCGCCCGCGCGGTTTTTTCGTACACAAAACATAATGTATACGAAGAAAATACACACTATATAACATGACGATAATACAGACTGTTGTTTTTTTTTTTTTTTGACCGTACGAAAACACCGTATCGCCCGGTCGACGGTAACCATTCAATATAATGGTATTTTGTACTCTGTATTATTGTTCTTCTTCCGCGTAATTCGATCTTTCGACTGGACGGCCACACGGGACCTTCCCGTGTCCGCGTATTTATACTTGCGCGCTAAAATCCGTCGGATCTCCAATGCCCGAGTACCCGAGAATTTCCGGTATTTCACGTTCCGTCCCCCGGTTTTTGTCATCCACTTCCGGTTTCAACGAACACTGCCGTTGTGTATAATACATATACAGTACACGGCCCGACGCAAACCACACCTCATATTGTTGTTGCGATTTTTCCGAATTTGCCATTTTTCCTTAATTCGTCTTCTTCGTTCGTTATACTCTGCCGCGCCGCGAAATGTCGAAATCGTATTCGGTACAATCGCGTTTAGAATCCTTCTGCAAAATTTCGGCGGCGTTACACGGTTGACGATTTTAGGTGGCCGATATCAGAGGAAAGAGGAAGCGTAATGAAGGTCATGGCCGGTAACAAGCGTTTAACGTTTCGGCGTACCCGCGTAAACACCCCGTGTGTGGGGCGGGAAAATTATATTTCGCCCCCGGGGGCCGTAACAATCCCGGTCGATATTCAGGGTTGAGTCGCAGCCCACGACACGCGCGGTCTCCCTGTTACGGCCGCTCGCTGCTGAGTGTTTTATTCGCAATCGGCGTCGCAAGTGTATAATCATTAATGTAATTCGATAATCCACGCGGTTATCGTATTGTATTCGTCCGCAGCACACGTGTACTTACACCGAGGTGATAGCGATTGTTCGACAAAAACACAGACGGGCGGGAAAATGCAATTTTCGGAAATCCGAACCGAGTTAACTAAATTATTAATGTTTATCGGCGGTTTAATTTTGAATTTTTTTTTTTTTGGTAACGACCGTAGACAGATTGAAACACACATCATCAGATATGAAGAGAACAGTGTGCTTTAGACGGCAGCCGGGCGGCGAAACGCGGCCAACGGGTTAAGGGAAATGATATTGTAGCGAACACGGCGATCGGCGGCGGCGGTGCCCGTGAAAAAGGTCGTCGATCGATTTCGTAAACGGGCGGCGGCGACAGCCGGCCGGGACCTGTTGAGCGCGACAACCGGGCGCCCTACCGACCGCGTTTTTATTTCAATAAAAATAATACGTAATCTTCCCGTCAGCTGCCGCCACCGCCGCCCCGGCCGATTATCGGCCTCGAATCGGCGCCGCCGTTTGAAAATCCCGGTGTGCTCGTGCGTTTATATAGGTATATATGGACGTGAATGGGGAAAAAAAATACACACATATATATATACCTATTTACATAATATACAATACTGCCGATATACAACGCTCGTGTATACATACAGGGTGATTTTTTTTTTATCATGATGCAGCAATTATCTCCGGGGATTTTTTATTGAATTCGATTTATGTTTCACTGATCATAATGTATGGAATACTTTGGGATTTATATCAAAACCATTTTTAACCTTTTACCCCTATTCCATATATATATATACTTTAAATAAGTATGTATATACTTTTGATTTTCAAACAGGAATCCCTATTTTTGAACACAGATACGAATAGAGAATATTTGTCTAGACAATTTGAGATGCATAACACTAATAATATCAGATTCACCGTTTATGAATTGTAACTGCAGGTTAAAGTTTAGAAGTTTAGAGGAATAGGGAAGGGTTATAGATAGGTAATGTATTGCCCTTCCCTATACTCTATAATTCACTTAAAATCCTCTGAGATAATTGTTGGTTCATGAAAAAAAAAATCAACCTGTATACGTACAAATATACAGAGTGTCCCACCCCGTGTTCAACGTGTTTTAATAAAGATAGCTGTTCGGAAATTGTTTTTATTTTTCAATTTGCTTTTCTTACGGCGGAAGCACGCGAGTTCGCTTTTTGTTTTCATATTCCGATCGCTAAAATACAGAAATTCAAAAAAATAAACATTTTCCGTTTGATTGCAATGCAAAATCGGTTGTGTCGTAAACGGTGTTGTTCTGAAATTTACAATGTATCATCGTAAGTAATATTAAGCGTCCTCGTCCGCCAGAATATTTATAACTTTTTCAATATTTCTACATTTGTTTAGCGTTTATAGTGGACGAAAATAAAAAAAACAGAATTTTTCGAGGCACAGCAGACGCTACTATACGCCTTCGACGAAAATCGGATTGCAAATAAATTCAAATCGAAAAAAACGATTGAATATTTTGCAGCTCTAGAAAAATCCGTCAAACACCGCGGCGGGACACACCCTGTATATAATACGTACGCACATTGTATAGCCGTCAGACGCCCACACGTATAATAACACGACGACGAAGACGGGTAATAATAATAATAATAATAATAAAAAAATCGTATAATGCACCTAATACACTCTTCTCCTCCAATCCGTCGTCGCCTTTATAATAATGGTAATGGTAATATAAAACTCATCGGATATTGTGTTACTTTGTCGATGCCGCAGCCGCCGGAAGCGATTCCCGCGAGACGAAAAAAGACTCAGCAGTTCGACATATGCGTACGTCACATTGCAGTATCGATAATAATAATAATAATAATAATAATAATAAATAATGTATAAAACCGACGCGGCGTACTAGTGTTTTTTCGGTTTTTTTTTTTTAAAATTATTTTTTCACTTTAGGTACTAGACAGGATTTTTTTTTTTGTTACACCGGGCGGGCACCGATTGCGTGCACGCAACAGACATCACCAAAATCGCGGACGCGTTCGGGACCGAATGAAAAGTGTTTTTTTTTTCGAAGTCGTAGACGTCCGGTTGTTACGCGCTGAAAACATAATCCAAAACAATGCGTTACGATGCGAACGGCTTTAAACGACCAATTCGGGGGGAAAGGGGGAGGAATATGTACACCGACTGTATACTAACGCCTATTATACAGCGCCAAGTAAAAAAAAAGTAACAAAATACAAAAAAAAAAAAAAAAAAATCGTACAGACCGATCGGTGCAGATAAGCCCGAATGTTTATTTACAGCGCGACCTGAAGTGAACACCAGCGGCGACGACCGGAGTGAGATGTGTTTTTTACTTGTTATCGCGACATTATAAAATATACATTCCCGTTTGTATCATATTATCTCCGCGTACAACGAACGGGTTTGTTTCGATGGTTGCGCCAGCTAACGTTAATTAAGATGGGGAGGAGTGATTTTGTCGACTTTCCCGGCAAAGTGTAACCGGCAGATTAGCGTCCTACATAGTTCCACCGCCCGACCATTTAACCACCTAACCTGGCCTAGCCGAACGTTTACGGTTCAGTAAAAACGCTCCGAAAATTTAATACCCGGTCTATCGACGCGGAGATAAAATTTCACTTAGCGCAGCGGCGAAACGTACAATATCGTAATTCTTTCTTTTTTTTTTTTTTTTGTGTCCTTCCGTAAATTTACGTTTCGCGCGGTTATGCGATTCGAAGTCGGCGTCGAAAACATTATAATAAATTATACCGTATATTATTCAGTCAACGTAGACGCGACGGCGACGAAAACACGTCTTGGAACATAATACGATATAGTAGAGGTAACGATTATATTATTATCGATGAAATATCGTCGAAAATATTATTCGGTTTTCGTGCGTGCGCGCGTACAAAAACAATACGACCCGACAGACGCCGCGCGATTAGCGTTATTTGCAAAGGCGGAGCGGAAAAATCGAAACTCAATTGACCGCACGTAAAAAAATACGTATCGTTGTATACTATATACGAGTATATGCCAATATAATATATCCTATTTATTATATCGTAGACAATACGATTTCATTATCGCGGGGATTTCGTGACAAAGCGGTAAACTGCACATGTCTATAATAATAATATTATTATTATCTTGCGGTAGTCTCGCCCGACAGCCCGAGTCGGTATCGTTAGTCTTTTTGGACGTTTACGAGGAAAAAAAAAATTATTTTAAAGGGAAATTCATACCAGTATAACTAAACGAATTTCTAGTGTGTGTCGGTGAAAAATTCCTAGAATACGCGTTTCTACACCTGGCGTATTTTAGTGAAGAAATGGTGAAATCAAAAATTTGACCAAGGAACGCGTTGGTCGGATTGGTCACACGGAAAATAAATATATTTGGCGTTTTTCAATAGTTTCTATTATTAATATTATTATTATTTTTTTTTTTTGTGAACCCAAAAGCTTTCAATCCAAACAAGTACTATAACATCACAGTTACATCATTTTTGTACTTCGTTATCAGTTAAGAAAAAAAAAAACCGTTCTAATATTATTGGTTAATATAACTTTTATGGCAACAACATACATTTTATATTATTTTATTGTACTTTTAACAAAATTATTATATTTAATATAATCCATCTCATTCTCAATATGCATTACTTTCTTTTGCAATCGCGGTCTTGTGTGACCCGAAAGACTGCGATAAATGTGTGTACCTATTTTCAGTTCGATTAGATTTACCAACATCTATGGCCGACGAAAACAATTCACCAGGGTTGAGATCAGCAGGTATTGCTTCTATCATCCAGGTATAAAGCCTCCGTCTTTTCTCTCTTATAAAATTAAGATATATCCCACTCGAGTTCATTCTTCTGTATCTTTATGACTGAAACTGTTTATTCTAGTTTGGGGTGTTACTAGTAGTCTTCCAATAGTTGTATTTAGCCCATTACCATATGAATGGCCTAGCCTCTCAATGGCTGCACCCGTCCCCATTATTGATGAAACTTAATAATCACATAAGGTGATTCATCGAAAATCCTGTGTCGTCCACTTTTCTTTGTTAAATTGTGGCAATCGATTCGCAAATTTGTTTTGCACTAACTTCGTTGTACACTTCTCATAAAGACAAACACACGCCGAGGGACTGGATCTAGTTTCGGTACAGTAACTGTTAAATAATTTGGCCATTCTTGGATTGATTGTTAAGAAGCTCATACAGAATCTTTTACAAGCAATTGCACACATATGCCGGCTTTTCTTCGAAGAACCTACGTTTTCTACTTTTCCACAATCAACTGTAGCAATCGCTTGGCAAATTTGATTTGGCGAAATTTAATTTAATTTTTTTCCTGGTTAAAAAAGTAAAAATAAAACATACCAACTTAATTAATTATTATTACTCTATAGCTAAAAAATCGATACGTAATTTACACGGGTGCCTAACTTAATTAATAAAGGGTATCCTAAAATGCAACCATCGTAATTTATATTATTTTTCATAATATTTATATATTTTTATACATTTTAATATATTATATTATCGGTTTTTAATTAGATGTACCTATGGCAAAACAGGTGTATATTAAATCAACTGCACCCGTCCCCGTTATCCTAAGTATGGATTTCGGTAATTTGCCTGGAGGTTTTTATAGTGGCCGTTTTTATAGTATCTTGGCCTTCTAACACATAGAATTTTATCAATTAACAATTACTTGTTCTTTGTAATGTGCATTACATTTTATACCTACGTAGAGTGATCAATCTAGCGCAAGACAATAATAAAATGTATAGAAACAGTTTTTATTTTAAATATTATACAACCGCCGAAAACGTACTCGACGATTCATTCATAATATATAATACATACAGAACTATTCATATATCGAATAATTCTTAACAAGTAACCCAATAGTATAATTAGTTCTGCCGTGCGATTGGTGGATAAAGCCTACTTGGGGACACCGTTATAAAAAAAAAAAACGCGTCTCGTGCAATACCCCGTGCTTTGGAATGACGTCAACCAATAACGACATTATAATGATATTATAGTCGTTTGCCTAGCCAAGGTGGTGTGGAAAATTGCACAAAATTGTATTTTCTTATAGCCGTAAGAAGTTATTTTTTCATTTACGCGTGGTGATTGTTCGTTGTGGGTTTTTCCGGCCAATGTTGTAAAATACGATTGAAATTGCATTAGAGATTTAACTGGAATTAGCTGTTTTCGAGGGTAAGTATCAGAACAATGCTGATTACTACGTTTTACCTATCCGAATAGTAACTAAAACGGGAACGCGTTAAGTATCCGAACAGTATTTTAGACGAAAAATTTATCGTCCGAACGTATTTCATCCGAAAATATCGGCTTTAACTGTATATATATACGCTTAAAAATTTCAAATATTATTTGAATACATTATGCAAAATGTATCCGTAAAAATGGGGTGAACACGTTTAAAGCGTATCGCCCTGTGTAAGTGGGATGTAAGGTATTCTGTGAACGTGTAGTACGAGTATGCGTATGAAAACGCCAACGTCTACGTTACAAACAAACGGTGACACGGCAAACTGTATCGAAACTTGGCGGCGGCGATAAAATATCATATTATTAATTTACATGACGTTATGTGAATTATACGGCGAACGTGTTCATAATACGGGCGTCTCTCGTGTGTATATACCGTGGTAGTGTTTTTTTTCGATGATTATTTTTCTACGCGATGAAAAAAAAAAGTTTTTTTAAGAAAAAAAAAAACAAAACAAAAAACGGGTTAATGGCGTGTTCGGGCGAACGCGCGTGCGCGTGCAACACTAACGGCAGGTACGCGTAGACGACGGGGGCGGTGGCGGTGGTTTACCCGCACAGCCGCCGCGAGGGGTCAACGACTCGACAAGTGCGTATACCTGCCAAACTTCGTCGTGCCGTCGTCGTCGTCTCGGGTACACAATCCGACAAAAGGATTGAAAAAAATTAAAAAAAAAAACACTTTTACACCGTCTTCATCGACGTCGGTAACCACGCGACGCTTCGCGGACATCGCGCGGTCGTCGTCGTTTCGTTCGGTCGCCCGCGTTAACAGCGCGAAAAAAGCGCCCGGCGACAGCGGCGTAGAGGAGACCCGCGTGGCCTCCGGTGTATTATACTATATTATATTCGTTACTTTCGTTCTGCATAATTATAATATTATCTCACGGTACTGTTTTTTTTTTTATTTATTTTTTATTATAAAAAAAAAAAAAATAACGCGGCTGTTCCGACAAACAACGGCGGACGGATCTGACGATTGTCGACGATACGGCACGCCGTGCCGTATGCCTGCGGATTTTAGCGAGACCGATTGTCGGTCGCGCACAATGGTTTGATATTAAAAAAAGGGCGGCCGGAACTCAACATGGTATTACAGTTTTCCAAGGGGCAAACATGGGCAGTTAATTAAATCGACTAATTTACTGACTCTACATACACCTTATAGATATTGGAAATGTATATATATAGGTGTGAAGGTCGGTGAAAGAACTGATTCAAACCGTACGTTATTGAATATAAAACTGAATCTATAAAAAAACTACTTAAAAAAAAAAAAAAAAATGTTTTACTGAATTTCGGTCTAAAATATCTTCAAAATGTATCATAAACAACAAAGAAAAAGGGCCGATAAGCAAAAAAAAAAAAAAGTATGTGTACACCTCCCCCCCACATCAATTTAGCAAAACATCGGCATGATCGCATGTTTTATATATATATATATATATATTTTATTCAACCGTCCATCCTCTGAAAAATAATACCCGGGGCCCTGATTTGGGGGCCTCTAAAAGGCATGGGCCCATGGCTCATTGCCGCCGTAGTGCCACCCCGTATCATCGGTACGCCATTGGTCGTATATATATATATAGGTATCGATTTCGTACTCTGAGCGAACCAACTATATACGGCAACAATAAGAAGGCGATATTATAGGGTTTTACTGCAGAGTTGTGCGGTTATTTTTTTCTCTGGAGATTTTCGTTAAAAACTTTCGAAAACTTTCACAGTCGCGTGTATATAATATATACCGCGGTCATACAGCAAAAAGACGAGGATTTTTCACCCAGCGGTACTTATTCATTCGGAGCGGATTTTTATCTCGAGATTACCGACAGTTTTTTTTAACCGATACATAATATTATACGACAATATAACCAACAAAACGACTGAAAAACGAATCTGGATAAAAACGAGACCTCCCGAGTATATAACTATGCAATATTGTAATGTCGAGGAGTATAGCCCGCGGGTTCTCGCGGTTCCCGTCGAAAAAGTTTTTCGTTTTTAGTTTTACCCCGAAAATAAGCGGATAAAATAATAATACCTATGTATAATATAGGTACCCCGGGCGCACAGACAGTATACTATCCGTCGTGGTTTTACATCGACTAGTTGCCAGTCAGGGGCCCCACATAAAATGTCGGGCTCCTGTACTTAAATATTTGTATGGGACCTTATTTTGATAATGAGCAAAAATAAAAAAAAAAATCATTGGGTAATAAATTCGTCGTCATTACTTCTAATAAAATCTACAACAAAGTATTAATATTTCAACGGGCCTCCGTACTGCGACTTAAAACGATCCCTTCCCATAAGGAGGTTCTAGCTGTTATACACTTATAGAATACACATTACACACTAACTATTAATTCTTTGAAACATAATCAAGTTTGGACCAACAGATAGGTTAATTTGTTTTGTATAAATTTCCTAAAACTCTTAAAACCAATATTAATAGTTACACTACGTTACGGTTCCGGCCGTTACAACCCCCTAGCATCGGACTTGAAAATTAGATCACAAATGAATAATTTATTTATTGTAATTTGTAATCGATATTCGGAATCGGTTATCTCTAAAACCTCCTATGGTTTCCGGTTAATCTTTTTTTTTACCTATTCTAGTGCCGGGGTGAGCTTCCCTTAGTACTTAAAAATAAAATGACAATTTTAGGGAGTTAAAACGAGATAAAAAATTTAAAATTCCGCGTAACAAATTACAGCGAATAAGGAACTAATTCAAGACATAATTTTCAAGTTGACATGACAAAGCCGGGTGCCTGCAGGGTAAAAAAGCTGGCCGTTATACAATATAACATTCGACTACGTCACGAAAACACGATAGAGATACTCTAAATATATTATATAGATATACACAAGATACGAGAATAATAATGTACCACGAACACGTCACACGCACGAATCGACAATTTTCCGCGGAAAACGCATTTCCTTTTTCTCTTTCTTTATTATTATTATTTTTTTTTTTTTAACTATACGATTCCGGAATACGACAGAAGTTTTCACCGGTATAATTTTATTTTTACTACGCCGACGATATTGTTCAACGACGATCTTAACGATATCATATTGTATATGGATACGCGAATACGCCGACATATACTGTTATATCATACTTTCCTCGTAATCGGTTATTATTCAGATAATATTACAAAAAAAAAAACCGCGTGTTTCTAACATTTGTACGACTCGATATACGGCCGTAGATAATAAATAAATGGATAGCGGAAAACTATGGCGAATTATCAGTTCCCACCATAGCTGATATGTATAAAGCTATAAAAGAAAATGGAAAACGCCTCACTTTATAAATCAATCCCGGAACACTGATAAGTTAAGAATGATCACACCCAGATCTATGACGTTATGACGATAATAATACTATGATAATTTTATATTAAGAGAATTATAAGTTATTATGGCAATTATTAGTATACCTACTATTCGTATCAGTAATTGGATCATTTGGTTCCAAGCGATTTAACAGTCCAGTTAAAAACACACACACACACACAATATTTTTAAACTCTTATACAATTAATTAGAAACTAAAATTTCACTATATCAACAAATAAGAGTTAAATGAAATTTTAGCAATAAAATAAAATATATCTAAAGACTAGACTATAAGAACACCTTATATATAAAGTGTTACCTTATATATATTTATAAGTTACTATACCTACTTACAGTTGGTATTATGTACATTTGTATTCGTTTGGAGCCAATCATACTTGATAGGGATCGTTATCACACAGTATGACGTCACATTAATTGCATCTATGATAATGAAAACGCGGATAAGCCTCGCATATGATGTAAAATATATTTGAGGTCGCGGTCCCGGTGGGAAATTTAAGGAGAGACTATTGAGGCTCTCAATTATCGCAAAGAGAAACCGCCAAAATAATTATTTTATGATTAAAACGTTCGACTTTAATACGCGTAGACATAGTGAAGAAACGTCTATAAAAATATATTTCGTTTTTTACATAGTTTCTATTAATTACATAAATTTTACAACAAAATACACTTCTTGTATTACAACTATACGGTTTGTGGAACAAACAAAATGAGGTCTCGAATTCTTATCATTAGGAGAACGCCGATAGTGACGAATCCGTGTTTTAATAATTAATATTATCCGCATACAGATAAAATAACGAAACGACGGTATATACGAGTTGGTGCACAATAACGGCGACCGAGGATATCATAACGGTCCTCCGTTCGGTTGTGGTGTGTATGTAATTTTCCGCAGACTAGTTTACGGTTGAATTTTTCCAGTACATGAAAATACAACGTAGTGTTGTTTATTTTTCTCATTTTTATTTTTGTGTTTTTTTTTTTTTTTTTTTTTTTTTTTTTTTTTTTTTTTTAATAACGCGCACTCCATATTATAATGATCCCGTGTTATTCGCCCGCCCCGCATAGAAACAGTGTATTTTTTTTTTCTTCTGCCGCCGTCTCCGGCAGACCGCGATTGTAATGAAAATAATAATAATAACGCGGCTATAAAGACATCAAAGTGTCGGGGTGAAAAAACGGGGGAAAAAAACAATATTATAGCGAAGCCGCGGAACGTTAAAACACAACGCGCAGCGTTACGAAGACGGCGGAAATCTTATACGCGCGATAATAACCGATTCTATTTTTACGGAACAACGCGAAACGCGTCGCGCACACGTAGTCGCCGCCGTTATAACAAACGGCAAGAAGACGAGTTTAAAAATACATTTAGGAAAAAATAACACACAAACCGCGACATAACGAATCCCGTAAACATACGTACGAGTATAATACTAGGTATTATAACATAGATATCCGTAAAAACGGGTGAGGGGGAGGGGGCGGTAGTCGATACTATAAAAAATAAAAACCTATTATAACAGAAAACGATGTTTACTACGCGTACGAGTCGTTTAGACGCGGGTATTTTTTTCTCGAAATATATTAATATTTGTGATAAGTTTTTTTTTTTTTTGTTGGTCGAAAAAAGCGTACGCTTTTAACAAGAAATACGTTATATACCTGTCACGTCCTTATGCACGTCATCAAATGTGCATAGGCGTCTAATATGCACTATAGCGGCGAAACAATATAAAACAAAACAGAGTTTGTTCGAATGGACAGAGCTCGGTATTCATAAACGATGTTTTACAGTCTGTATACGGTTTATATAATAAGTAATAACACAGTCGTTTCCAACAAATAATACGTGAAATACAGTTAAATTTCCATGGGTCTAATTAACAGGTGGACAGGACAGCGCGCTGCGTGAAAATGAACAGGATTACATTCGATAAAGCAAAAAAGAAACGTTCTTTGTTTTTTTTTTTTTTACAACGAACAGCATATCGATAAAATATTAATGCCGCAGATAATATAGATTTATAACAATACAGTTTGTCTATGTGATACTATCATTGACGATAAATCACGCGATGCCCAATCAGTTTGTGGCGAATAAAACGCGACGAATTAATTTCGTTCGTCCCGGACACTGTTTTTCGCTTACCGGACAGTTGTCTAATTTTCTGGCGATCCAAAGGACGTATTATAAAATGAGCAATCCGCTATTAGTTAATACGACTATAATAGTACGAGATAGGGTTGTTTCGTCGATAGAATCGACCGGAACATTGACAGTATTATTGTGAAACACGTCGACGAGATTCACTCGAGAATATATTATTATGGTTTACGCGCGGTGTATTGGTAAAGTTTTTGCCTTTCGAAAATCACTTCGAAATGTCATTTTCCCCGGTGTTTCGCGGTCACGCAATGAATACCATACATGTGGTATAGGTACCGCGCATGTGGTAAATTTATTCTAAAGCGAATTCGAATATTTTTTTTCTACTTCTTCGGCCATCGTTTCTACTTAGTCACTCGAGATGCGCGGTGCGCGGTTTTACCGAATCGCTCGTCGATTTTCGGCGATCCGCAGTTTCCGCAACGTCGCATAATTATTATCGTGATAGCTGGGAGAAGTAGCCGAACAAAAAAAAAAACCATACACGACATCCTTTTCTGTTTCGCGATATCGTTATAGTTATACGCGTTCGGTTATTATTACACGACGTCGACGACGACGACGACGACGACGACGACGTTCCGACCCGTCGCCGCGGTTTTTGCCGATACTGTCGTTTGGCGGTTAACCAAACTGTTCTATATAATATATAAAGGGAACACAGTTGCGCAACAATAGCTCGCCCCCACACTAGAGGATTTTCGTTTTTTTTTTTGCTCAGCTTGGTTCGGCTGTGGATCAAATTATCCGCAAACAATCTGTTATACATTTAGATTTAACGATGACACGGTCGATGATGACCGCGAATCATGGGAAACGATTGTATACGGAAATAAATATATTATAATATTATTATCGAATAAATCTTTTAAAACCAGCCGGAAACAAGACCGGCAGAGGACCCGGCGGACCGAATCGTCTGAAAAACGCATTACTTGTAAACTGCGGGCGTTCTCTTTGAGCCCGTCGAATGGCTCCCCTCGATCCGGCTTTAGAACCGTCAAAGAAAAAAAAAAATAGCTAATACGACGGTGTTTCCTGTACATGCGTATCCGAATTCCGACGTGCCGGAAGCGAGCGATTTCTTCGACGGGGAAAAACGCCCTTAGGGTTAGGTAGGCGTTAGAGAACATTGGCAAAAAATATATCTGTCGCCTTGCTATACACAGTATTCGCGCACACCTATGATATGAATGACGTATATACGTGCAGCAGGTGCGGTTAACTGAAACATGGAGGCTAATAAACAGCGCCGAGAATCTACGTGGGCGGAAACGCAATGAAAAAAAAAAACAATTCCAGGGCCACGTGCGTATAAGATTGCAAAGTCGGTATTGTAATAAAACGGCCGTCCAAGAAAACACAGCTGACATATAATGTAACACATAAACGCGGTTTCCATACATCGCATTATTATGTGAAAACCGCGAGAAAAGATTTACAAGCCTTTCATACATACATATTCGAAAGGAATAAAAAACTACTGCTGCCTAATATATATATATATACGTACATATATGTTAGTTAGTATACGTTATGATATAGTAGCTGTGCCGTTATTGTTTGCGGCTTTATTAACGCGTGCGCTATGATGCAATTTTAGAAAACGAGAATACGTCGGTTGTTTTCGCCGTTGACGTACTTACTGTACAAGAGAAATAAGTTATTTGATAAATAAATCGAACGAAGGCTGGCGCTGCCACGAATGCGTGATGTGATTGCCGGCTTTTTTACGGAGACCGTTTGGACGTTTGGAACTTTTTGGATCCCGAACGCAGCGACGGAGCTATTGGTTATACTAAGATATTTATTTTTATTTTTTTCTTTGTTCTAGTCTGCGAACACGGTTTTTTCCTAGTAAACTTGCTCTGACTTTTACGTGTATCAACTTTTCTGAAAGTTGTCTAGATTGCACTTTGGAGAAGTCATCTTTTGATTTTCGACGCAATTTTTTAAATAAAAGCACTTAAATGGGGAAAAAACGTAGGGAAACGGACAATTTCACGATTTCATTATTTTATAAAAACACGGACCACACGTTTTCTATCAGAGAAAAATTATTAATCGAAAAATCACAAAACACCATTTTTGTTGCTTTTTCGATTTACTTTCTTACGGTATCGTTGCCAAAACTTTTGAGCTTTTGAGGAATTTTAATTTTTGCATTTCACGGCACTTCAAATTATGTATTACCGAACTGCGCTAGGAATCGTCTTTCGTCAAGCAATGGTTTATCGTTGCATACAAATATAAATGAAATAACCTGATGTATCCTACATTCCCAACTTCTCATCTACAACAGTTGCCACTCCCATCCCCAGTGTTAGCATCTTGTTTTTGTTTTTTACCGATTTCTAACGTACATTATGTTTACATATTATATGCAACCTGTAGTTCCAACGCACTACGCCTACGAAACGGTTCCCGGGTGTCGGTGTACCACAGCCAGCCACATATAGCAATCGGTTCCGACGAAATCACATTAAAATAATAAAACTATACATACAGGTGTGTCCGTAATTAACTCGTTCAATGTTCATCGATGGGGGGAAGGGTGTTTTCTGGAAACCGTGTCGAAAAGCAGACGTCTGACAATATATAGTACACGGGACAATTATTAGGACACGAACATGTGTATAATATATTATATTGCATATTATTATGCATACGTAGATCGGATATCCAATCTATTAGATATGACAAGATACGTATCTATATATAGCTAATCGAATTGTTGCGATACGACGAACTGTGTCGACACAGGGTCTGGAAGGGATATCTTTTTACGCGTCCGTCAAACGGGAATAATATAGTACTTACCTATATATATATATATATATATATATTGTTTTAATGCAGGGAGAAAAAAAAATAGGTCACATTTGCGCGCAAACGATCAATTTTTCTGTTCGTCCGTATAAATGAAACGCGCGCTCCCCGTCTGTCGATAAACCAATTTGACACCGTTTCGGACGGGTGCAGCATCGCCGTTCGGATCTACTCGTACAAACGCATACTTGTAAAATGCTTTTATCGCAGTCGTAAAACACACACACGCAGAAAAAAAAATGAAGTCATCGTGCGAACCACGGTTAAAACCGAAAACTACTATAACCAAACGAATTGCGTCGCTGAAAACGTCCGTTGCACTAGAGTCGTGTATAAATAACACGGCTATGGATGTATAAGTGATTGCGCGACGGACTATGCTACTACTGGAAAAACCGGCACCGAAAGCTCTTATCAAATACCTGCGCACCGTCAGTGCACCCTGTGTATTTCCCGCGAACTATAATGCGGTATTATACGCGTACATTGACTTAACTATATTACACTGATGGGTTTACCTCTAATATCCAATAAATTAGTATTGCTCGCACCGGATCGCGCTGCGTAACCGCAGGTTTTTGACACGGCCATTGATATAACAGCCGTGTTTTTTATAAAACAATTTTTTAAAAAAGGCTGCGATAAGAACATTTCGCGGTCGAAATGTTTTTCCACGTCGCGCGACCGTTTTTATACCTGTAATAGATATAAAAAACGGTCTATAATAGCCGCGGTGCGGGTCGGACGGTCACCGGAGACGGCGGAGACCTCTTAAATCGTCATTACTGTCCGGTTTGTCGACTGATATAAAACGATAGTCGGAATGAACTTTGTCCGGTACGTTTTCCCGCCGACCAAATAATTATTTATCATCCGAATAAGCGCAGCCGTTAGACCGCGGTTTAAATAAAGGATTTAAAACAACACCTGTAACGGAACGGACGCAACGGTAAAATACCGATTTAATACTCGTTTATTTTATTGTTATATTCTTTGGAAAATCGTAACGTTTGATATCGCACGGCCGTTGAACTGCGTGCCCGGTGCACGGGTTATTAAAAAGATGACCGGATCGTAAACATTATGTTACGTACATCTGTACATATATATACAAAGAGCTTATCGTAAAATATTGTGGTGATAGTATAGCGTGTTTTTCCGCCGGCGTTCACGATATTTTTTCATTATTTTCGGAAAACCCGAGTCTCGTAACCGTGTAGATCGGTCTATTTCCGAAACGCGTACGTAGCGTACAGTGTGTACTCGTAAGGTCCGGGTTTTTGTCCTGCTCGAAACGCGCCACCGTTAATGCAACGAAAACCGTTGGACCGCTGCGAATAACACGAAATACGGCAGACAATTATTTTTTTTTTTCATTCGTGCCGATTCGCCCAGACAGGTAAAGTCGGATCGCACGCAGAACGTCGCAATTTCGTAATTCTTACGAAAAAAGTTTAATTCCGTTATTCCCGGTTTAAACGGTTGAAAAATACAATAAAAACAATAATCGATATTTGTATTATGCCTACAATATTACCAGAAACGGAATATGAATTTCCGAACTGGACCATTCGTTTTCTAATCCATTTTCATCGGGCCGTACACAGTTGTTGGTTATCTGTACACCAGGACACGTGTTCGTAATTTGTGAGTAACGAAAATTCGAGACGACACGTCAACCTCAAACGAGAATACCAAAATGATAACAGTCGTAATTAACGACAAAACTAATAAATAATGTTTATTCAACATCTAAACAACTAAGGTCAGTAGTGTATTATAGTGTCACCGCGCCATTCTGAATCGATTAACGAAACAATTATACGAAATGCAAACGAACTTACCGACTGTATAAAACAGAAGTCCGAATAACGGGTCTAATGCGATTCCAGCGCGGTACCCGATTTAAAATTAAGTTTATTCCTATACTTTTATAGGAAAAACGATCTGCACATAATGTATAGGTATAGGGGTATATAATATGTTTATGATTAAAAATCGTTATTTAAGCTCGGCAAATTATCTCGGAGAATAATTTTTAATGGCCTAAGTGCATTTGCGTATCTCCGACCCGAGTGTGCAATTCGGTTGTTTTAGGTTAAGACAAAATTCGACTATTTCCACGCATAGACATCGGATGGTTGTTCGATAATGTTCGGAGGTACTTATAAGACGAAAAACTCAGCGTTATCGAAGAGTGGTTTTTTCGAATTGCTGAAATAAAAACACCGAGAGCAGTGAAAAATGTACTATATAGACCGTGTGAATAAAAGATGCAGTCTATTTCGGTAAAAAAAAAAAATAAAAAATAGTCTATTTTTGTCCGTCTGCGTCGAACTATACTCGACAGTAACAGTTTAGATTTCTTTTTTTTTCCTGAGGAAACAATTCTTCAAGATCTCGACGACCTCCGATTACGAATTTATTTTAACCGATAACCGATAAATGCGTAATTGCAGAAGAAACTGCGTAATCGTCACGCGTTGCATATTCTTTGGTTTTTTTTACTACGAATTACCGATGAGAATTTCGCATTGACGAAAGCCCGACCGCTATACAAACAATAAACATAATATTATCGTCCTCTATATGATTTTTTTTTTGTTTTTTAATAAAACGTCCGAACACGAATTTCAGGACATAACGACGACAAATTATTAGGTACCGTACCTACTTGAATACGGTTTTCTTTTTTTTTTTTCTTTTTTTTTTTAAGGCGACCGCACTCGACAGCGCAGGCGAATAGTATAGGTACTCCCGTTGTACATTATAATATTATAAAGTGTATAGGTACAGAAATATATATGTAAAATAAAAAAATAAAACACGCATAAACAACAACTACGGTGTTAATAAAAATCGAACGCACTATTATTTATTACGCGCGGTCATACCGGTGAAAAAACCGCCGAAAAAACACGCCATACCACAGTTACGATAAAACATACATAACATATACCCGTATTTATGTTATATATATATATAGTGTCGCGTAAAATAATAATAACAGTTGAATACGATATAGTCGAAATACTCGGGCGTAGGATGTGGGGGGAGGAGCTAAGGGGGTTAAACTGCACTTGTTCTGTACGTTTTTGCATAGAAATAAAAGGTGACTAGAAAACCTTTAATTGCCTCTGCTTATTTTCAGAGAAGTTGTAAGAAATGTTGAGGGGGTTAGAGGAGAATTCGGGGGCTATAGCCTCCTTGGCCTGCCGCATCCTACGGCCCACGCCTATGTCGAAATACCTATACACATAGAAAACTACGGATCGAGTATCGGATAAAGAGAAACGACCGGGGCGCGCGATGGGAACCCGAGACATACGCGCACCGTCGAGGTGTTTTTTTTTTTTTTTTTTTTTGTTTTTCGTTTTAAACGTCGAATATTGTTGTTTTCCTTTTTTTACTATTTTGTTGCGTTTCCCGCGAAAAAACGGACTGCCTCTGCAGTCGCGTATAGTCGCGCGTAACACAATGCGTTTTTACCAGAACGGAACAATATAACGTATAACATCATATTATAACGGCCGGCTCTTGCGCAAATCGAACTATACAGAAAGAAACAGTTTTTTTTTAATTTCTTTTTTCTAAATCCATACGCGACACATGAAAAACATTATTACGAGCGCGCGACGTGTGTTTGCATATTTATTGTGCGCGTAGAACAAAACAACTCATAAATATCGACATGTTTACGTTATTATAAACACTGCGCGCACGATAATGATATTATTATTATACACCGCCCCGGATACTGCGCGACGGAATTCGAGTATAGAAAAAAAAAAAAAAAAGAAGAAAAAAACCGAGTTTACAATACGTTTTTATACGTGTGAGACGACGCGAGCAAACGGCGAACAGGAACAAATGCTGCGCGAAATACGTGTATTTTATAACAACGTCGCCGTTTCGGTTATTATAGTACACGTACCAAGGGCGATGTTTCAACGTACAGAGTGATTGGTGGTTTTCTTTCGTCGAGAACGGGCCCAGACGTTCCGCGACGGAAACGTCGGCGGATTCGATATCCGTTACGGGATCGCTATCGTCGTCCGCGGCAGCAGCAGTGCTCCGTTTTCCCTCACCCCCCCCCCCCCCTAAAACACTCGGGTCGTCGCCGTATTCGAAAATCGAATCGCGGCACGCGCCACGGCCCGAATAATCGTAATATTAAGTACGATGATATCACGACGACGACGACGTTATACCAGATTCGATTGCGGCTAACCGCGCGTTTACGCCATTGGACACACCACGTTGCGATTTCGCGGGAAGAAAACTCGCGGTGGTGGTCGACAGCGATTTTTATCGCGGGCTTTCCGGGTTGGACACTCGCACGCGGCCGATCCAATGTCACGGCCGGAAGCGATCACGACACCCGCGCGCTGCAAAGTCGCCGCCATAAACTAAACGTACTAAACGCTGCTTCGCGGCACACGCGCGGAATGCAGACGATTCGGAAAACGTCGTATACAAGACCCGCGTTAAACGAAAAAAACCGAAATCCCCGTTGTTCGAAATCTTCGCGGACGGTCCCCGGACCGCGACATAGAAATCGCCTTGCACGGACCGCCGCGATTCGGATCGGACACGTGGTCGTTACACGATACCACTGCGCGGTCACGGTAGACACAAAACATCCAGATCGACTCCCGTCGTCCGTAATACCCGCGATGCTCCATATCCGATCTACTTCCTGGTCTCATCTATCGCCTCTACAGTTCCTCCGCGACTTTTCCGGTCTCCCGAACATGTGTTTTCCAGCACCGTACACGATGATGTCCGGTTTCCGATACAGCGATTTTGTAATGGTTCCTCGTTCTCTCTGTCTTCCCTCGTCGGCATAGCCGCCCCTCCTCTGCCGAGCAATTGAGCGCCCGCGAGAGCATACAAATTTCCCCGCTCGTGACCCCTGCTGTTCGTTTCATCGGATTTATATTGCGCGTAATTTCTGGATTTTGCGCCCGTCGCCGAGATGCGCTTTAATTATCGTCGCCGACGATAATCTATTATTATTATCATAACGCGATATAATTAATAGTTAAATTAATATTTTTGCCCAAATTACCGTGAAATAAAAACCCCAAAATACTATAGTCATTAATCCCGGTCCGGCCGGGATCGAAATCCTCGAGATTATTTCCGAGTCACGGATTTTTTCAATTAAAAATGAACCGAGAGTTTGAAAGTCTCCCCCTCTCTCCGCCCACTCGTATCCCGCAGGACGACCGAGCTTAATTTTTAAATTTTTTCGGGGAATCTTCGTTATTATATTGTTTGAAACGCCGTCGTCGCTCGTCATATAAAATTATAATAACGCGATATGATATACGTATTATAATAAACGGGGAGGGCGAACAACGCGGACGATTACGCGGTCAGCTTTGATCGTCGGTTCGTAAATTATATTCACCGCGGTCGTGTTCGAAATACGGACCGCGCGATAAACGGCGAGCGGTAAACTGAATTTTCCGGATGAAAAAAAAAAAAAAACGGAACGACGAATCGATTACGTTTCGCTACCATATTTAAATCGCCCGCATTGATCTCGCGCGTTAATCCTAAAACCGAATTGCACGGCGTATAATAAATATATCGCATTATTTATCCCGGAGACCGGAACGGTACAGAATCGATTAAATTAATTGCCCGGCTCTGGAAATCTTACTTAATCTTTTTGGGTGTATAAAAAATGAAACGGTTTTTTTTTTTTAAATTTTAGGACGACCCAGAGGAGAGTACAATATACCTGTATACGCGGCGAAAAGCTAGCTCGATTTGTCTGTCGCGCGCGCGTGTTCTCGTCGGCCAAGATTCGATATGTCTTTTTCTTTCTCTAAAATGAATGATATTTTCGTTCGTTACGAAATATCATTGTTATCGACGATTTCGGTCGAACCGAGTATAGGCGACACGCGGGTTTTTTATGCGTGTAGTTTCGCGGTTATTACCGTTATTACTGTTACAGGCGTGTTTGCGACTGTTAAAGTCAACCGGAAACTTATGTATGTAAACTGATTGTTCGACTACAACGCGACGTAGCCAAAAAAACGCTAAAGCCGCCTATATATTATATTATGTATTTAAACGCTCCTGAAAAACGTACACGATAATTAGATACGTCGCGTCACCCCTCTCTACGAGTTTTTTTTTTTTTTTTTTTTTGTCGCAAAAAGTCGAGAAAATCGAGTTTTTTATATTCGAATTTTCCGCGGATTTAGCCGTTAGAAATGTCGGCGCGCGACAATATCGCATATCATATTCGCCGTTTGGGAAGTTCCTTTTAAAAACGGGAATTCGGGGTTGTCCGAGTGCGTCCCGAAATGGCCGTTTAACAACGTAATTAGTGCGTCTAGAATAAGAAGTATCGCACGAGTGCGTCTAAATAAAAATAAAAAATAAAAAGATCATTTTTTCAACGTAGAGCCAGAAAATGCGTCCTGGTTCGTTTGGAGTTAAGGCACACTACAAGTGTTGAACAATGGCTTACACCCCGGAATTATTTGGTCATTTCGTTATCTCGGCTAACACGCATTACAATATGGTTGTGCGACCAAATAGTAAAAAAAAAAATAAATAAAACGGTTTTCATCACTAATAAAATAAACGGCTCTTATCAGTATCTGCTTACCTGGAATAAACAACACATAATTCTAGGTTTTAATGATTTAATAGACAGATAATGATATATAATATATTATTATAATTCGAAATTTCTTCAAATTGATAGTAGTCGCCAGTCAGAGCTGTATAATATTTTTTTTTTTTTAATGCCTGGTGGTTGAGTGAACGCAAATACAATTTTGTCGAGTGTTCATATATATAAACGTATATTACGCAAGAAATCGACGTTTAAACGCCACTGTTTTCAAAATAAAAACGCCATCGTTTAACCTCAATGTCAGGACGAACTTCGATTCGATCAGGTCACCAATAATTACGAAGTCTCATCGGTTTTTATAAGGAGAAATGCTGCCCGCGGTCGCAGCGGTTATTGGCCGCTTGGGCTACAGAAAAGGGCAAAATTCAAAACAGGACGCACTTGAGGGATAGAACGGGGAGTCGGCATACAATGCAGTGCCGCCGCTGCTACTACAGGGTGTACAACACTCTGTGTACGCGCGACAATGACGGTTGAGCGAAAACTAATAAAAAAAAAAGAAGAAAAGTGGTAACTTTTACACCGTATGTATGCGTACATACGTACCTACACACAGTGTTGTCCGTATAATTACACGACACGTAGACGCAGTGACTGAGTGACGGCTGGCGCCGAACCCATATAAATTTATAAAAGGCGACGGCGAAAATGTCCCGGCGCGTTTTCTCCGAGAATTCAATAATAATGGACTCCGGATCGATTTTTACGGTATTTTATTGCGAGCGGTGTCGCCGGACGGACTGGCCGCCGTTGATTTTCAGCACCTACCTTATATAATACGAATGGGATTAAAATTATGATACATTTTATACACGCAAAAGTACGCGCGCCTTTTACTGTTCGAGGGGACTTTTTTTTCGCATACAATTATACGGACAAGTACGGATGAAAACGATATTTCGTATACGCGTGTAAAGACGACCTTCGTGTGCGCGTAAAAACATAGTTTTCCTATAGGAAATAGTACGTGTTTTACCAAACGAATTTCTTCTCTAAACCCCTTCTGAAAGACATAGGCGCCACCGGGGGGAGGGAGTGAAAGGTTGCTAGAGGGTCTTAAGTATTCCCAAAAATACCTAATAAGGCTTTTTTTTTTATAGTATTGACTATATTTTATCCATAAATTTCATAATTAATAAACCAAACAAAATACCGATTATCTGCAGATGATTGCAATATATGTGTGTATACAAAATTAAGTTAAAAATGTATGATACATTTTTACATGAAAAATTGTAAATGAATAAATGATATGTGTAGTTGCTCATTAAAAGTGCTGTGTAAAAGGGATTGTTGAAACGATGACCCCCATACACATCATCACAGACTCCACGTGTCCATAATTTTAACACCCCCAAAGTTGGTGATCTCTCGCGCCTATGGTAGGTACTATTATATGTTTCTGTTTCGCGTATCGAATGAAATTTAAAAATTACAAAATAAATTCTCCAGGCGAAAATTGTTAATACTCGAAGATCGTTTATTGTACAGTTCAAAGTGGGTTTCGAATCGATACATTTTCATATAGGAACACTAACGAATGCTGATTCTGAGCAGAGAGTGTTATAGGTCGTATTTCTTCCCTTGTTGCCGAAAATTGTAGGTTTTTATTATTTATTAATACTATACGAGAAATATCAAGAAATTATCTCGAAAATTCACCAACCAGAAATTTGTTTTAAAAAAAAAAAAAAAAAAAGCTACAAGAAAGGTTCCGTAAGGTGTTTGATCAGAGTATGCGATTTCCGTTAAAAGCGATTTTTTTCAGACGAAAAAAAAAATTTAATTTAAAAAAAAAACACGTCGAAGTAAAACCAATTATATACACATATTCTTCATTTCGCTCAGAATCTAATAAATCTTCGTGTACAAATACGTCACCATAAAAAATTAATACAGATTTCCGTTTAAATATTATACGCGTGTATTATTATTGTTATATTTTGTAATGATATGCTATTTAAGTTATCATACATTATGTAAAAAACATATTATGTAATGTAAGAAATAAATCAAACAATTAATAACAGGAACGAAAATTAAACATATATATTCAATTCCATATTTTTTTTTATCAAATAACATATATTTTAATGCGATATCTACTCATCGTAAGGATATGCTATCATATATAGTTAAAATAAAATGTATAATCAATGTTGTAAAATAATTATAATAATTTATAGCCATTAAGTATTAGATTAAGTTGCTAGTGTTAACCAGATTAAGATAACACATTTACACACGCATACACACATAGATCTCCAGTTATAAGGAGGCCGGCCACTTCTAATCACACACAGTGTATGTATTGTTCCCGTTGCTTTTGGACAGATGATCACAAGCGAGTGTAAAAGACTACGCAGAGATTCTTACAAAGCACGGGAACCTAGAACAGTGTTTTATATTTAAAAAATTAATAAAAAAGAAACAGTTGTTATATTAAAATCTTTTTATTTACTTCGGTCATCTTTATTAAATTCAACAGATCAATTTGCCGCCTGAAGAAGAAAGGTAATCAAATTTATAATTAACTTACACGTGTGAATCAATTTTATATAATTAGGCTTCCCCGTTATATTTTTGAATTACAACAATTTCTTCGCCGGAAAAAATGCCCTTCGTACGGGTTCGCGGTAATAAACCGCACGTTTTCTACAGGTAAATAATCCCCGATGGTAAGACTTTTCCGAATTTTTTTTTTTTCAAAATCGTTGTTTTTCGACGCGAATAAATTCTGAACAACATTATAACATTTCACGATAAATTCGGAGACTAATATACCCACAATACTATTTCGCGTAATATTATAATAATCATAGCAAACAAACCGCGTCGCGGAATATTTACGCGTTTCGACGAGTACCATTATGATATTAAAATACGTACAATAACAATGTATGAACGGTGTCTGACGGGTGTCTATTTATCGATTTAATAAAAAAAATAAAAAAAAAAAATTGCGTACTCGCAAACGCAAAACGGGGTCACAACAGTCGAACGTATAATACGATTACAATTCTATACGGCCGCGTTACGCACGTTATTATTACTGCACATTCGTTATATTATTATAGGATATAATTTATATGTTTCCATTTCCGCGCGTCGCGTAAAATAAACATTTTATAGAAACGGGGTTTTTTTTTTTTTTTTCAATACAATTTTTATTTTTCGAACGCCTAATAGCCCGTGACCGACTGCTTCCTCTGCCGCGAGATTCCCCGTCGACGTATAAAAAAAAAAAAAAAACGCATTTAACGCGTTTAACGTTTCCTCGCGGGTTTCGCGGATCTGCGTGAATAATAGATACGAAGCTTGCAGAAGAGGTTATCTCCCATCGAAACTCGGCCGAGCAACGGCTTATAATAGCCGGCATATGAGAGGAGGCGGGACTCCAAATACGGTTTCGTTCGCGACACGGGCGAAGACATAAAACGAGCGAGGACGTTTGACCCTACGAGAAATTTCGGTGAAGCGTCAACGCGCGCGTTTGAATACAATGTACTTTAAACGAAAATGAATACAAAGAAAACAAAAACCAAACGTACCCCCCACCAGCAATCCCTTATATCTTCCTGTATAATAATTTCGAGCGAAATCCGCAACTATCTGCACGTCATTTCGACTATAGTGTCTTTTATTTTCATTTCTTTATTAATCATGGCTACGCGACCGAACAACAAATCGAGTATATTTCCCGGCCTATAGTGGATACGGCCGGCCGTCGAATCGTAAAACACGCGCCGTACTTGCACGCGTACCCGCGCGATCGAAAATCCCGCCGTTTCGCAAGCGTCGTAACCTATATCCGAAATCGTCTACAGGGCGACGTATAATGCGGCAGCTACGGTAAGGTAAACGGCGAGTGAGTAAATCGTCGCGCGTTAACACTGTAAACGCAGACGAAATGAGTTCGGGCCGCGCTTATATTATACATAATAATACTTGGCAGAGAGAGAGTGAGAGGCGAAAGGACTCATCGTACAGAAGCCCGTAAAACCTGTCCCGGACACTATACGTATAACGTTGTAACCGCGTGCGCGCAGGTACACTTCAAACGGTTTCGGGAACGCGCGGTTTTCGCCCGCTAAGTTTTAACACTGTGCGCCAGACGCGACGCGAATTCGAGTGTTTAGGAGATACGCGCGCGAGTACCGAAAACCTGCGGCACCTATACACACACACACACACACACACACACACAGTCGCCCCGGCGCAATAATGCGACGACAAAAGTGTGTGTGTGCGCGCGCGCGTGTGTGTGTGTGTGTGTTTGTATATACGATAATAATAACACAATCTCGGCAGAATATCTCCGAGGCGAGTTGTTGGACCGGAAATATACGGCCGGTGGTGCGTGTATAGGTAGAGGTGCCTATATTCTTGCGGCAGGACGGCGGAAAATTAACGAGCGAGAGGTTCTCCCCAACTTTCACCGACGTCGTATTCCCCGTCGCGACGATACCATCCGCGTCCCGTCGCCGTCGTCGCGCGCGCGCGCGCGCGGGGAAACGATATTTTTATTTTTATCTCGGATTTTTCGTTTCGTTTTTCGCGCACGGAACGATGGCTTTTCGACCGACGCACAATATAACAGATACGTCGCGTGTATTGTATTATCGCGCGTCGAAAAGCGCACTCGATTATTCATCGTTAACGAAAACGACGCCCGCGACGATGTTACGCCGCCATTGTCGTATGCGGCGAACAAATATATTCACCTGGGGAATATGAATTTTTTTTTTTTTATATATATACACGCGGGTAACGGCGGATTTTTTTTTCTGTTATTCCCCCAGCCCGCAGCGCGTAGCCGCAACGACGGGACGTTTTGTGTGTTAAAACGCCCGCTGTTATAATAACGGGCACGCATACGTCAGTTAAATTCTCGCAAAATCGATACGGTATGGACGTAGTATTGTCGGACTTGATATTATTATTATTTATCACGAAGGTCGTGGACGGTATATACGATGTGTCAAATATATACGCGATAATAAGGTAATTGTGGTGGTCGTCTCCTGGAGTGTATACCGCGACCCGCGGAAGTGCCTGCAGCCGCAGTTGGAAATCGCATGCACAGTTAAGGATATTTTGTTTCAAATATAAATACGTCAACGTTAAACAATGCGCATATTGTTTAACCCCGCGGAGGATCGTGTGTTTAGCCCCGCCCCCGCCCCCGCACAAGTCGTATTTAAATATAAAACAAAAAACGCTAGGGCGTTACCAAAAATCCCGGCTCGGCGCATGTCCCCGCGACATAAACGGCGAGGTGATGAGGTGTGTTGTAGTGCCTTGCGTTGAAAAATAATGATAATTAGAGTGGGTAAGGTAGTTTTTATTTTTTACACAACATCCGGATGACGGACATACTAATTTTAGCGCGTCCCCTCGTCATCGCGTTCGATTAGGTTAACGTCGGAAAAGTATTTTTTTTTTTTTTTTTAAACACAATACGAATTTATATAAGCAAACGGTTTTTTACACGCGGATTGAAAAGAGCAAAAAAAAAAAAACCCGCCCGCAATCGATATTTCAAGTACTGCGGGCACACATAACCGGCGAACAATACCCTCCGCGCACAGATGATGATGTCGGAACGGCCGGATCCCGGTGACAACCGAAAAACATCGCCCCGTACGGAAATCGAACGCCGGCGGGGCGAAACGCGTTTTAATTAAGTTTTCCGACTTCGCGGCGACGACCGACCCCGCGACGGTTATCGTTCAACCCATTAATTAACGAAAAATTCACAGTCACCGGCGCAACGAATGAACACAATAATAAGTACAGTACAATGGCGAGCGTATATTATTATCGTCATCATATTATCGCGCAGCGTAATTGCGGCGATTTCGTCATCGCGCTATAGATATTCCCGGTAAATTGAATACCGCCCGTTTCGCACTGCGCGACGGGAAAACGCTTCTAATTAACGTCAATATGGCGCAGCGCGTTACGGACATTTTGCTCGTGTCACCCCTGTGCATAAAAATAATCGCATTATAAATATTCCCTATAAAATATGGAAAAACTAAAAATAAAAAGAAGGGGGAAAAAAAGCCGATACCGCGCGCGCTTGACGCGTGTACCGCCGCGATGTTTTATACATTACATTTATCTGACAATTGGTGACCTAACTTTTTTTTTTTTTTTTACAGAGGGCCATGAAAAATAACAATAATTCTTGGTAGGCCAGCGGTACGTTCAACGGAACGGACCGCTAGAGAGAAAAAATGTCGCGGGTGTTAATTTTTGGAAATTTGAAGTCGATTCTTTTTTTTTTTTTTTCGATTTTGATCTAACAGTACATATTGGCGGGCCGATTGATAAACGATCGCGGACCGCAGTTGTCGGTGGTCACGTGCACCGTTCTATAGGAAGGAAGTCGGAGGCGGTAGGATTGATTTATGTCTCGTCATAAACCGCTGCTGACGAGAAACGATTGCGTACTAATATAATATAATATAACTAATATACTAACAAATAAATTCGTTGGTACAAACTGAAACATTTTGTACCGGTTTATTAACAGTCGATACCGATTATTTCACAAGAGCCGTACATATTCGACGATGGAAATCAGTGTATGCCCACCATTGTCCCGAATAATTAACAATAATAATATTAATTAAATATTAATCATAATTATTTAAATTATAGCCTATATATACTTCCCGCTTATTAATAATAATACCAAGTATATAGTGTCCTTTTGTTAGGTAATTTTATTGAATTGTCGATTATCACGGGCATTAAAATTAATTTAAATATTAACTGTTATCAATTAAATTGTTATTATTATAATCATTTATCTGTTCGTTTATTATTTCGAGGGGGAAATGAGAGAGAATGAAATCGGCGTCGTCAATTTTAACACCGGTTACTCAACAGAATTTTAAAATCCACACCGGTTTGTACCAACGAATTTCTAGATAACAACCGTCCGAGGATTTAAGACGATCTGCTCGTATACGTAACGATAACGCGCTACACAAATTCGTGTATACGAGTCGCCGTTCATTTCCGTTGAATCGTACAGATATTCGGAAGGGAAATAAGTAAAAAACCGAGAAAACAATCGATAATGCTGCAAGTTCAAGGTTACGAACTTTAGAAAAACTTTAGCGACGCCTGGCTATACTACACCTATACATTTTAATATATTACAGCGATGTGACTTTTCCGTGGATTTGTTCGCCATTGCTTTTCGTTTTATGCGTTCCGTATTGCAGTGGGCGTATACGAAAAACCTACGGCTATATATTATTACATCGAAATAGCGCTGAATTTGTAATTTTGAAAATTGCCATTTTTCGACTGTATATTTCGCGTATAACAATAGCCCGACGTAATATCTAATAACGGAACGGCGCTAACCCCTATTGCGGTATATAAATATAAAATTACAAAAAAAAAAAAAAAAACCGCATAGGTATTCGAGGGAAAAAGTTTCTACGATATTTCATAAAAACAAAAAACTTATTTTGACGGCCGTCGCGCTATCCATTTCAATTAAATTATAATATTCCAAATGACACGGAGTGCGCCCAGCTATCGCGGCAACTGCACAGACAAGAATCGTGTGTAATTTATTTACACGCTGGCGTTTGTGCGACTAATCGCGTTAATGCGGTCGAAAAAGAAAATATAAAAAAAGGAAAAATAATTATAATAATTGTCAACTATAATAATGTTATACTAAATTGAAAAAAGAAAAAAAAAAATCGAAAGACAAAAAGGAAAAAAAAACCTTCGAAACGATTTATAAATATAATAATAACGTCTCCGGCAGCCGATGATAACCCGCGTGCAGTTTACAGGCGAAAAGTTTACCGAGGGTTTTTTTTTTTGTCTATGTTCGCTATTATCAACCGTTGTTAGCCAATTATACAATTTAACAGTGTTATAATAATGTAACACGGATTTTTTCGAATATTCCGCGCTACGGCCGATTCCAATGGGTTTTCCTTTCAAACGTATAGCGCGGTATCAATCAAGTCACGCGTGCGATCCATGATTTTAAAATCTAACGCTTCGGCCGGTTTTCAGATCAAATCAATACGTCGGTTTCGTTTCGAAACAGCTCTTCGTTAATTATAATAAGAAAAAAAAAAATAACAATAAAAACGCCGCTCTCGCTCCTGCAGTACATAGATAATACGCGGGATAAGCGCATAAAAACTGAAGGCCGCAGAAAATAATAACATAAACGCATAACGTTATCAGGCGGTAGACAACGGTTTAAAACTGCGTTTTTTTTTCTTTTACAAAAACAAAACTAACCAAAGTTTCAAAGTGCCAGCTGAAATAGAAAATAAAGAGAGAAGAAACAACAAACGTCTTCTTTCAAAAACGAGAAAAAAAAAGACCGTTCGTTAAATTCTATTGTACTATATGTGACATTTTAACAATTTTTATCTCACTTCGACCTCTGTGATATCGTATTGGAACCACCACGCATGAGCCGCGTATTCTAAAATGTTTCAATAACGTTATAACATTTTTATTTATCTATGGAATTTGAAATACATTATAGTGTCATTCGAAAATCAAAAAGCGGTAGTGGTTTCAAACCCCAAGAGTGAAAAAAAAAAAGGACAGGGGCAATTGAACATTTTGAAATAATATATTATGCACGATTCCAAAAAGCTTTCTTCGTCCTGTGGGTCTTTCCATCGCAAGACCTTTTTTTTTTTTTTTAATTTAATACGACGGAGACTATATACGTTATCAGATAAAAATCTCATTGAAGTTAATTTGTTACCCGTTTTGTAAGTTTTTAGTTTTTTTTTTTATTGTTTTAAACTTTTTTAATTTTCAAAACGTTCTTTTTTTAAACTTTTTAAACGTCAGAGGGACAGGGGGGGGGGCACTCAATCGAAATAATTATTCGCGACCCGAGTACACTACCCCGTCTTATTCATTCTATACTGCTATTTAAAGTTTGGACTATAATATATATATAGCTTCGCCATATTATCATTTGATCCGTCGACACTTTTTATTTCGTATTGTCCGCCATTGTTTCTTGTCGGACCGCGAAAACTGTAGTTCCGAATAATCGTAATTTCAAACACTTTTATCTTTCTTCCGTTAAATATTTCGAGTAGTGACCCGAGCGCTGCCTGCACATTTATCGCGTAAAGAGCCACCGGTCTGACCAGAACTTACGATACAATGATACTTGGATTTGACCAGTGGCGTCAACCCGCAGTCAACTACTCACTGCAATAATCTGCACAGTATAGTTGTTTCAGCACTTCGTAAACAGGAGGGCGGACTATATACATAGGTGTTAACCTATATATTTACCTAACCTAGCCTAACCTTACCCTTTAAAACTTGTAACCGCTGTACTAATTCTAAGTGCCGATTATTTCAGTCGGATATTTTCAAAAAAAAAAAAACTTCCTAGTAAGAAATTATATCGAGTGACGAAATCGGACGAGATTTAAACCGGATAAACAATTTTGGATTGGTTTTTTTTTTTTTTTTAATTTTTTTTTTTTTTTTAAGTATTTTATCGAGCTACAACGTAAACAGAATTCCGGTATATAATATTATGAAATATCGATCTAAAACGCGTGACTTATATTCCGCCGCGCTCGCGTGGGATAATACTGCAGGAATTATAGGAATAATAATAATGTAAACTTTGTCCGCGCGGCGCGTGTACGCCACCGCGGTTTATTCCGGAGATTACCGAGGCGAGCGAAAGGTTTACGAATATACAACAATAATACGAGCTCGTTTTAAAACGTGTACGCGATTTACGACCGTGTAAATGTATTACAAATATCCAGCAAACAATAACTGCAATATTATACGCTGCACTATATCGTATATATTACACAGTGAAACACAAGGAAATCGGAATTAATCAGTTTGTACAAGCGGCCGACACCGGGCCGCGGGGTAGTATAGGCGAACGGGCGCGTGTATGGGGAAGCGGTCGAGTTGCACAGTTATTATTATTGTTATTTTTAGCGCTAATATCACCGTATGGATTACGACGGAATGAAATAATGGTATTAATTTCAAATCCGTAAATATTAATTATAAAAAGAACATGAAAAAAAAATTAAAAAATATGTAAATCCGTGCCAAAAGATTTGCATACTGTAGCGTCTCCCTCGGACCGTCGTATATTAGTATAGTAGCAGGTGAATTCCGCGAAGAAAACGCAAAGGAAAAAAAAATTGACACGCATCGTACGGCGGGTGGGCTTGCGTTGTGTTGTAGGCGAGAAATCGGGAAGGTAGAGAGGGGAAATATGCGGTTAATATGATCGTTGCTTACGAAAAACGATTTTGAAGGGAGTTCGGTTGTATAAACGTGTTTTTTTTTTTAAAAAAAAAAGGCCGTGATATTTAGAATTTGAAAACAATATACGTTTCGTAGATTATCCCGTTTATTTTATCAAAACCCCTGGGAAAATCGAAAAACGATCTGCCTAGAGCGCCGCTCTGGTGAGATTTCCATTCGGAGAAAACGCTACACATGCAGCAAATCGGAGCGATATTTCTGGTGGAAAAAATTGTTCACGGAAGAAATAAAAAACAAACGTCATCGTATAGCGTTCCACCCTCCGCTCAGAATCTAAAATGAAAAAACCGATACGGACGCCCGCGATTTCCGAACGTGATATTATTATAATTGGAAAACTATAGAGGCGGGGTCGGTTATTTTTTCTGTCGCACTTTTACGCGACAATAATAATAATACGTTCATTCGATTATACGACGACTATATACGTACTACATATTGATCGCGAAACAAACGCGGGCGAGCCGGATAACGGCGATTATTTATTTTCTAAACACAAAAACGACGAGCCCATCTTTTATCGAATTCGTCTATACAATGGCGAGTCCGCAAATCCGTTTGGCGCGTGGCCGTCCGAAATCCATTCGATCGAGACAATCGCCACGAAAATACCTAACCGAGTCAACGTTGTTATCTCGAGAGATCGGTCCGAGAACAATAAGAGAAATGAAACGACAAATCGATGATATTTCGAATAGCAACTAATTTTTACATCGGTGGGTTTCCACAATTGTTTAGAACTGCGTACGACTAAGATGCAGAGGACGTGTCGTAAACGTACGACAAATAGCAAATTAATGTCCCAAAGAGACGACATACTAACGTAGGGCTGTTGTTTTTTCAATATTATTTATATATATAATGAATCCGACATATTATCAAACTCGCGCTGTTTTTTCGCGATATTCCGATTTCCGTGCGAGATAATGATAAGCGTTATTAAATAAATTGTGACATAAATTTCGCATTCTCGTATCCCGCTTGAAAATTAAAATATCGAAAAAAAACCAGCGCCAACGTCGCCCACGGTTATTGTATTCAGCTTGTCTTTCGTTTTGATAATAGCTGGTTATAGGTTCGCTCTAATATTAAGAAAAAAAAAAACAACAACAAATTCAAATGTGCGGGTACCACGTCCTCTCTTAACAAGACGTGGTACTCGCATTCGCATCGGCATGTATAGTACAATTCCGCAATTGCCGGTTTCAATATTAACAAATCGTGACGTTTAGGTTGAAATGGCGGGTTGAACGTGAGTTTCGAAATTTGACGAGGAGAAGAATATTCTAATATTCCGATATTTTAAATGCGCACCATCGTATAACGCGGTACAGAATGCTATCGAATCGGCGATTTTGAATTTCCATCCGGCACTGCCGGGTTGTCTCGAAGAAATCCTAGACGTTCGAGTTCGCCGGCCCGCCCCTTTACACCCTGTACATGCATATAGCTGATATACATATATATATATGCATAGTATAGCGAATCCGCCTTTATGTAACACGTCGCGAAACCGAAAACGACGTGACGGACGCCGCCGCCGGTGACCGAAAAAATATAAATAATATATGGCAGGTTTATTAATATGAATACGCCGTCGAATCGAATCGATTTCCGAACGGGGTTTTTTTTTTTTTTACGTACACCGCCGAGTTCTCCGGTCATCGCGGTCGACACGGCGCCTACGCTATACCCCGGAAAAATATTACAATGATTTCCATAGAACATGTTATATTGCACTCGAGAATGCGCCGCCGGCGATATTAGTCGTTGAAAAAAAAAATTAAAAATTACGGTACGCGTAATCAAAATTTCCGAAAACATGTGATCGACGCAATGGGTATAACACGCCATCGCATTCATATTTCAACCGTTACTTCCATTGTACACAGCTAAATTAATACGACTCAGAGTCAAGACGACTTAATTATTATTGGTCTCGGATCACGGGGCTCGGCTATAAAATTGCCCATTATTGCATTCGGATAATAATATAATATTACAGGTATACACCTATTTGGGTACAACGCCGGTCCCGTACGGGCAAGTTTTTACGAAACCGTGGCTACGGTAAACAGTCGTAATTTCGAATCGATTTATGGTATTATGTATCTATCAACGAGAAAAAAAAACAGGAAATTTTACGAGCAGATCGAGTTCTTCTATACGCGCGTTGTGCGATTTCCACAGCGTCATCTGTTTAGCACTATACTATTAAACACGAGAAGAGCGACGACCCCGCGCTTAGTTTTTTTTTTTTTATCAATACAATTACGGGTGCCATAATAATATGTAACGACCTCCGATTAACGTTAAATACGTTATAATATTTGTTATAGGCGCGTGTGTTGTTCCCGTACGGTTGGTTTAGGAGGAGACGAGCGGGCCGGCGAAAAAACGGTCGCGCACGAAAACGTCCGAATAATAAATTGTAACTAAATTGATTTCGAACCGGTCTGACGGCGGCGGTGACGTTTCGCGGCACGAATTAATAAAAGATATTATTGTTTGACGAAATTGTACAGGGTGATGTCTAAATAGGATGATGCTTGCACACGGTCAGGCCACTGTGGCCGGTTGAATAGACGAAACGTTCGAAATTCCAGTGGAAAACACCCGATCGGTGTGCGTCGATGTGAATATTTTAGTGACGGGCACAGCCGAATATATGTAGTTAACGTCGAACTCTCGAACAGTTTTTTTTTTTTCTTTCTTCGAAATATTCTATAGTTTTCCCGAACAATTCGGCACTGAAAAACAAAATATTCGACAGTTGTACTGTCGACAGTATAGTAGCTATTGCGAACGTCCTTCGTCTTCCTCGTGTAAACACGTCCTTTTCGAACTCTGACTTTACTATGTGATTATTTCAAAAACACATGGCGCCGTCATCTGTGTCGGACCAAGTTTCCAACACTCATTCGGTTTCCTTATGGATTCTCTTCGATCCACGTTTTATCGTCTTCTCGTCTCCATATTTAATATGGTATAGTATGATGACCCGGTCATAACTGATCGTCGATAATATTCATTTTTTTTTTTTTATTGTAATATTAATCGAGAATAATATTTTTAACCGCCGCGGTAATGCCAAAAAAAATGTAATGTGTATGTGTCGGTAAATTGCAAATATACACGCATACGTATTTTGACATCCTGTATACATATATAATATTAATCTTAATATAATCGAGAGGGGAAACCGTTTTCCGCGACAACGCACAGTATATATTATATTATTAAATATTAGCCGGTATACTGGTTTTTTTTTTTTTTTATTAGTTTATCGTTTAAACTATAAATATACTACGTCACGGCGGCGTCGTGGTCGTTGTTTGCCGAGTAAAAATTAATTAAGTGCTGTTATTATTATTATTTTTTTTTTACCGTTTTAAAAACGCACAACACTTCGGCGGCGTGTTCCGTCCGTGGGCCGCGGTGTTTGTATACCCGACAACAATAATAATACTGCGACCAAGACCGCGGCGGCACGGGGTCGTACGGACACAATATTATTTTTATATTCTACGCGCGTAATATTTCTACGTATACATATCGTCGTTGTACAATTTTAATGGTTGTCACAGAGCAAATAATAAATAATCGATACGGAAATAATAACAGGGGAGGGTAGGCGAAATACCTTAAACCCCGCACGGAAAACCGCAGAACCGCGCCTCAGGAATGACTCTGGGGCTCAGGCCCGGATCATTTCGAAAAATTATTTAATATTTCAAAATATAGCATCGGTAGCATATATACATCGGTATATAGGTACCTATATAGTCTATATGACGGGAGCAGAAATACGTGAAATCCTCGTTACGGTTCCGCGGATATATAGGTCGCTAGCTGTTGTATGAACCGGATACGCCGGGAAGGTACACGCGTAGACGGATGATGTACAGCGAATGAATTATAATTTGCGTATACTAAATACAACGATAGATCGTCGGAAAAATCGATTCTAAGCGGAAGATTATAATATAGTACTAGTCGTGGGTTTTTTCCACTTTTGTAACGAGAGAAAAACCGCCAGGAACTAGACAAATTTGTTCATGTTTATTCATCAATAAAAAAAGTGTTTTCCGAAAAGAAAATGATACACATTTCAAGGATAGCTTTCGAGTTTTTTCACTATACGCGCTCAGAATGTAAAAATCGTTTTCTTTTCCGTTCAAGATCGGTGTATTTTATCATTTTAGAAAAAATAACTGCAGTATACCACTGGATTCGGTTTGAAACTGTTCAGGTATATTTCTAATTTTTAGCCTAACGCTTCCTGCTATGGAAAAACTACACCACGGTTAGGTTATAATAGAATATAATAGAATAATACGGCTGTTATCGTGAAGATTCAGCGATATTATCTGTACGCAGCTTTTGAGTAAAGTCTGCAATTTTGAATATTTTCGGTAGTACACCAGTAGGTAAATAGTATTTAGAGTTGAGTATATATTCGCGAGGGTCGACTACGCGGTATTGTGCAATAATGCACAGTTGAGACGATCGAAATACAATTGAAATTATGCGAAAAAAAGAAATAATTTGAATGGATATATATATGTATATATGATATGATATATATATATATATATGTATCTAATGCTTAATTTTTTTTTCACGAACGAGAATATGTTTTTAAAGAGAACAAAACGATAATAATAATAAAAAAAAACAATACGATAAATGGCGGATTTTGTGGAGGAGGAAATCGGTTTTTAAGGTCCCCTACTCGTCCGTACAAAAGCGTGTTGGTATAAAATATAATATATGATGTGAAACGTATCGCGCAAATGTTGTCGCGACGTTTTTTTTTTTTGTAAGATTTTCAATCGTCTGTATGTCACAAAAAAACAGCGCGTGCATGCGCGCGATAATCGTTCACGGTTTTGCACAAACGACATTGATAAGAGCCGTACCACAATTATATTACCACTGTAATTACAGTCCGTCACTACTTGTGTCGGCCGCGCGAAAAAACCTAAACATTCCGTCGACGACATTGATGTTTGTAACGCATTTACTGTATTACGTCATACAGTTTACAAAGAAAAAAAAAACTTACAAAACGCCTATGTATATATACAGGGTGTGTCTCGCGAGATTTAACGATGTCCCCGTGCGCGATTGCTACACCGTATAGGAAATGTTCAAATCCTGCAGATTGTCATTATTTCGCAAACTATTGACTTTTTTTTCGAGAGAAATTGTTTCGACAGTCTCTTAAACTAACAGTTTTAAAGTGTTACACTATATACCGTGATTTTTGATCGCCGTTGTTTTCGGCGGTAACACGGTTACCTACTTTTGATTTTCAAGCGGTAACCTTTAATAGAAATCGCATAAATAAACGAAGCAGTATTATTTTTTAAATTGTATTCAGTTTCGAAATTATCGATTTCCTTTCGACCGTTGATGAAATCTTCTACTCATACGTTTAAATAGGGGAAGATTAATGGAGCACTACTCATTTCCCCTCACCTAAACTGAAAGGCGAAATATCTCGTCGACGGGTCGAACATTTTCTTGGACATCGACAATTCATTGAAACCAACCAACTTCTATTTACCGAATTCCTAAAAACAGGTCGTTGTTTGAAAATCAAAAGTATAGATTCGCCCAGAACAGCAGTAGGGTGATACAGCCGTTCGTTTCTCAAAACCATTGTCGAGAATACGATTTTCGGGGGGAAAAAAGTCCATACACATTGTGAAATAATGAGATTTTACGTTAAATGAATCACCCTGTATGTAATATGTACTTCCTGCCCGCGATAAAATATAAATCGATCACGCACGGTCTTTTCCCCCCTTTTTTTTGGTTTTCCTTATAGTTTCGTACCAGTTATATATGACGTGACCGGCTGTACGACGAAATAAACGTCCACATTCGCGGCCCGGTGCAGTTCTATACAACAACCTCTCCGCCGTGGCCGTGTTACACGGTCTCGCGTTCACGACACTTCCCGTCCGGGTATAAAATAACAATAATCGCAAGTATATAATATAATACATATACGCCACACGCAGAAACCCCTCCCCCCCCCTCGGTGCCGTGCAGCCCGGGTGCAGGTGTTCCGTTCTAGAGGTACACAACAAAATACCAGTAACAATATATATATATTGTCGCGTGTTCGGAGAGATAGGATATCGTTCGTAGGTACGTATTATATACAGGGCGTATCGTCTGCGGCATTTCCCATACGCGCGCTGGTATAATTGCATTATAGAGAAATTGTCAAATGCACATCCTGTACGGGTGTTATTATTGTGCGCGGTTGTCGTGCGCTCTCTCTTGTTATGTTTTTTTTTTATTATTATTATTATTATTATATATAAAGGTACGCCTCCGCGCACGCGGTCACCAAACAAATCGATATGCATATTATTAGGTACGTGTAGCAGAAAGAGCCCTGCTGTCCGCGACCGAAACCTCGCCGTACGAATATCATTGTTAAATAATAATATATCAATGTTCGTTTTGTACGCGTAAACGCGGAGGAGAGCAATAGTGTCGTCTGTCTACGGTTCGCGCCGCGGGTGTGCGCCGCGGGCGTAAAGTCGGGGAAAGCGCGGGTGGCGTACCTACTGCACGAACCGACGGGGGCGCGTCGAATTTTCCGGAGCGTTTACACGCGAAGGCGAACGATTTATGGATTTGAAATTGCTTCGATCCCGTCGTGGCACCGGAAAAAATCGAAGTTCTATACAATATAATTGCCCCCCAACGGACGGTCGGCCGTCATTTATGTCCAGAGACGTAGCTAGAAATATTTTTCCGGGCTGGCCAGACAAAACAATATAAACGTTTGAACGGGAAAGACTATTTTATTATTACTATTTATTATTATTATTGTATTATATTGGTACAAATTTGTATTCAACGCAAATTGTTGATTATCAAATTGTGTTAATTTCGGAGAAAAGAGGATCTACCAGGACTGCCCGCTGGCCACGCCACTGATCACCACCTATAATATTCGCGGTATCCGAAACACGGTTTAGCCGTTTTAAGCCCGGTCGGTTCCCCGAGGTTTCGTGTCCAAAAGTATTCGCGGTCTTCCACGTCCTCCTATCCTACACTCGGTCTTTCCCCGGGAGGACAATTATTGGCCCGAGTGTCTTATGAGCTTATCATCGCGCGTTACACGTTCAAATAGTAACCCGATTCACGTATTTTCCCCGTGCTTGTATTGTCGTTTCCATGTCTGTAGCCGTTCGTTTTAAAACATTTCCGTTTGTTACATTTGTCGAGGTCATTTATGTGCTTGCACTCCGCATTGTAAGATCGAGAGGAGACGTAGCGTTCAAGCACAACGCGAGTTTCGTCGGTTTGACTTGATTACGAATACGTCAATCGGTTGAAACGTATACAACGACTATTATTGTATAGATATTATATACGTCTAATGTACACGAGAAACAAATAAAAACGATATCCGACGGGTAAAATGCGATCCGCCAAACGACTAACTGTCGTTGAAAATCGAAAAAAAAAATCAATTTTACTGAAAAATACTTAACGTGCATAATTTTTATAATAAAAAAAACCCCCCTTCCCGTGTACTGCAATTGTACATTTATATATATATATAAATATATAATATTACATAGAGAAAACGCGTGACATTTTCCCCGTAGGACGGCTCGCGCGTCGGCTGATCGAAAACTATGGTTCGAGAACGGAGAAGGAGAAATGAAACACACACGTGTCAAAGGCGAATACGTTCGGAAAAAAGAAATTACGGTTTCGTAAAAATAAATAAATCCCGATAACGTTTATGTACATTAGTATTTACGAGGCCGGTTGCGGTATACATATACGGACGGACGTCACGGGGAATCGGCTATCGGTCAGAGATAATCTTTCGACCCGACGACGAACAAACGAACATCACCTGCGGAGCGCAGCGAGTTTCGATAAAAAAAATATTATTATTTTATTTTTCTACTCCAACAGCAGATTAGCGGCCGTTGTCTGAAAAACTGTGCAGCGTTCATAATTTTTCGTTTTTATCCGTTCCTCCGCTGGCGCGATGTTTGTTATAAAATATAATAATATCGTTTATTTACCTATTATTGTTGTTTGTTGGTTCGTTCGACAGAGACGGGGATAAAAAAGAAAAAACAAACACACACAATAAAAACAATCAATCACGAGGCCACAGATTCGGCCCCGCGACAACCGCGGCCGTTATCGCGATCGGTTATATACGCACACCTATAAAATATAGGAAGGTAATTCTATTTAATAATTACCATTGTTATTATTATTATTATTATTATTTACAAGCAAGTGACGATTATTTTACAACGATTGCTCGGTACGTGCGGGTTAAAATATAAGTATTATACGGATATAAGCATCCGCGGTGGTGGATATCGTCGGGCGTTGTTTCCGCGCGACAATTGCACGTTTGCGATTATTTCTAACCGATATAATTAGAAAAACACAAATATCGAAATCGAAATTACAAAAATATCATCTCTCCTCCCTCCCCCGCCCACCGGGGAATTTATCGATTGTCGAGCAAACTACGGAGACAATCGAAAAATGACACCTGGCCGTTGCACCGGCTAGAAATGCAAATTCGCTACCGACAATCGCTCTGAAAGTCGACGATCTTGGAATAAGGTTTTCGGTAGAAAATGTGTTTCTAGACAGAAAAATAAAAACGTGAAAAACAAACCTATCCGGAAAGCCTGACGTACATTTGCAGCGCCATCGGTAGATCGTTGTAATAGTAGGTGGATCGGGTGTTTGGAAGGTGTGGGGTTAGGTTGATTCAGGATGATTATCGAGTTTATAAATTACAAAACCCACGCAAACCCGTTGCCATCGATACAATAAGCGGTAGATGTGCGAATTGAAAATCGTACAAAATATAAACGATTACGGGGTAAAGACCGGATATCGAATTCGGACTCGGAATCCACCGAAAAATCGCCGGGTCGTGATATTGAGATCACCCAGCTGTACGTACGTATATTCACATCACGAACAATTGATATCATAACATATTTTACGATGATATAATATATTGATGATAATATAACCGAGACTATCAACCGGCGAATAATTTAGACGGTTTTTTTTATTATTATTTCGTTTTTTTTTTCGTATTCAGACCGTTTTATGCACGCAAAAATCTTAAAACAAGCCCCTTTTTTTGTGCAACGGTAATAATAATAAGAATGGAAAAAGGTAAAGTAACTACAGCAGTTTTACCGTGCCACCGTATTATATATGCGTCCATAGAAAGAGCACGGCAAAAAAATTACACAAATGTTTTATCCGTGGGATACGATAAAAAGAGTCAAACGACACACTCAACGAAATTGTTTTTGTAAGTAGGTACTCACAATATATGTAGGACAAACAATTGTTGTTCATTTGAGTTTGATACGTGTCTGAAGTCAGGTATCTGTGTATATATATAGACATAATATATTTACGTGAAATCGTGTACCGCGTACGCGTACATTATTTGTGGAAATAATTTTTTGAGAAATAAAAAATAAAAGGAATCCCAACAACTTGTATAGGGGCCATTTTTTTAATGAGCCAGATATATATTATGGAGTTTTAAAAAGCTGAATGACGGAGGAGAGTCCGCGTGTGACGGATGAGATGGAAACAGGACAAGAAAAAGGACCGAAAGAGCGGCCCAGAGTGATCGAGTCGAAGACGGGCAGTAAAGTCGAGCGGTGTCTTCGACACAAGTACCTTTTATCTTTACCTTAATATATCGATTTTAGACACGACATTTTTAACTCGTATCGCGACACAATTTTGGAAAGTGTCGAGTATCTTGTATTGCGATGTTGAAATCGACGTATCGAATGTCTACGGATTTTTGAAGCGTCTCGCCGATCTATGACGCGCAGTCTTCGATTTCCTGGTTATATTAGTTGCAGTAATAAACACTGTATAGTAAACCAAGAAGTAGCAAACAATGCAGCCAACTGTTAACCGAAAATTAACTCGCTGAAAAAAGCCCGATATCGTCTACTATATTATATTTGTTTTTATTTTCTCATATATAGAGTTATAAATACGGTTTATGTTTAAATAAATAAATAAATGGAGTGGAGACCGTGATCCGTGGAAATGTAGATGGGAATGATAGCTATAAGTTGGACAGTATAGGAGAATTACTAACGAAAGTGTTTTAGAGCAAGTAAACAAAATGCGAAATCGTTAAAACACATACACATCAAACACGTCGTTTAGTATACATCACGGAGAGGAAGCCAAAGTGGTGGGTCACATGGTCCGACACTATACGTTTCTGGAGAGATCATCTCTAGACGTAAGGTTACGGGAAGAAGAAGCATCCGATAGCCAGTCGCTTTTTTAAATACACGATAAAGAAATGTATAATCTCTCGCAGACCTAGAGAGAGCAGTGAATGACAGTAGGGGTCGGCTGCAATGACTAGGTCTTTAGAAGCCGATGGCGATGATGACACGATATTTAAGTTTAACACGAAAATCGCTATCCCATATGCAGCATGAAAATGATAGTAAATATATAAAATAAAGTAATTACTGTTGCGATTTATCTATGATAATATTTTTTTCGCGGCCGTTTTGCCGGAAAACAAACGTCCCTCGGTCGTTTCATCATGATTATATGTATAGGCATATAATATATATATATACACAAAGAGAGAGAAAGAGAGAGAGAGAGAGGTTCAATATCGATTTCGTGCAACGACGACAGTGCACCTGCACAAAGATATCTTTACGACAAAATAAAAAAAAAAATTCCTATACAATAAATATTATTTCGCGCTCATTGCGTATGCGGCAGCTGTGCGACCTGAACTTGAACGACGGTTCTCAGTTGTTTGGTCATCGAAATAAAACCATTAACCACTATTATGTTCTACGCGCGAGAACAGAATAGATTATTATAGTATTCTCATTGGATGTTGTCCAAAATAGATTTTTCGGTAAAGTCGTATCTGAACGAGTATAAATTATCCAGCTCACGTGTACACAAACTCGCGTATACGCATAGAGATCGTTATTAGGTTTACGCCCGCCAAAATACCAACGAAAACAAATTCGGAACACGCTTTCTGGCGAAGCGAAAAAAAATTGAAAACAACGAAAACGTCATACCGCATATTCGCCGTTTTTTTCCCGTTTATTAAGAAAAACGCGAGGAAAATCAAAAAATCACATCGCCAACACACCAGCTAGACACAATTAGCTTTCGGAAAAGCAGCTACACTTGACATATTTTTAGTAAAGAAAATCGTAAACAACGGACAGAAAAATACGTACAGTTGCGCTCAAAATTTAAAAATCCGCATCACGTTCTTCGCACCATACGGCCAGACAGCTTGGCCACTATATAGACGGTAAGTTTAATAGTTAGATATGTTATATATGATATATTGGGCAAGTATACCGAGCACAACGTTAAATTATTGCAATCAAAAAGCCATTCTGAACGGATTAGTGTACTACATCAATCCCCCGATCGGAACTTACAGAAATCAACGAAAATAAAACTACAAAAAGGCGTCTGGGAAATCTGGAAATCGTTTTAAGTTTTGAGGGAAAAAGCACCGAGAACAGCGAAGAAAAAAACACCGTCCGTCGGGGTACCACGTGAAAAACACCGAAGAAGCACACAGAAAAAAAACAACGACAACGTACGCATATCCGTTGGTGTTATATCGGTTGTCGTCGCTGATCTGCTACACTCGGAATCTAAAAACTGGCGTGTTGTAAACTGTTTTAGGATTTGAAACCCTGCGTTTCGACGCGCGATGACGATGAAACACGCAGCGACTCGAAAACATTATTGCGAAAAAATAAGTATGTACAAATACATAGGTAAGTACAATAACGATTAGCCTGAATAATTACCGAAACGGTTATGTTATCCGCGCGACAAAACGGGTATCGCGTACTGCCGATAGCGCTGCTACGGGACGCATTATTTCGAGCGGAGAGGCGAATGGTAACATTCCCCACCCCTCATCCACGACTCTCCCCCTCACCCGGTCACGTGTAATATTATCTCGCGGTCAAATAACGCGCACGATAAAAAAAAACAAAAAAAAGTATTAATATAAAACTATTCGTAAAACGTTTCGCCCCGCGGCACACGGAGGAAATGCAAAAACCCGGACGTTCCTCCGGCGTGTCGTGTCCGTTCGGAAACGCTTCATAATCGAGAGGGAACAGCTCGCGAAAAAAAAAACAACCAAACTGTCGTATCGGAAACGAACGTCCCGAGTACGCGACTACAGCGCCGTACGGCATTGCGCGATTTGCGCGCGCCCGCCCCTCTCGCCGTTTTTCTCCGAGGACACGGACGGACAACAATCGGAGACGAAATAAAATTAATTTTACGCGTATTTGTACCGGGCCGTCGGTTATTGAAACGCGGACGATGGTGCGAAGAAAAATACGACGTGCGCGCAATAATATTCTCGCGCGGACGAGACGTGCGCGAACAAAGACCGGCCGCGCGTACCTTATTTCGGAGCGCGCGCGGTTGCACTTCGGTAGGGATGCGCGCGAGAAGGAGCGACGGCGTGCGCGTCTCGAGGTCACGCGCACGGCGTGCGCGGAAAGGGAAATCAGAGAGAGAAAGAAAAACAAAAAAAAAACGTCGACGGTATTTTTTATACCGTCGCGTTTATCGTTGGAGAAAAAAAAATGTACTCGAAAAACGCGTGTTAAGGAGAAAAACAGTCGCCCGCAAAACGAAATTTCGATAGCGACAACGCCGTAATATTTTCGTAATTTTGTCGCGGTAAAAGTCCGCCATTCTGCCCGTCGGAAAAGTATCCCGGGGCGAGAGACGGACGGCGGGAAAATTTTTTATCATCGCCGCGTTGTCGCACGAAACACGCGGCGATAATAAAAAATTCAACGGCCGGCGAGACGAAAGCAGCAAACGAAAACCCCGACCGTAGCAACAACGTCGAAAACCGCCGAAATGTGAAATTGATAATTAAGTGCCGGGGGAGGGGAGGGGGAGAAACGGGTTTTCCGCGAAATAATAACACGACGCGGTCGACGGAAAGGTCGATACAGTCTCGGCGTTTCGATTATATTTATAAAAAAAAAAAACCGTAAAAATGACCCCCGGAGAAATATCAATATTACCGATGTGTTTCGATAAACTCCGGTCCGACGTGAACCGACCGCCAAAAATGAATAAGAACGGAATTCGCACGCGCGAATTGACAATCGAAATGCCGTACCTGTTCGCGTAGGCGTATACGTTCGCATGTTTAACGCACGCAATTAGGCAATTGTATCAAAAAAAAAAAACACGGGAGTTTGATAAAGAAATGCATACGCTTTTTGTGGACTTCAAAAAAGCGTATGACAACGTTCATAGAGAGAGCCTACTGAATATTATGAAATAATTTAATTTTCCACAAAAACCGGTCAATCTAATATCAATCAGTCTTATGGAGACCTTGGTAAGGGTCCAAGTGGGAAATTCAATAACTGACCCGGTTACAGTGAACTCGGGGCTAAGACAAGGCGATTCGTTGTCGCCGATTCTGTTCAACGTGGTTTTGGAAATGGTAATTAGAGAAATGAAAATAGAACCTCAAGAGGATATTAGACTACAAGACATGTCGATAGGTTTATGGTTATGCTGACGATATAGTATTGATGGAAAAGTCTCAAGATACATTGAAGATATTATTCAGTAGGCTGTATAAAGTAGGGCTATACGAAAACGGGGGAAAACGGAGTATATGTTTTGAGTAGACGGGGGCTACCGTTTTGTCAATCCATAAAAATAGATCACTATGCATTTAAAAGGGTAAACCAGTTCAAATACCTCGGTTCTATTTTGACTGAAAACAATAATGTAGCTAACGAGGTAGCAGCGAGAATTCAAGCTGGGAATAAATGTTACTATTGACTTACTAAGGTACTAATTCAACGAGCAATATCGCGAAGAATGAAAGAACAATTATATACGTCTCTGATATATTGTATGGATCAGAAACATGGCCACTTAGGAAAATGGACGAACGCAGATTCGTCTTTGAGAGAAAGGTGCTGCGGAGAATATATAGCCCAGTCAAGGACGAAACAATTGGGGAGTGAAGACGAAGAAAGAATATAGAGCTGGTAACATTATATGATAGTTTGGATATATTGAAGATTATCAGAAGAAGTAGACTACGGTGGGCTTGCTTGCATGCTTGGAGTAACCAAAATCCACTACTAAACGCAATGATAGAACAAAATCCTGTAGATAAAATACCTTTGGAAAGACCGAGAATGCGCTGGGAAGATGTTATAAAAAAGAATGTTGAACTGGTAAATATTTTTATCGCGAACCGGCGGCTCTCTCGGAGGATTTTCGGTGAATTCGATTTATGTTTTACCCCGTCATGAAATCGTCCCGAGTTTTGTTTCTAAAATCGTATTTAATTTTTCGAACTTGGATTTGAACATTGTTTTCTAGAAATTTTGACACGCGTAAACGCTAATACATGTTAGATTAAAGTTTAGACCGGAGGAGGCGTAGTGGATGAGACTAGTAAATTGCACACAACTTTTCCACAACTCTCCCGGGTCTAAACTTTAAACGGTTATAACTCATAAACGGTGAATCCGATATTAATGTCGGCGCATGCGAACATTTCTCGAAAAATGCGCTCTATTCGAATCTGAATTCAAAATGCGGGGGGTTCTTATTTGAAAATATTTAAGGGTATACGGAGTAGAAGTAAACAATTCTACGCGCCAAACTCAATATTAAATCCAAAATTTTATTATATATTCTTCTATATACTCTTCCCATTATGGTATTACGGTATCTAGATTTGATGTACTGCCACTCCAACCAGCAAGCGAAAAATCTTATCCTTCCAATCCATTTGTCCACCCGCACACACTTACAAACTCTCCCCGGTATATTATACTAAGGACACCCTATACACTTTGATCTCAAATTAACCAGATCATGCTAAAGCCGCTTCCCAAAAACTCCATAGTAAATTTAGCTCCCACTTCAATCCTAATATCATTCAGCTCTTCTCGGATCATATATCTCTAGCAATCGTCCGAGGAGGTTAGAAAAAAAAAGGAGAAGATAACCAAAAAAAAAAAAAAATACCCCTCTAATATGCACGGTAGGCAGCTCCGCCGAGTGCACTCTTACGTCTCAATTTTCTCGTGTTGTTTTTTGTTCTTCGTCGTAATTAATTTAATTTGCTGTACATATTTTGAATGGTCATGCGTGCATTTTTCTTTCAAATAAATATTTTTGATAATAATAAAAAAAAAAGGGGGAGGAGTAAACGGGTATTAGTACGCTACTTAGATCGTTTAATATACTGATTTAGAACGAACAGACGACAACGCGGGGACATATTGGGAATATTGGGATAATGAAATTCGATTTCAAACACCGGGTAGCATGGTTGGGAGAACATCGGTAAAAAGTGATATCGGCCCCATATCTATACTGATTAGCTAGCAGCGATGAAATGGGCATTTTCGGGGACGTCAATGGCAATGCAGTATAGAAACAACGGACCGGTCGAGACATTAACCGAAATGTTCAAAACCTCGATTACGCGCGTATGTATTTCCACGGACGTAACAACATTACATATCGCGTAGCGACAAATGCGCCGTGTTTTCATCGTTGAATCACGTCGCCGATACAATCGTTTCATAATTATTTTACAATAAAAATTTACATTGTATGGGGGGGGAACAACGAAATAATAACAACAAATAAACGTCTCCGACAAAAGTGGTTTAACGCGGCCGTATAACGGATTTTTCCCGGTGCGATATCACCGAAAACGACCGTCATCATCGCGTCCGTGCGTGGTCTTGACAATGACCGATACGAATTAGCGCGCGTATACGTATACGAACACGGGAGTTTTCCCGGGAGGTTTTCCGGGACCGACCTCGGCGGACGTTTGGGAGACGCCCGTCGCACCCGAGTCGCCATACGACCGCGGCGTGTCGATGCGGTGTACCTGTAGGCTCCGGCACATTGTTTTACCGTCTAGGTAGTGTTATAAAAAAAAAAAATTTACCGTACGTTCGATCGGAACGGGCCGAACGTTTTTTTTTTACATTAAGAACGTAAACAGAAAAAAAAAAAAGCCGACGAACTCCGTTCGGAAGCATTGTAGGAGAGAAAACCCCGCGAAGTCCGGGTGGTTTACCGTTTACGCGTATTTCTTGGTTAGAATTTAACATTTTTTTTTTTTTCCTAAAATGTGCGTTTTTCAAACGCTCAATCTCCGTCAATACAATGAAAACGTTCGACATTCAAAGAGCTATCGCGAGCGCATACGTATTCAAGGTCAGAAACGGGCCGGTCGGCAGACAAATAAATAACGTATCATTCGTACATCGCAATGGTATTTCTTTCGTTATCATTGTTATTATTATTACGGTGCTCCGGCTCTGTAATCGCTTCCGAATGGTTTTTTTACGGCTGAAACTTATCGCTGTCCAGCCCCTTCTTTCGCCCCGCCCCCCCCGCCGAACCGCGGCCGATTTCGGTCTTAACGACCGATTTCATTGAAGACTTAACATTTATACAGCCGATAACGGGCGCACAAAACGCATTAGACGTCGCATACCTATTTGTATAATATCAGTAAGTACCTAGGTATACGGTGGAAATTTTTTTACGAAAATATGTCGGTAATGAGCGAACGACGTCCAACGACGATAACGTTCGGCAATCATCGGTACCTGATCTCCGGTAATTTTCCGGGAAATCGTGTATTTAAGAAAATTTCGGCGCATAACCGCCGGGAAAATCGCGGTGTTCCGGAAGCTGTCAAACCCGATGTTAATCCGGAATCGGTCGGAACATACACCGTCCGGGCGGGTGTTCAATCCCGGGTCGGCGGCGGATCCGTTTCAACAATATGGACGCTGGTAAACAATAGTTATTTATATGTTTTATACGTTGTGCCATTCATTCTCGGAATCGAAAGAACGAGAGACGACGGTCTCTCAAGTTTCTCGATATTATTTACGGAAGAACTCTCAGGAGGGGCTTTCGCGTGCTCTAGCCGCTCTTTACCGAGGACCCAGAGTCGGTCGCTTCACTACACCGCCCCCACGTGTATTCGATGGCCGGACAAACAATATACCCGAAACGATAAAACACCGATTTGACAAGTCCGGTTTTGTTTTCGTTTCCCCTCCACTGCCCCCCCCACCGTACGCGTACGTAAGATTGCGTGTTGTTACGCCGCGTTGCCGCGGGTTACGCGTCCGTTTTCGAACGGGACTTTGCGCTCTCGAGGATATCGCAAGTTGTTGCGGCGCGCGTTGTAATACCGTCGGTGCCCGGGACGCACGCGCATCAAATATCCAAATGGGTTGATGAATCGGACCGCGCGCGTTTATCACACGCGCTCGAACAGTCCATTTCGGGCGTATAAATTATAACACCTTCGCCGTGCACCTGTATTATATTTCTATGAAGACGGGGAAGGGGAAAGGGGAAATAACGAAAAGCGCGTTGGATTTTTATCGTCGCCAGTACGTCCGCGTTAGTCTTTTCTCGTCCCCCCCCCGGGAGGGGGGAACAACGCGCTTTTCGAAATTCGATCTGCCGGACTAAAGAAAAAGGCCGACCGATGTAACCGCCGATATTGTTGCGTGTACAAACGCGGAGCGAAAACTAGTGTGACCCCTGTGAAAACGACAGCGACAGCAGGTTGTTTTCAAACATGAGCCGGTGTGGCGGGACGGGGGCACGGGTGCGGGCGTACTTCATGCGACGTGCGTCGCAGGCGGGTATTGGAAAAAGGAAACGGGATGTCGGCGAGCGAAATGGGCTGTCGGCGAACCGGTAGACGGCGCCCTCGCGTTGTTATCATTGTTATCCGCGACTGAGAATAATAACGATGACGAAAAAACTTTGAAAAAAAAAACACCAACAACAACATCAACACACGACGGTGGACGACGCTACTACTGCAGGGAGAACACGTTCTCGAGTCGACGATTTCCGCGTGTATCGAACACAACGCGCCGCAGCCGTTTAATTGAATTCCACGCGCGGCGGCGTGGTACGCGTCACGCGTGCGAGTTGTAAAAAAAAAATAAAAAATTGCGCGCTGCGCGTGTTTTTTTTTTTTCTCTAACGCTTCGACGACGATAATAATTATAATGTTTCGAGAACAAATGTGTCCGACCGCGACATTTACGCGCGCGTCGCGATCCATCAACGTCGCGTAGGGCCGACTGCGACGCGCAGGCGCGTTTGATTAGCGTATTATTTATTCGGTTTCATTTTCGTTCATTTTTTTGCGCTACACGTGTGCGCCCGCCGGAATATCCGACGGAAAACCGGGGAAACCGCGACGGGGGAAAAAACAAAAAAAAAAACCTATTCGCCAATTCAAATACCGCGCGAAACGCGTTAGCGATCGGTAAATCTTTTGTTTTCTTCGTCGGCCCTAGGCCCCCCATCACTCTCCCGTCAGCTATTCGCACCTGTGGAACGAACAAACGCACGGGGCGACGGTGCATTTATTTTTCGTACAAATACAAACGGGAAAATGCACGGAACAACGTATTGTGTTCGAATCGTGCGACGATTATCGCCGGCCTTAGCCGAACCCTGAATTACCGCTCTGCCTGCCCGACTTCTCGCGCGCCCGAGAGCGGCCCACCCGTGGTGCGGAATACGACGTCCGTTCGGTTTCCCCCTCCCCTACCCCGCGGAACAAACGTCGCAACGCGGCGGCGGTTACGAATGTTTCCCCGTTTTCCCGGCGGTCGCGGAAAAAACCGGAGGCGGTAAACGAAGGTTATTTAACCGTGTCCGAAAAAATTACGGCGATTCGCGTGTGCGTGAGGCGTGCAGCCGACGCGGTCTTTTGAGGGCGTTGAACACGATGACGCGTCGTGACGCTATATCGCGGCGTAACAAACGTCCTCGCGTACACGGGCTCGCGATTCCGTGCCGTCTTGTGCGTCGCGTCCGGACGGAACATTCACCCCGAGGACCGGGCCCAAACCACGGTCGACGATAATAACGTAACGCCGGCGGGGCGCGGTGACGAGACAACACCGTCCCCCACCCTGGAGTGTCTTTTGCTCTTAACCGACAGCAAATGCCTCGCGGCGCGCTCTGTAATATAACGGCGGGTAACTGTAAAATGAACCGACGCTGCGGCGAATAATCACGAACCCCACGATAACATAATCCCGGTCCGTTATGAAAGCTAGTCGTCTTTTCTTATCGAATACGCGCCGGGAACGGATATTTCAATACGCTGCCATCGCACGTAATAGTAACCGGTAGGTATCTGGTCTTACGCGCGCGTTTTGGTCCTCGGCGTAAGAACTCCGGACAGCGTTTTCGTGCCCGACGTTCCGTCCGGACCCGCACGACGGTCACGGCGACGACGGGGGGAACCGCCGAACCGACGAACCGGTTTCGGCCGCGGTCGATTCCGAACGGAAACAACGGCGGCGCCGAACGTTTCGAACCGACCGCGATTTAGAAATTGCCGCGGGGAAAACCCGCACAGAGTTCAACGTCAATTGGTAGGGGCGGGGATTCCGGACCGGATAACACGGCGTCTAGCGCACGTGGTCGGTTTTATAAAAACGAAAAAACGCAATGTTCGCGGCGGTGTTGCGCGAAGACTACATTATGGTGTGGTATAGACGTGGCGTGCCGTGCCGTGACGTGACAGCGGCGAAATCCACGGAAAATTAAAACTCGCACGCGACCGATAGGCGTACGAAATCGCTTCGGCGTTATCGACGAAAATTCAATACTCTACGCGTGTGTGGTAAAAAATTTACGAAAAATTCGTCGACCGAATGGGAGAAAATAGGCGGGCGATAAGAAAACGGTGTACTCACGTGTTCCGCGTGCGAATTGAAATTGTCCCACGGAGATGAATGGAGCGGCACGCGGACAGGATGACGGCGACGACGAAGACGACAAGAGACGACGGTTGGAAACACACGACGCGCGGGCCAACCAAATGGCCAATCGCCGACGACTACCACATGGAAAAGTACGACTACTACTACTATTACTACTACTACTACGACGACGACGGCGACGACGGAACAGACACCGCCGCCGTCGCCATGCCGTCACCTCCCACCACCGACGACGACACGGCGGCGGTGGCGACCGGTGCGCGGACGCACGACGCGTATTTCCGAACGCTAACCTAACCGCGGCACCGATGCCGGTCGTCCGATAGCGCGGTAAGCGGTCCGCGTTTCCTGACCGATTTATGGCGCGAAAACACGAAATGAATAAATAAATTCCGTTCGGGAATTCACGAGAATAATAATTCGTTTTTCCGACCCCCCCACCTCCCCCCTGCACATTATAAATATATAAATACTCGCAGATTACAAAAGAAACGAATAGGTAACTCGTATAAAAATAATTAATTGTTTAAGCGGAACGGCGGCCTAAAGCTTATCGGACGATTTTTTGGCGACAAAAAAAAAATTAACAATCGTCAGTTTTACCTCGCGCATTTTATTTGTTTCTGTATGTATTCCGTACAACAATGAAAAGTCGACCGCGTCTATGGTAAACATAGTACTTGGTTTATTTCAATTTGTATTGTTGTCGTTATTACTTGAGGAAGCCGCTAATTTGGTTTTCAAAATCAAAAGAGCCGCGGACCCAAAAAGGTTGAAAACCACTGTCCTAGCGTATAGCGTATTGTCTGAACGACTCGGCTCGGGTTAGGGTTCGGAAATACGCGACGAACCCGGCACAGCGGCCGTCAGTGGGGTGCACGCCGTTGTGACGTAATAGAGGGGGTCAGCGGGCGGGACGGGGAGGGTTCGCGCGGTTGCGGTACCTACGACGGCCGTGATACGGCGGGAAGTGGTGGCGGTGCCGCGATAAGGGCACCGTCTAGATGTTGTTGAAATTACGGCGGCGGCGGCCACCGAATCGACCACGTGCACGTTACGCCGATCAGCTGTTCTCCGGCTACGCGGTGCAAAACAAAACAACAAATAAAAAAATAATAATAATAATAACCGGCACGTCCACTGACCCAGTGCGTTCGCGCGCCGCCGCGTTTTATTTTCGTTCGCGTCGCGATTTCCGGGGCCCGCCGGAGGGGGGCGCTGCGGTTATTGTTATTGTCGACTCGCAGACCGGTCTCCCCTTTTCCCCCGGCGGCCCCCTACCCACGAATACCGCCGAACGCAACGGCGCGGCGGTCAGGCGTGTCGCTCCGTCGGTGGGTATAATTATTATTAAAATTAATAATTATTAAAATAATAATAATTAAGGGGGGGGGAAACGTAATAATTCCGTTTCACTTCGAAATTCTATTTCGACGCTGTAAATGTATTAACCGACGGATTCGCACGTTCTGTGTCGTGCGACATGTTTCGCTCGTATCCGTAGAAATCCGTTTCTCATCGGCACGCGGACGCCGTGAAATAAGCGGCGGATTCGGCGATTCGCCGTCAACGGGCGAAACGAACTGTTCGACGGTTTTTTTTTTTTTTTTTCTAAATTTCTTTTTTCCTTTTACGTTTTTAACCCGAGAAATATCCCGATAAACGTGTCTTTGAACGCGCGCGTCTACGAGAGTCAATACGATTCGACGCACAAGACGACCGATCCCCGTCAAACAACCGAATAGAGCTCCGCGTTTCGCGTGTACACGCCATCACGAGTTCGCGTGAAACCAGCAAACGTGCACCCGAAAAATGACTGACGTATTCCGCACACGACGGGCGGACGGGCGGGCGCCACTGTCGTGTATAGGCGAGAAGTCGGGAAGGCTGCAGGATATAACAGAGGAGAATTTAATTTATGTCTGTGCGCGACGATGAACCACTGCCGAGAAAAAACGATCCGGAACACGAAGTCTCTTTCACATAACAATTACGTGTGAACGTATACATTTTTCCCGTTTTCCCTACGCGTTCGGCGGGTGAATCACTAACCGGCGTAATACATGCGAGTGACATGTTTTGATAATGATGGAAATCTTTGGTAGTCTTACAGGAAATCTCGGTGATCGTCGGGGAAATCGTGCGGGTGTACTGGAATCTGGCGTACACAATATTAATCAGTGATCATTAAACCCTCTGTTTTTTTCCCAGCTATTATGAAAACCACTCGGAAAACCGAAAAGCGACCTCCATAAAGTACCGTCCAGACAAAGTTCCCTTTTCAGAAAAGGTACTAAAATCTGAACGTACCTAACCGTATCTAACCTAATCCGCGTACACGTGTATATTTCATTCGCGTTTACACTCTCGTTATTCTTCGCGTATTTTCACTTATTCGCGGGAATGGCGAACGGTTGACCGCGGGTATTTTAAGAGTTCTATGCGTAAACACATACTTACTGACTATGTACTAGGTAATAAAATTGTCAACTCACACTCACCTGAAACAAAATAAAAAAAAATAAATAAATACGTTATAAAATATGATTAATATTAAAAATTTGGGCGAAAATATTAGTTTACAAAAAAAAAAAAAAAAAAAACAATTCTAAAATGAGTATTTGATCAGGGGGAAGGGCAGGAGGGGCGATACTAAAACGTAACATCGGGCAGCGAAGTTTTAAAAATTCAGGGGCGTCAACGTCGCTGGCCATTACCAAAGTCCGCTGTTGTTCTTCGATCGAGAAACCTGAACCGATTTTTTTTTGTCTTTTTACGAAACACTGTATGATCTTACCCACTTTGACAACACCTACTATATACTCATTACGTATATTATAGAATGGGTTATAATCACCAAGGTATGGTCACAAATAATATACCGATTCAGTGAGAAAAACAAATCGAGAAGTATCAATAAATTATAACAACATCGCGCCCTCTTCCCCTCTGTTCCGACTATTCGGCATCGGCCTCCCTCGTCTTAAACTTCCGCTCGGCCCCATCCCGCGCACCGTCCTCGCATACACCGGCCGTATCATTTCCCATCAAATCCGATCGTCTCCTTTTCGGTATTTTTTTATTTTTTTCGTTAGCGGAAGGGATAACTGCTTACGTGTACAGCATAGTATGATCCTGTCAAGGCGGGAGAAAGAGGTGAGAGCCGGGCGGCGCGCACCCGAACGAAACCGGACCTGTAGTTAAGGGCTTCTCCGTGCGCCACTACCAGTCGCCAATGCAGCATTATGTGTTAACCGCGTATGTTTGTGTTTCGTTTTGTTTTCCTAATGAACGGTACGGTACGGTACGGTGGCGAGGGGAAGGACGGCCCGCGAGGGTGTAGTGTCCCATTGTCGCGCAGTGATTAACACGGGAAAAAAAAAAAAAAAGGTCGCGAAGTATAATATTAAAACGATTATTATTTATTGTTTTACAAAGAGTATCTCGATAATCGGAAACCGGCGAGGGGCGATTTACCGTACCGCAAACTCGTATATAATAGCACAAATTGCGCTGGAAACGTTTCTGAACCCAAATAAACGAACGAAAAGCCTTTTTTTTTTCCTTCTTTGATTCGCGTTTACACACCACATCGCGTTCGTAGATGCGTTATAAACATCAAGCCGAAAGAAAGAAAAATAAAAGGACTATTTTAGATTCTGAGTGGGGTCTACCAGATATTATACTCCGATTATCAAGAACAGCGCTTTTTCTGAAAGGAAATGTTCTCCCAGTGGTAATTTAGAGCGGTAATTTTTTTTTTTTTCAATTCTCATTAATATTCGAGATAATGACGAAAACCTGGTTCTTCGGGTTAAAAAAAAGATTGAAAGATTAAAAATAAGCTTGCCCTTGGCATTCGTTTTTGTTTATTTTTCGTTATTATTAAGTTTTAATTATTTCAATTTTTTTTTTTAACAATCATTGCTGTCACGGAAACGCACATTGTTGTTATCATTTTACCATAACATGATATATATACCGTGTATTGTATTGTTGGCAAAGCAACACTGTCAACTGAACTCCGCTCGGAATCGTTTTCTCGTTAGCAATGGTTTACCGTCGGTATCCTGCCACCTCCCCCTCCCAAACTTCTCACCAACAACAGTGGCTGCACCCTCACGTGCGAAGTTCGTCCGTCCTTTTTTTTTTTTAAATTTTCAAATTTTCTTTTCTACGGATTTATAGTAGCGCGCCTTTTGTGACGGCGGAATACGGATTTCCGCGAATCCGGTATCGGCACTTACACTTTCAAACACGCAACGATAATTATTCGTATTACAATGTATTATTACGACGAAAGCGGGCGCGCCGTTACGGGTCAAATGGTTTTTTTTTTTTTATATACCGCAACCGTGACGACCGGCCCGCGTAAAAAAAATCACGATAACATTTTAATCGCGGTTCAGCGAGGGGAAAGAGGAATATACGCGGTCTATATATAAAACGGGACGATAACGCGCACACCTCCCCTACTCGCGCCTCGCACTAGTGTGCAATACACGCTCGTCGGTCGGAGCGGTTATCGCCGCGGCGATTGTTAAACAGGTTGTAAGATAACGTGCCCGGCGTATTGCCGACGCGCGCGGTTACGTTTTCGAATAAAAATACGGCCAACGCGGCGTACATGAGCACAACCGTATGGACCGCCGAATTCGGAGATGCTAAATATACGGACGCGTCAATGACCCGCGGCGACTGTGGCCTCGCAATGGTGGGAAAAAAAAATGTTCGATTAAATCGACGAATCTTATTGTAATGAACACGGTCAGCTCGGAAATGAAATTAATTTTTATTCTGATTTTTCAATTCTCCACAAATTTAGTTTAAAAATTAATAAATTGAAAAGTATTCAAAACGATCGGTGTTGGCGGGAATCAAATGTGTCTTATCCGGTTTCTGGTACAGCCGGTCACCCATGTGACTGAAATCACGCCTTATAATGTATCTTAGATTGATAACATTATTAATACGTCTTTATCAGTATGGTAACCTTAGTATACCTGATGTTTGGTAAGACATATTTGAATTCGCGCTAAAACTGATTTTTTTAAACTAGTCAAATTTTAAAAAAATCATAAGTATTAAAATAATGAAAAAAGCAGCTATTTTTCAATCATACAGAACTATAGAATTAGGGGGAAATGTTGACGACCCTCATTGCTATTACTCGACTCTCATATATTTCGTTTGCGATTTTGTGCACACAAATTTACGCACGTGCAAATTATTTAGGAAATCTGCATTTTGTTCTGCTCATTACGAATTACGAATTACGCGGACAGAATATCATTTAGTCGACAAAGCCAATTGGGTTTTTTCATGGGGTGCTAAACTAAAGACGTATCTGGAGTATTAGATTTTACTTTTATATTAATTTTTTGTTTAGTCGTGAGCATTTTATCCTATATAGATCCGTTTCACAATAATTACTAATATGAATGACCAATAGTTATTGATATAATTTGTTGTTTTTATTTTATTCCAGCGGTGGTGGTTTCTGATAGTCGAATTTCGTCTAGTCGTTATGTCTCATCGGGGAGATATTTTTTTTTTTACGCTTTAGTGAAAAAAAATCGTGGTAAACGTGGGATATATTCACCGAACAGTTAACACAGTTAGCACATTCCGGACGCGGTAGTTTTCCGTATAATCTGGCGTTAAACGGTATGAAATTTTCCATATCCTCTTTGGTATTTCGTGGTTAAAATTGTTTTCGCCCAGCAAAATTGCCAGAAATAGTAGGGATAATACTTGTCAAAAATTATTGAACTTAACGATTTATTTATTCGTAAGCTTTTGAAAAGATCAAATGCCGATGAAACTCGACAATAAAATCACGACATTATTATCACTTATTACTGGCACTCCGTAGACACGGTACGATTTTTAAAAAATTCTGACGGTTTTTGACAGTTATTAACAGATATATTGTTTTTATTTTTAGCCGGTAGGGTGTGGGGGTAAGTTGAAACATACGATAAAATTCGTTGAAAACAATATTATTGTCATTTATTTTCCGTACCTATATACGCAGGCGGCATAAATCAATAGGATAATTTTCAATATTTGAATTTATCGAAAAAATATCCAACTCCGCTATTATATTGGCGTCCGTAATGATTTATCGTCGCATATACGGTACATAATAACTATAAATCACCCTGTATTATAGCAGCTTATCATTTATTCTCTCTATTTGTATGCTTAAAGACCAGACCAATTGAAAATGTGACGGGTTTTTTTTTTGTTAGCGGACATTGAGCGTATTATTTACTCTAGCAGACGCGTGTGTAATGTCACGTCCGAATTATTGATATTCCTCGTGATTACGTATTATATTCGGTTTATTTCTAAACTGTGATTTTATAGTTTACGTCGGCTATCAAATAAACAATTACGTGACTCGTACCGGCAGTGTAATCTTGAATATTATACATTTTTATCGAATAGAAATTAAATATTATATCATTTAATTCGCATCGATCGATACTCAAATATAATTATCATTGTGTTTAGAAAAAGGAAATTATAACTATAACACTACGCGAGTATATTGTATTACAGCAAATACTATATATATAAATTTAGGTATTCAATTATATTATAACTTCCGAAACGATTTATTACGAATCTAAACGTTTTCCAATTATAAATTAATCAAAAACATATTATTTGTTTTATATAATATCTGCTATATTGCGGTGATTATAATACGTACTCGTTTAATTCGTATTTGGAAGGGTATTAAAAATGGTATAAAACCGTCTCGTATAACCTCGATGTTGGAGTATTTCAAAATACACATCGGCATTATACAGAGTGATTCACTATATGCGTGCTCGCCCCGTTTTTTCGGTTAAATATTACATTTATTCAAATTCCGATTTTTGTGCCTTTTAAATGTATAGTTTAAGTCGATATTTTCGAATACTTAGATTCGTTTAAGGAGATAGTATATCCTGCGGTAATACCGACAGTGGTTTTTCAAACGAGAACCTAAAAATTCCATAAGGCCCTCTACATACGGAACTACTCAAAAGAAACTAAACTGGTTCGTGATTTAAATTACTTATCGATTACTAATGCATTAGTGACTGAGATCCGCACACGAGCGGCCTACTGAAAAGTGATCGAAATCACTAGTTCATTTTTTTGACTACAGTTTGGTTATAGAGGTATAGGTCCTGCAGCAGCAATTTTCAACACCATGGATGATTCCAGTGATGAAGAAATGATGTTTACATATGACTATTACCATAACTAGATAAATATAAGACGAAGAAGATTTTGAGTCCATCCATAAATCAAAGGAAATTTTTAGTAATGTTGTATAGAATTGGGATGTTTCTCTACTTCTCTTACCAACTTTACATTAGATTTTTGTTCTTTCATGTTTTTATTTTTTCTCAATAGAAGAAAATTAGAAAAAATAAGACTTTCGAAATTCCCGCAATTCGACGAGAATAAGTGACGCAACTTGGAAGTTACTTGACAATCGAATCACTTGGAACTGATCAATAATGCGTTAGTAATTAATTAGCAACTGGTAGCGCCGTCTGTTGCGTTCCGTTGAATAACATGCGTTTTGACTCAAAGCGGTTAATGATTTGCGTCAGTAATTAGTTTCTAATGAACAGTTCCGTATGTATATATACGGCCTAAATGGACGGACGGACTATACTACTTTAAATACATTTTGAGGACAAAATGTTTGATTTCCGTCAATCAAACCGTAAACGAGATGTTTCACTCTAAAATTTAGTCAGGGGGGAGTATAGTGGAGTATTATTTGTGTGTGGCACGGCGCACGACGTTCTATTAGTATTTCACTACTCCCCCCTCCTAACTAGACTTAAAAGTGGAATATCTCGTTAACGGGTTGAAGGAAATAAACAATTTTGCCACAAAAATTGATTTAAGTAATACTCCCGACTATACATGGAATTTTTAATAGATAGGTTCTAATTTGTAAAACAAAATTGGTATCGTCACAGGATACTCCTTAAATGTTGTGCAAATCTATAAGTATTTGAAAATGTTGGCTTTAACAACACTAAATAATTCTAAATAACGGAATTTGAATACATGCAAAATTTAACCAAAATATTTGGGTGAGCACGCTTAGTGAATCATTCTGTATATGCAGAGTAAACACAAAATTTAATTACGTTATAATCGTTTGAATAAACGCCAGACGGGCTGATATAGTAATCTTCAATTATTCAAATACGACTATAGATTTAAACTATAGACTAACGATGTATAGATTTGTTCCTATGGTATTTCTAAAAAGCCTGAAATGGTAAGTGGTCAATATATGCTGCGGGCGGAAAATTGGGAATGTTATTTAGGAGATATAGGCCGCATGTATTATTGGATTATTGTGTTTGCGCACAAACGAAACGTTAAATCATTGCAGTTTAAAACCGATTCTGACCGGAGTTCAGAATACCCGTGTTTCCCCCGTCTCCTTGGTGCCCGATAAGGTAGCTTAGAAATCGACGAAAATAAAATCAATGTATCTATCGTGATATGTTGTTAATTTTTAATTTTTTTTGTTTCATTTTTCAGAAACATTGTTGGAAATATGGAAAAAATGTGTGTCTTTTGATAAAGTTACGGTGTGAATAGTTTGGAACTTTTTTTTACGAAATCGAGGAGGAGGGGAAATACATTTTAGTAAAGATTATTTTAGGATATCTCAATAGGCGAAACCACGGAAGAGAAAACCAAGGCGGTAATTTATGAAGCAAATATAATTATGCTTTCATTATTTTCAATTTTATTTTTTTGTTGTAATTCAGTTCAAAATGTTCGTAGATACTTACAATTTGGTTAGAACACTTATATTTACATTTTATTGACGTGGTAAAATGTTCAAAATATTTGAGCTTTTTTTAAGCTATTAGATATATTTTGATTTTGAAAATTGTTTAGGTAATATTTATAGGTACTCTGTAGGTAAAATTGTTAGACCAAAGACCTTTTATGTATAAACGAACTCCGCTCAGAATTGTTTTTTATTAGCAATTAATACTGCTTACTGATATAAGTTAAATAATTTTATGCACTCTATCTTTCCCACTTCCCATCATCTACAATAATGACGCAACCGTCCCCAGCTTTTTTTTTTTTAATTAAATTTTAAGTTTAACATAATTTATACCTACTACGTTTACATAATGAGTTTTTAACCTAAAAAAGTTATAGAGGATTAGCAGAAAAATTTAAATAATATTTAAAAAAATATTATAAGTAAATTTTAATCGTATACATAAATGTTGAGTATAAGTATTGAATTATCATATTTCGACTTAATGTACTTATATTTGAAAAAAGAAAAAAATGATTAGTGCGGTTTTCCTGAGTCTTGACATCGAGCACTTAAAAATCGTTGGCGGCATAATTATAAATAATTTAAAAAAAAAAATTGACCAAGAATCTTGTATCGAATTTTTGATCGTTTTTGAGGAACCGAATACTACATATTAAATTACTCGAAAAATGTAAAATTATTTTTCGAATTGTACCAGTCTATACGAATATTTTGAACTGAAATACGACAAAAAATCAAATTCGAAATTAACTGCAGCAGAAACTGCCGTTGCGTAAATATTCCGGCCGTTTTCAACGCGATGTGTTTTTCACCGTTATTGAGAGCGATCATTGAGAAATATAAAAAAATGACCTCTAAAACGCACCGGTACTGTTATAGACAATACATTTGCTCCTAGAAACCATCCTCAAAGTAAACGATAGGAACGATTTTTCCAGTAGTATCGAAAATATAAAAAAAAAAAAGAACCGATATGCTGAAAGGGAGGGTCAATGTCGTAGGCACAAAAGTTTACCATGTAGATAGAGTACACATCATAAAGTACGTAACGATAAATCATTGCTATAACAACGGAAATAACGAAAACAGTTATGACTATAAATTCGTCAGTGTTTTCGATATAAGTATAAGTACGTTTGTTTCCCCCCCTTCAATTATTAAGAAAACTGCGACTAACGATCCCGTAGATAAATAGATCCGAAACGCTATAAAAAAAAAAAAACTCTCTTGTCGTTTTTTGATTGGAACACGAGATTTCCGGCACAGAATAGTTATTCGCGGGACAGAAAAGCAAAGGGAGGGATGGTGGAGAGAAGCGTGCGCGTCCATAGTAAAACCGATAAAATGCTCGCACGCGATAATCCGACTGTACACCTGCGCTCATTAACATCGAACAACGAACGCCGGAGAAAAGAAAAGGAAAAAAAATCGCCACTTTGTTCGGCACGAGAAGCAGCAACGAAGAGGCTCTAAAAAAAGAAAAAGAAAAAGAAAAAAAAAACGGTCGACTTTTACTCCGGCGTTAAAAAATCATGCGCTCGCGCGTAGGTCAGAACCACGACGCTCGTTCAGCGTATTATTCAGTAAGCGAATTCGCGTTCGTCCGCGGAAATAAACGCGAAAAAACGAAAAACGCTTCGCCACGACGGGTGAGCCAGCGCCGTGTTGTGGGGCGTGAAATTGCAGGAAGGTGGAGGCAAAATTCAACGTGCATCCGTTTATGCGCGACAGTCAACCGTCGCCAAACGGAAAACGATTCCGAACGGAGTTCGGTTATTGTACACGGCGCGTTTTCGAGAGGCCGTAATATTTGCGCGATTTGAAAATAGTACGTTTCGCACATTTTCCTAGGCTTTTAAGTGGTCAACAATGGTTTGAAAATAAGCGAGAAAAGTAACTAAAATTCACAAAAACAAGCGACTAAAATGTGACTAAGCAGTGACTTCCGTACAAAAATAAACGACATACAATCGACAAAACATTTACTTATTTAACATCAATAGTATAGTAGTAGTCTGCGGGTAATAATTATAATAGTATAATGATAGGTTAGGACGGCGCAGGTATAATAGGTTAACAACCACGCTTTATTAAAGAATTTGCAAGTGACGATTTAAAAAAAAATAACAACATTAACTGTAACCAAAACAATTGTTTAAAAATATGCCGGTCTTTGGTATAGTACTCGTATAATAGATTAAACTTACATAAGACTTTCTTTTTTCATCGCATAGCAAATACTATAACAACATTAGACAAGTACCAAGGTCTCGTATAGTAAATATCAAAATATGATAATAATTTTTTTTCATAAAATTGTATCGGAATACTTAAAAAGTTACTTTGGGTGATTTTGTAAAAGCGAGTTTAAGTGATAAAAGCGACTCGCATCCCCCCGTCTCCGGCCCGACAACGTCATTCGACAATTGATAACGCGATATTCCGAGTTCGCGGCGCACGCTCATTATGATGAAATACTGCCGACGATAGCTTTTGAACGCCGCCCAGAGTCCATTACACGGGACGGTGCAGTGATATCGAACACGCTGTACATTACAATATTTCCAACATGCCTCGTATGTATCATAATAGTCTCGTATTGATAAAAAGTGCATTGCTTATGGAATATTTCGCGCCGCGGAATTCACGAACCGTGTTTGTTCGAGACCGAACGGAGAGAACGTCGGCGCGTGCTCGTTTTTACACACCGTGTCGAGGAAAACCGTTTCATCTCGGGTCGAGCGACGCGTCATTGAGATCCGGTGTGTACCTACGATTTAGCGTAAAACATGGTACGGTCGAAATCAATCAAGATCGCTGTGTACAGAGGAAACGGCATGCCGGTGAACGTGCATTTTTATTTTATTTTTTTTCTAATCGTCATAAAAGGCGGCTATTTTATCTCGAATATCGTATATAATATAATCCGTTCGGGCAAATCGAAAATCATCGTGTCATACCCCTCCCCTCGCAGACAACAGCCGACGTTGTCTTCGATTTTCATAAAGAGCGAAAATTCTAAAATCGCTCTGCAAGAGATTTTTATTTTTTTTTTTTTTTCCCCGGTTTACGTAAATACGTTTCCGGACACATTTAACGATTACGCAATAAACGCACGCTATAGTTGCAGTGATAAAAAGTATCGTTCAATTATATCTATAAGTGACCTATACAGCTGAACGAAACATAAATACATCAATAAACAAACAACATTAATAATAAAAAAAATAAACAAATAATAAAGTTCAGTGGCATATAACCAGAATTCATTTTTTTTTTTGGAGGGGGGTCAAGTTTGGGATAATTATAGTTACACTAAATTGGCAACGTGCACGAATTACACGCGTATTCGAAAATCACAAGGAAATATGTGTGATTTCAACATAAATTATGCAACTATATGTACGTATTGTACGTATACGTAGAATGTGTAAAACAATCTCAAATTTCGGGCGATTACAACTTTCAACCCTTCTCTAGTTGTGTCACTACTCCGGTTAACGAAAAAAATTAAGGCCCCGGAGTAGAAAACTGTTTATTTACTAAGTATCGTAAAATCTTTTCTTGAAAAATTGCAACACCTGGTATATTATAATATATAATAGAGGTTTGTTTTCATAAAAATAAAAAAATTGCTTATTTTTTCCACTACACGACAAAACAAATATACATATTATATAAACGTAAATATGCTTCATTGTGTTGTTGTTATTGTTACTACGGAAACCAGATTGTTCACCTTTGTTACTGGCGTTACGTTTGTCGCATTACGATAAAATGTCTCGCAAAATTTTCACCGACTACCATCCCGATTACATGTCCATCGTGTAGGATTAAATTTTGAGGCCATTCGGCTGCGCACAATAGAAGATTTACCGATTTCTTCTCTCGACCCATTATATGCCGCACGAGGATAAGAATCGCTCAAATAAACCGGGGGGGGTGGTTTATTCGAATACAGCAATGCAGCGGTATATGTAATTATACGCCAAAGTGGTAGCACGGAATAGTGGTAATAGCAGTATAATGATAATATATTCCGATCGTATAAAACGAAAGGATGGGATGAGAATACTCGCGCAGCGGCATAGGTAACACATATCAACAAAATTATTTTCTTTAGTAGCCGCTAAACGGATTTCTGCTGCGGTAGTGCAGTCACGATCGATAATACATTTTATACATATACAGGGTGATTCACTAAGCGTGGTCACCCCATTCTTTTTATTTTTTTCAATATTACATATACCTATTCAAATTCTGATTTCTGGAATTTTTCAGCGCAGGTAAAGCCGATACTTTCGAATACTTAGATTTTTCACGGCATTAAAGGAGTATCCTATAGAAATGATGCCGACACTTTGGTTAAACGAACGAGAACCTATATTAACAATTCCATAAATAGACGAAGTTTTACTTCAAATAAATTTTAGTGTTAAAATTTTTGGTTTCCGTCAAAACGTTAACGAGATATATCATTTTTCAGTTCAGGTAGGGGAAAGTAGTGGCGCACTAATAAAACGCCGCGCGCCATACTGCCACACAAATGATACTCCACTAAACTCTCCCCCTATCTAAACTTAAAAGTGGAATATCTCATTAACGGGTTGACGGAAATGAAAAATATTGATACCAAAAGTAATACCTCGTTTATTTATGTAATTATTAATATATAGGTTATTATTATAAAAACCAAAGTTAGTATCGCCTCTCCTTATCGATATCGTGAGAAATCTGAGTATCCGAAAATATCGGCATTAACTACGCTTTAAAATTCCAAAAATCAGAATTTGAATACGTACAAAAATTAACCTAAAAATGGGATGAGCATGCTTAGTGAATCATCCTGTATATAGTAATTGTATACGGAATTATACTCGATCCGTCAGGAAATGTTTACGGATACTATACAACGAATAAGTATACATAATAATTCCATATAAATATGCATATCACGTCGTCTTCGTAGTCGTAAAAAATATATTTAGTCTTTAAAAAAAAAAATTAAAAAACACACTTGCGTTTTGCATGCTATATATAAACGCGGAAGACGTCCGACAAAACAAGACGAATCGTGTTTAATATCGTATCCGTTGGAGAATAAGTAAATTTCTAATATCCGTGATCATATAATACGTTTCACGGTGATTTCATCAGTTATACATATTATTACAACGATAAAATTATAGTACAGAAATCTGGTGATAAAAACTCAGGTAATATGAAGAAATGGATTGTTAGAAAAAAAAAAAAAATGCAAACATTCTGAGGAAAAGATCAACTAAATACCCATTGATTTACCAGCCAAATAAAGAATTCGACAATACAGATATCTCGTCATTTTTCGATTCGACCAAAAATGTCTGGTAGAATACAAATTAATAAATAATGAAATCCGTAACGCCGTGGCGCGCTATAAATATTTGGGAAACACCCTAAGAAAATCGACGTTTCCAAAACATTAACTCGACAAAATTACCTTTAAGAAAAAATGTTACACTCTATACACCAGAGCAAGTTTTTCGGTAGTAATAGAGTTGTTCACAGACACGAAAAAAAAATAAACATCTTTGTGAAACCACAAGCTCCTTCGCTTTACTCGGAATCTAAAAACAATAATAATACAAAAAAAAAATAAACGTACATCGTAGTAAAACCAACAGATCCGTCGCCGCCGCTATACGCTCAGAACTCACGATAAACATCATTGCAAAACCGATATATCTCCGTCCAGACCAAACGTCGATATCGGTTTCTAACAATGACACGGTGTAAACAACAATTTTTATGCGAATTGAGAATTGGAGTGGAACTATGTTTACGCACGTTGAAATTTTTGAACTACGCGAAAATAAACGTCAACATTATTCGGTAAAAGAACGTAATTCGCGATAACGATATTTTATAGTTTAAGAAATTGGCAGTCGGCGTAGGGGGGGAGGGGGCACGTTCCCCCCAAACTCCTAGGACACAGGTTTAACATCGCGCGGGGGGGAGGGGCGTTATACAGACGGGTACGAATACGTTTCGACGCCTCGACGCGTACGAAAAAATCAGTCCGGCGAGCCGCTGTGCGCGCACGCGGAAAACGCCGGTGCGATTGTCGCGTCTCGGTCCGCGGCGGGGTACGCGGGAAACGCGGTACACGGTTGTATCGTACACCTAGACGGCGGTACGCGCGCGGCGAAAAATCGCCGTCGTCGACACCTGACCCGCGCGGCTAATTCGGCCGCGATTCGTTTCCGGCGTCACCGTCGGCAAAAAGCTTCTGCGGCACGCGCCGGCTGTTACTGCGGCGCGGTAATGTTTTCAACGGGACGCGTCCGACAAATCGTGATTACGGATAACACAAAACCGTATGGGAGGGAGGGAGCAGCGTTCGTCAAACAGCGATTCGTCGCCGTAATCGCTTTGTCGGTATATTTTATATTTTCACGTTTTTACGCGTTACACAATAGCGTGTCCCAACCCTATACAATTCTGTCCCGTCCGCCCGTCACAAAATCACACGCTCGCGCGACGATGCCGCCGTCAAGAAGAGCGCGTTCGTAAAATCCCCGGGCCGCTCGGTAAGCGCGCGCGCGGAGGTCCGTGTACACACGAGGTTATATACGCGCCGGGTACAGCGGACTTCATTTTAATACACGCCCGGATTGTCCTGCGTACTCCCCCGAGTTAGTCATTGCGGTTATTTTGAATTTTTTTTTTTTTGTTTTTTTAGAACACCACGTTACACAACTTAAACGCAGCCCTCGTTTCTCCGCACTCTACCTCCCCCCCCACGACACGTCGGCTGTTATAAGTGTACCAGAAACGCGCGTTATTTGGATTATTATTATTATTATTATTATTGTTGTTATTTTTTCCGTTGTTGTTATCGTGCGCATATGCCAGACGAGAGCATGATATTATTATATACAAAACGCGTGGCCTACGCATTAAAAGCGAAAAAGGATTAGTCCGGGCTTGGGAAGTATTACTATTACACGCGCGTATACGACGGCAATATTATTAATTTAATACAATACGCCGCGGTAGACGAGACCCACGAATTTGTTCGGGAATATATAGAAAAAAAAAAAAAGAAAAAAAAACGGCCGCGGAGTTATTAACGATCCCGCGCGATTGATATGCAAATTGTTCGTATTTGCCTTTTTTTTCTGCGCTACGTGAAATATCACATCGCACTTGTTTAAACAAGGTTCGTAGTCTTGCGCGCGTATTCCGCGAGCGGTTAATACTTACACGTGCTTACGAAATATATTTACATATTTTTGCATAAGAATTACAAATATTCCCGTAAAACTTATTACGTATCTGTCTATCAAACAAAAATGTGTGTAAAGGTTTTTACTCGCGCGCGCACTTATATAGGATAGACGATATTATTATGGTGTACATCGCGTTTTATGAACAAAAAAAAAAACCCTAGGTACACTATATAAGATTGTTTGCATACTTGAACCGCATTCCTGGACGGTTATTATTTATTATTTATTAAAACTCGATAAAATCTGACCACATTCAAAAATAATAACCCTCCGGGCTTTTTATGGTATTTATGATTATAATACACAAAGGTACGTATTGATTATAACGGCGTAATCGTTTGGATCTCGTATGAAATCTAAATTTTGTAGGCGTTTAAAAATCAATACACAAAACCTCTCACAGAACACAGTATTATCATGTTATATTATCAGTATTGGGCCCGGAACATAATGTAACGACGAAAAATATTTTTTTTTAAAAATATGTAAAAAAAAAAAAAAAACGCGGTAGAGTTCTACTAGAGTTGAATTTCTTCCCAGAAGATTGGTTGCCGTTGAAATATTAAATTTTTTTTTTCTTTAATAATTTATCTAAAACAGTTATGATCACCAGAGTTTCATTACATTTTTACAATATTTTGTTTTGGTTTTTTTTTTTTTAAATATATATTGACACACTTTGACCGCTGCTATCCATCTGCTCGCGCTATGTGGCGGTCTACTACGGTCCTCCCCTCATTCAGGTATAAAAAGTTTATCCTATAACAATAAGGAATCGAACAAATAAATAGATAAGGTAGTTTTTGAGATTTCGATTGGCAAATAGACGGTGAGGACGGGCGCTGCTGATACTGCCGACGGTTGTGCCACTGTTGTAGGCGGTAATTTGAGAACAAATCAGAGTTATTTAATTAGTTATTTAATATTTATTATTCAAATTTATAGAATCCGTACATGACGATAACCGTTGCTAACGAAAAACGATTCTGGGTAAATTTCGGTTGAATGTGTTTTGATTTTTAACTGGAACCGGTCGCTGATAATAGAGGAATAACGGTCACAATTATATGTTATTATGTTACGTTTACGTGTTATTGTATTTTTTTAATTCGTATATAGATGGCGCTTTTATCCCTATCCTCGTATGTCACGGCAGCTTTCGCAATAACATTGAGAGCCACTGATAAGGTATTCGATATACCCACCAGTACCTGAAAATAATGATAATGGTAATTATCAAAACATATTTATTGATTTTTGGCGTCTTTGAACATCGACGGTGTTATAGTCGGGAAAGAAAAGTTCACATCCACGGGCGTTTAATTTATAACGAACAGGTCCGTGCGGGTACAGCCAAAGTCTGAAAAAGGCTACAGTTGTCACATTTAATACCTAGAGTACCTATAGTATTTTTGAAACAACACAAGATAGTGGCATGTGCTTCATTATTAACCTTGACTTATTAACAACGTAATTAGTGTTGGGACAGTATTACGGCGTGTACAAGGGAAAATACTTAAGCCCTGACGAGAACTTTTGTACGCAGTCATAAAAAATAATAATATAATAATAAAAATGAAAAACAGAACAGCTCATATAACGCGATGTGCGGCACGACGCATACATGTACTATATTATACTCAAGATAATTTGTTCATCACGAACCGACGATTATCCGAGACGATTTTGATCAAATTCGCTTTTGGTTTTGATTTATATTTTAATAATAGACATAACCTTGTAAAAACGCAAGATTTATTTTAAACGTGTTTAAGTTGTAAAATTATAATACGATATTATACCCATAGACATCATGACTTTTTACAATAATTATATCGTGTAATAATACGTGTTTTTTTTTTTTTTTTATGATTTTTAGTTTTTGACATTTAACCTCTCCTTATATCATAATATATACGTGTGATACTCTGACTTGTCATTTTTAAATGCCAAACCTGTGTTTTTATTTTCGATACTCGCGTTTTTCTACTTGTATGCAATGCTTTAATTCAAATGAAACTATAACTACCCATAGATTCGTATAAAATTAATAAACCATCCGATATATAGTATATAGATCACAGATCAAACGTGTGTGTGACGATCATACTTTTGAAACAAAACGACTAAAACGATTACGGACTTTAGACCGGCATTTTAGTATCGGTAATTTGTTTACGCGAAAAATAGTGAAATTATTAAAAATAAAAAAACTACGTAACAACGTTAATTGCGATTTCAGCGGGTCAAAACACATTATCGGTCAAGTAGACCTTCAAAACCACAATAGCTGTTTCACGGTTCCAGTGAATATATATTTTATACATTTGAACAAAAGTATACCCGTATATAATAACATAGTATAATTTATTTACCGAAATAAAGATTGTGAAATTGGTTTCTGTTTCTATTATTATTGTAGTTTTTTTTTTTTTTTCCATCAAAAGTACGGCCAATAAAGCGTTCCGAGCGGCGCTTTCTAATGCGCGATGTAATTCAATGGCGTATGGTTTCAAGATCGTCGCGGCGAAATGATTTCACTTAAATTGATTGGAACTAAAAGATATACGCGGTACCTGCAGTCTTGTCTGAAGCACTACGGTTTTGGGGATAAGTGCCTGGATGCAATATAATATATTGTAAACCGATACTTATCCGTCGGGTTGTCAACCCCGCGCCATATAAGGTCGGCGGTACGGTCCTTTTTTCCATCAAACTCTTCCTTCCAATCGTCGGATTTCTTTTTTTAGATATGCATATTACACGCCCGCTAATCCATCATCAGAAATGACTTTTGGTGCGCGGCTCGCGCGTTGTCCGACGGCGACCTCTGTCTCTTTTCACCCGGATTTCGCTCGCGATTATTTATTTATTTATTGTTTTTTTTTTTTTTGGCGTTGTTGTCGTTAATAGTTTGCCATGTCCCGCAGCAATACAATACTACGATACGGCGGCGGGGGCCGATTAATCTCGCCCATCTATCTAATCGTTTCTTTAATCGTTCGCGACGTGTTCCGGGGTTCTCTCATTGCGCAATATTATTACGTTGGCCGTCGTCGGCGCTCTCGTTTAATTCGGTCGAACTTGTTAGCGGGACGTTCGACGCCGAAGCCCGCATGTCTTGAAGCTTTCCGAGTAAACCCGATAAACCGATAAGGACCGCGCGGTATTAAAGACGAGCGATGCGCACGTCGAATACGATATTACGGTAACAGCATTGATGAGCTCGGGGGGAGGGGGGTTCCGGTATCTAGAAAACGCGTCTACGATTCGCACGATCTGCACGCTGATGTATTACGATAATAATTTTATGAATACGTCTAACTATAGAAAACGGATGTTGTAGTAGTAAAATGTAGTAAAATTTATTACAGTATTGCACTAAAAAATAACAATTTTTTTACAACAGTGGAAATGTTGGCTTATTTTCGGCATATTTTTACAGACCACGATCGCTCGAAATTCACGGAGTGACTGAATAGAACAGATTATAACAGTTAAATTATTTTTGGATTGTATATGAATATATATACCAACTTGGAATTATCAAGATAAAGATAACATACCGTTATTAGAATTCATGACTGGCGATATTATAGCATAATATTGTTTATACGATACTGTCGGGTGTCGACTATCGGTAAAATATAGTTGTATATCAACGAGTAAAATCAACGAAATTGCAATAAAATTGATAAAATTCCAGCAATTGAAAAATAATTGCACTTAAACCTTGTACACCTTGTAGATTTGAATTCGCACTTACACATGAAACGTATATTTAAAACTTACTTAGCAATAAATTGAAAAGGTAGAAAAAAAGTTGCAAATGTAACAACATCCGTGCCCTAATAACAACGAACACGTATTCATCGGAAGCCGTCGTATTTAATATAGCGTATAGTGTTTTACATCGTAAAAAATCGTACTGTTTGCGTGTCGCCCATATATATGCTCGTATAATTAAATAATAATATTTCTGTACGAGGAAACAAAAAATAATAAATGCATTTGCTCGCGGTGCAGCGTGTAAAAGGAAAATCGTATTACCCGTTTTTATGACTTTATTATAGAAAAACCGACCAAAAAATTGACCGGGGTTATATGAAGTGATGAATACCACAATACAGGGTGTCCCATGAAGATACCCATTGAAGTAATATCTCCGGAGATAATAAAGATAATCAAATTCTGTTTTTTTAATGTTACTCACAAGAATAGGTAATACAAATATTTCAATTCATTTTTTTATGTTTAGATAAGTCAACATTTGCAGATGAATAAACTTTATAAAACGACTATCTTCAAATTTTGCAAAAATAATAATATATAAACAAAATTATTTTTTTAATTTTTACCAAAACATAAAAAATCAACTGAAGTATAAATATGTATAGTCTTTATCCTAGTGAGTAATATAAAAAAAAACCCAGAGTTTGATTATCTTAATTATTTTCTCCAAAGATATTACAACGGGTAAATCTTCGTAGGACACCCTGTGCGTATACACAATGACGAGCGCATCGTATTATCATATTATATGCATTTCAATCGAAGATATTTCGCAAACGTAGTAGACATCTACCATAATACGTCTGATGATCATCGCTGTCATTCTTTTTATCATACAGGCATATTTCCAAGAAGTCGAGTGTATTATGCTTTACTGAAGGAGAACAATACATTTTTAATCGAAAGAGACGGTTCGCTTTTAAGTTTGAATAGGGCGAGAGTAGTATAGAGTACTATTCAAAAGCCGAGCGCCACACGGGCGAATCCTCCGCTATACTCTCGCACTATCCGAACTTAAAAGTGAAATAACCGGTAGACGGCTTACGAAAATTAACAACATCAACGTCGAAATGTTTGTAAACTAAAAGTTCATATCTATGTATTGAATTTTTAATCTAGGTCACTATTGGAAAATCAAAGGCGGTATCTCCCGTGAAAAACTGATGGCGAAAAATAACAGCAACGTAATTTTTTAAACCGGGTTATTTCATAAATTTTCCGTAAAAAAAAAAAAAACTCCGCATAATGTTAATACTTTCTGAAATAACGATAGTGTCTTATTGAGGATTGATCATCCCGAAAATCTGTGTAAAGTAATTTATACTGAACTGCGTCCGTCATCATGAGACGAAATGATTTATCCGGTAAAGGTAAAAAAATAACGTAACATAACTTATCCGTACAAAACAAAATTTGACTTAAAAAAACAAAAACCACAAAAAAAATGGATAAACCAATGTAAAACAATATTTTTTATTATAAATTGTATTTATTTTATTAATAACGTTAAGCGTTGCGTCCACGAAGCGTAATAATTAAATTAGAAAAATATCGATCAATTTGAATGTTATATAAAAAAAAAAAAAATCAAATTTTATTTTCATCACTTATCTTTCTGTCTCTGTACATCGTTAGTTATTTTATTCTGCTCCATTTGTCTACTATGTACAAAGTTTTCTTTTTTCGCGACATTACACTGTATTGCGTATATAAATGTATACATTGATTGATTCCATTACCATTGTATACACGTAAAATGTTTGCCTTTTGTATTTTTACACGGAATTAGTATCAAGCATGCGCCTTTTGAGGGTTTAAACTTTTGAATCCCTGCTCTCCCACTACTTTTATTTCATTTTTTTTTTCACAGAAAATCCACCGGGTTTTAAATATTCTCCTCGGAATAAAATGTAACACTATGTGACAAACGTAACTATGTTAGATAAGCTATAAAAAAAAAACTCAATATTGTACGACGACAAGTCGACAAAATCGATGAGTTGAACTACAAATGTTCCATTTTATTTTATGGTAAAGAAATACGTATAAGTAAATTATTTATCATGTGCTGCGATCTAGTATAAAATACTGTATCTTTGTGTTACAGTCTGTACGTATAATAATACATTCATGGGCAAAATCTTGGGGGGTATAAAGGGTGTATTTGCATCCCTTTAATTTGTGTGGGGGTGCAATACTATCATTTTGAACCCCATTAATCGAAAATAACCCTGATTTGTTAAGCAAAACAGCAAAACCACGTCGGGTAGAATTCTATTTCGTGTGCAGTTTGTTAATATAATGCGACCGGTTAGGGTTTCCGAAAACGTTTTTTATCGCTTTTCGTTCAAGTGATATTCACCGCTTATAAATGGGAATTGTGATACCACAAAATAGATTAATGATGATACTACGTGAATACGTGTTCGCGAAAATTGTTGCTGTGCTATGATAGCAAGAGCTATTTGACATTTTTAAGCGCTTTTTATGGATTTTAAATGCATATAAATCCGTTACCTAATGATCATATATGGTCTTGGTGAACCGTTTTACTTACGAGCGTTTATTTTAATATTTATTATTAAATACACATCTTCTGGATTTTTTTTTTTTGATTCTTTAGTTACTTTATTACTTCGGGTCGTAAATGCCAGTTTTGCACCCCCTGAATTTCAGCGAAATTACGCTTATGAATACATTGACGATACGTATAATTAATATAAATAGGTATTGCTGTCGCATGTACATATTATAATTATGCACTTGTAAACACGATAATTCGGTACTTATCATTTTTTTATGAATAAAATAAATACAAAATTCGAATACCTACAATACCTATGCTGTTCGAGTAATCGCTATTCAATGAAATAAAATACAATATTATAACACATACCCGACGATAGTTCGAAAACAGAATGCGACGACAGGACTGCGGTGCGCAATCAATAACCGAACGATAGCAGGCGGCAGGGTATATAGGTAGGTAAGTACTTACAGTTAATAAAATGTCAACTCACCTGAAACAAAATTTAAAAAAAAAATACGTTATAAAAAGCGACAGTTTATAATACTTTGCGAATGAATCGTTTGAACTGTTAATTATTACTGTTATTATACGTATACAAAGGTATTTGTGTGTGTGGTCTCAAGTAATACACTGCAGTGCATATTGCAAGATAACCGTAGTGTCACAAGAACATTTCGAAAATCATTACTATAATTTATTTATTTTTTTGATAAAACTTCTTTTTTTATATTTTAATATAGTATTTATACTTTTTTATACGCCCAATAAGCCGATTTTGATTTTATTTTTTTTCATTAAAACCGGGAATATTCGTTATTTTTATTATATATGTTGAAACTATTACGAAAAGTAAAAACTATAAAAACCGTATCGCAATGATTTAAAAGTTGTGTTTTTTTCAAAAAAAAAAAAAAAAAAAAAAAAAACATATGATTATTACACATCATTTCATTTACGGAATTCTTCGGAAACGGTATCGTCGCGAATAAATAAAATTAAAGATATTACACAAACGAATCGAACGTATCGATGATATTCGGTGTAAAATACGTTTTCTCGAGGGACTTTACGGTAACACATAGGACAGAAAAAAAAAATAAGTATCGGTATAAAAAAATAAATAAAAAAGGAGGATTTTTTTAAAAAATTTTTTCGTAATAAGTTTAAAAATGATTGATCGCTAAATACACATCACTGCGTTTAATGATGATTACGGAAGAAAAAAAAATACTAGGATAAAACAAATTTCGATTATTATGAGAAAATTATTTTTCGTATATAACTGGAAATTTAAAAAATTATAATAATAATATTTTGTTCGCGCTGTCAATTTTAACATTAGAACAAATTGGCCTTACATGTCATGATATTTTGAGGTAAAAATATTATAATTTTTGTTTACACCGTGTGAGCGAAATATTGCATTTTCAAAATGTATGTATCTGGCTTAAAAACAAAAAAACAATACCCAAGAAAAAAAATGACGCGACATACTTCGCACTTGGGTGCAGCCACTGTTGTAGGTAGGAAGTTGGGAAGGTAGGATACAAACAGGAATTTAATGTATATCTGTAAGCAACGATAAACCATTGCTAACGAGAAAACGATCCTGAGCGGAGTTCAGTTGATAGTGTTTTTTTGTCAACAATACAATATATGGTATAATATTATAGTAAAATGATTATGTTTCTATGACAACAATGATTGTTTAAAAAATATTAAAATAATAAAATAACAACAAAAAAATAAATAAAAACGGTTGCTAATGACAACCTTATTTTGAATCTTTCAATCTCTTTTGACCTAAAGATCGAGGTCTTCTTCATTATTTCGTATGTTCTTATGTTCTCCATCAGGAGAACATTTTCTTTCAAAACAACGTGCGATACTTGATAATCGGAATATACTTTCTGATAGGAAAGTGCTCACATAAAAAAAACAAAAACATCATTGTAAAACGAATACATTCCTCGTTCCACTCAGAATCTAAAATCATACGTATACAAACACGCAGATAATATTATACATATTGTTACAGTTAAGTTTGATAGCAGTCCAATTCGCTCTGATATTAAAATTAACCGCGCAAAATTCGATTTACCGAGTTAAAATTTGACGTTATTAATATGTTGACCGTAACGTATACAGCTATATAATAATATACAGGGTATTCGGAATTTTATGTTACAATAGCGATATGACCGTGAAACATATACGCTGTGTTGTTGTTCCGTTCAAAAATAACTTATGCGAAAACCCTTTTTTTAAATCTACGACGGCCTTTATTTTTATTCAACTCTCTTGTCAGAGGGAGGTGAAAACACACTACCGTGTTTCGGATTTCCGACGGCAACGACCGTTCGTTAAGTATCGATTACTCGTAATGATCGAATTGAAGTCATTCGATTATTAAAACGAATTGTCGTTTATACATGCAACATCGCATATCACAAAATTGTATTAAACTAGTGTTTTTATTGGTAAAAAGAAAACGAGCGATTCCAAAAATATTTGTTCTCCTTTTCTTTTTTTTTTCATTTTTTACAACTATCATGATTACACCTATAAATCACGAAAATGTTAACGCCAATTATATATTCTAAAACTACGTGTGAACATAATGTATGTTACAGCCAATAACACATGAGTGTAATAGAGCTTATGCGTTAAGTTTTGTTTCGTTTTATTAAATGTTTTTTTATCGTCCCATAAAACAAAAAAAAAACAGATATAAGTACGCACGACAAGCCGCGGATAAGCGACAACATCAAATTATACTATTTCGCAAAATATCATATTTCTCCACCCCCCCCCCCTTATCTCTCCATTTATAAAATTCGATTTTTTTTTTTTTTTCTATCGAGCCAATTGAACGAATAGAAATCCGAAATACGTACAAACCGAGTTTAATACATTTGGGACGTCCCTAAAGTGTATCGGATGAACAAAAAAAAAAAAATTACAATTTATATTACATACACAGTACATATATTGTACGTGGACTTGTACAGATTCCCGCGTATATCTATAAACGAAATTACAATAATAAAAATAAACTAAAACAAAAACCAATCAATTTTCAAATAATGCAGTAAACCCTGCAGTTCGAGATCGGATTTAAGCCGTTTAAAAATCTATCTCCGAAAACACAACTAGTTATACGCATAATACACAAAAATATAATAACAGAAATATTACGTTGCCTTTCGAAAATTCTGCAACTAAATGATTGACTTGTTGCAATAGGATACCGAAATGCTCGGGTTGCGTTGTATAATCAAATATGATTATAATATTATGATTGTGACTTTTTCTCTAACGTACATTTAAATCACGACAAAAAAGAAGAAATGAGAACCGATAAAAAAATATAGATCGGAAAAATCGGTAAATTCGCTGGGACCAATGGAAATTTAGTAGACAGCAACGTTGAATTTTTGGAACGGGATCCAAACAATAAATTACTATCAAACTGTTAAGTTTCGGAATGTGTAAATATGAATATATTGATCATATAGGCGCAAAATCACAAATGTTTTGGGATGACGGAAATTTAAAACACCATTGATTATGTATACCTATAGCATTTACCTGATAAGCACTTGATTTGGAAGGGCAAAGCAACATCAAGCTCTCATTTTATTTTTATTTTTTGCTTGTGATTATAATTATTAAACGTCGCTGAAGTTTGGAAGACACCCTTCTACATTGTATTCAAATTTATATATTATAATTCTTCTGACGGATAATCAGAATGTTCGTAACCGCCGTATACCGCGCTCAATTTCTGTTCGTGTGCTAGGGTTTACACGTAGGCGGGTACCTACCAAGGTAATACTTACTAAAAGTTTCGTGCCTTGAGCAAAAATAAGGATTTTTTATAAGTGCTACGCTGTTGAATAGAATATTATACGTATACGAACATAATTGTAGAGCTACCCGTAAAGTGAATTTGCATAAATTATACAATATATAGCTTTAGAATATGGTTTTTTAATAGCTGTTCACAATACAATATTACAAGTGTACGTACAACAAAAAGCCTGCGACACAGGAAATACGACTTTATCCGATATTTGTATACTTGGACTATTTTGCATGATAACAATACACAAAAATACTAATTTTATCGTCCGTTATTACGGTACCTATACTGGAAAAAAAAAAATGTATACAAAACCGTAGCCGAATATAATTTTGTACCATTAGGCCTCACTGAACACTTGTAAGCGAGAAGTCAATGAGACAAGATTACAGATAATACTTAGTTCGGTATATATTATACGTACCGAAACCAACAATAGAAAAACATTGCGAACAAAACCAAAATAGTTTCGAAAAATCTAACGAGAGCATCATAATATTATGTTCGAATTTATTACCTGACTGAAAAATATTTCCAACAACAATAATAGATTTTGAGACCATCGTAGTTTTTTTTTCTTTCTCGGAAAACACTTTTTCGGTTTGTATATAAATGCGCGTATATCTTTCGAAACTTTCGCGTGGTACCCAAAAAGATTTCCGGCCGGTAATGTATTATTCAAAACATTTTTCTAGAATCCCGGCGGCGAAAAAAATATCATTTTAAAAAAAAACTAACAACAAATTACAATAAACGCACAGCGACGAGTTTTTGGACAAAATACTGAGTAAACTAATTGTGTCACTGTAAACTAGTAAAGTTGCAAAGTTTTTAGCAAAAAAAATAACGTACTAAGTATATATAAGTATATTTTCAATTACAAAACCAATTATTTTCACAAACGGTTGAAAAAAAATAAAGCATAATTATTATTATTATAATCGTTGCAATATTTTATACGATGTCATAAAAAAATTGTAATCATCTTTTTGTTATAAAAATATGTTCCATTGCATACAGCGACCGTAAAATATTAAACGCGCTGTCAAATTTTATGGATTGGCTATATTATATTATACATGCGAGATTCTAAGAATGCAATCGTTAATGCAATTATATATTTTCTTAATTTTTATTTTCGTTTTACTGCGTAGATTGCAATTATAATAACATAATCTATCGTCTGCAAACAACCGATTTTTCACTTTGACTCCCCGTTTTATAATTCCCGTATATATGCAAAATATTAAAAACAAAATCCGCAAATATTCGGAGCACAAGCGGTAGGCCACTGTTGTAGGTGGGAAATTCGGAAGGCTACATCATATATTAGGACCGTGCAGTTTATGTGATGGGCTTGTGGTGACCCAAATTGGTCTCGGTCTTACGGCAAGACTGATTTTTACAAGGCTAAGTCTGCGTTAGTCACGGTCCCAGGCTCGGTTTGCTCATCGCTATATAGTATGTACTGAAAACAACGACGAACCGTAGCAGTAACAAAACAAAACAAAACAAAAAAAACGATTCTGAGTGGAGCCTGCAGCTGCCGATGGTATTATAAT